TCCCTGGTTGCATGCTTGGACTGTTTAAAAAGCCTTCTACTGAACATATATAGGGCAGTCTGGGGTCTGCTGTCCTGATCCCAGTCTGCCTCCACCCCTCCAAGCAGTCTTTGTCCTTTTTATTCTTTTTTAGAACACACTTTGAAACTTAAAAAAAAAAGTCCAGAAGGCTTTTTATGATTGTCTGCTAATGCTGACTTGTTTATTTTGGGTGTATGCTGCCTGTTGCCATCTGGTTTGTACTGATTATATTTCATTATCCTAGCTGTCAGCCACTTTATGATTATTATTTTTTTAAAGAGATAAATATGTAAATAAAAAAGCAGGGCTTTGGTCTCTTCGATGCCACACCACCACCACCCCAGAAGCAACTGACCAGTCACAGGGTTCTGGCTGCTCACCGTGCATTCAGTACTGTGCCCCAAACTTGTGGTGCTCCTTCCCAACTGCTATTAGACAGGCACCCTCCATGCTGAACTTCAGGCACATGACTTCAGACCCCATCTGCACTATACATTTAAGGCAGTATCATACCATTCCAAATAGTCATGGTTTGCCCCAAAGAATCCTGGGAGTTGTAGTACCTTGGTAAGGATGCTGAGAGTTCTTAGGAGACCTCTATTCCCCTCACAGAGCTGGTTTAATAATCCGTTCCTCTTCCCAGGTAACTCCCAGATACCAGGGCAGATTACCACCATATCATCTCATAAAATCCAACAAAATAATTGAAAACAAATGAAAGACTATGCGTCAGACAACAGAGGTTGCCCCACAGAACTCTTTAGCTGTTAAGAACCAGGGTAGAAAGTTGCATCTTAGCAAATGACAGAAACTATTTAACAAGGATGCTTGATGCACCTCTGTGGGGAGAGAATTTCACATTTTGGGAGCTGCAAGAGAGACTGCACTCTCCTCCATGCTGCCGAGTGGAGGAATTACCAGGAAGGCACCCTCTGCCCATCTTGACACCTGAAATGGTCTATAGGGAAGGAGGAGGTCCTTCACAAAGGACCAGACTGATGCAGAAGCTGGGGAAGGCCGGTGGAGTGTGTGTGTGTGGGGGGGAATTCAGTTTTTCTCTCTGTTTCTCATTTTTCCGGTCTTAAATGTGGTTTTCCACATCGGTTTGTGATGTGTTTTTTAAGTCAGTGAAAATCCATCTACATTTGAGTGTGGATATCTCCTAATATGCACATTTTATATGCAACTTTGCCAAATAGAGTTTTACAAAGTAATTCCCCCTCAATATAACTGGAGAACTGCACTGCAAAAATTTGGGGAAGTGTGGAATTATGAAGGATGGCTGCGTTTCAGTTCATGTCGTTTTGGAAGAGAGCAAATTAAGTAAGTTCACCTTTAAAGGTGACCTGAAGCAAATTTCTCCCCCATCCCTAGTAGATGATTTCTACTATTACCACTAAATTGTGCCACGAAAAACAGACAAAAAGCAACAATGCCACCATATTAACTGGTTTCTCCAAATTTGAGAGGGGGGGAAACGACGCACATGTATTCCAGACTGTATCTCCAGCTTTAGACATAAACTAATTCTTCTGGCTTGGATGCTTTCTGGAGCTTTGTGTTTTGAAAGTTTTAAAAATAATTCTCTCCCAAATGTTCACACTCAAGCCTGCAACTCCATGAATGAATTTAGAAGGAACCTCTGCTCCCCAAGCAGCTGCTAGTTTCTTGAGTGCTGCAGGGGATCTTATTAAAAAGAGTACATTTACATGAGAGCTGCTACTGCGGTGCTTCTTTAAAGGTTTGCGGGGGAAGAGGTTTGGTTTGTGCTGAGCTTTTTTGAATGACCAATTATTTCAGTGGCTCAGCTCTAAGAATGACTGCCTCTGGATCCAAACCTCTAATGATATTTGAGATCAGCAGATGGGGTCGGGAATATAAGAAACACCAAAGAAACATATACTTTTGATCTCACACCATCTGAATTGATCGGGTCTCATGTTTCTCAAGCCAGTCATGTCTTATTGGTAAAATAAGTTGACCAAAAAAAAATGAGTTGCCAAATTATGAATGGAGAACAAATTCCTAACATATAGGCACGAAGAAGTGAGGAACAAGGGGCTCCCAGCAGGGAGTTAGAGGCACAAGGCCTGAATCATAAACTACCACATTTTGCTGTCTGTGGGTTGTATTCAATGTTGCACTAAGTCACTGGTTCTATAAGTGCAGTTTTTCCCGATCCGGAGCATATGTGGGGGGGGCACAGGGTGCATCAGTGGGATGGGGTGATGGTCCTATTGCTCTAACATAACTATTTAGGCAGATCCTATGTCCATTAATATTCTAGGATCAAACACCCTTCCGTTTAATACTCCTATCACATTCAAAGTTAAGAATCATCTGGATTTACTTGTGCTTCCAAATGTTAAGAAAATCACAAGCTAAGGATTTGGCCTTCACTTTGGCACTACTAGGATACGTCCTGTTCCACCTCCCAAATTATGCTCCCTTGCAGATTAGGCTCCATGCATGCACACTTTCTGCCCTGCCTTTCCATAGAAAATGCCTAAGAAAATGAAACTGCACAATAAAAAGTTACCAATCAAGATAACAACAAACACAGTATGCAATAATACAGCAAAAGCAAGGTAACAACTAGGAGAACAGCAGCTAAAACGTCAAGCTGTTTGCTCAACACAATCCCTCCAGAATTGCAATCTTCCTTTTTATTTGAGGTGTTTCTCCATCTGCCCTGAGGGAGGTCCAGAGGGTGGCAGCACAAAAGTAGGCCTTTTCAGTGGTGGCTCCCTGGTTCTAGAATGCTCTCTTTAGGGAGTCATTGGCTACTGTTAGATGCTAAGCAAAAACATCTCTTTTCAGTCAGGCTTTAGGCCTTTAACTTGGAGAGTTTAGATATTGTGGCTTCTTTTAGTGGACGGGATATGCTAGATTGCTTTTATTTATTAAAAAAATGTTTTTAGCTTTTGCTTTGTTTTAGCAAACTGGTTTAGCATACTGGTTTTAATATTTGTACTATATTGTAAGTCGCTTTACATTTTGTAAAAAGAAGGAACATGCAAGTAAAATTAATAATAAAAACGTTAAGTCATTATGACAAAAGCAGCACCTTCTTGTGATACAAGTGACTTCGTACAAACTAAGGTTACTTATCTCTTTGCAGCAGCGGTGAATCAAACAAGCCTTAACATTTGACCTTCTTGACCAAAACAAACCTTGTATTACAAAATCAAGCTAAGCATGCCTGGCTAATGAACTCATCTCGAGATAGGCTTTTCCTTCCCTGAGTGAACTTTAGGAATGCAGCATCTTTTCCCTTTTTTGCTTCAGAGGGAATCTCTGTGTGAATATTTCTACACTCAGCTGCATCAGAGTTATTCACAACTTGCTGGCCAAACCTTGCTGTCTGCCCCCAGACAGACCCATATTAGTGTAATCCTGGGAAATTAGTGGTGGTTCTTTTTAAAAATCTAAACATCTGGTAAGAGTCCAGAGCATCCAGATAAAAGGCAGTTCCACTGGATTTTTGAAGTTAGATGATTCACACAGGTAGGGGTAGATGAGTTCCTTATTTCTCCAACCTAAAATTTGTTGCTCCACATTTCCAAAGCAATTCCTGATTTTTGAAAGAAACCATCATGAAAAGTAGTCAGCATTTTAGTGCAAATTTCTCCCAGTAAACACGTTTTTATATGCAGTTTTAACTAATATAGTAATATATCTATTAAAAGGTGATTTTTCACAATTGTAATGCATTTTGTTTGTTATTTACACAAATATATGCATTTTACTGCCCCTAGTCTCTGTATTTTTGTGCACATTGTTTGGCTGGGAACTACATCACAAAATTGGGAGAAGTGTGGATTTCAAAGGATTCGTTTGAGAAGTGGCTTCTCGTTAAAATGCAAGCACAGTCACATTTCTCTACCATCTTTCTTCCTCCTCCCTTACTTTGAAGATGGGGGTTTCCTACATATTTTAAGCACTGCAAGTAATGCATGACTGCTGGAGCTATGGGAATAGAATTAAGCTAGGGATCAAAGGCTGCATGGATGAAACTAAATCCATGCAAGAGAGAAATTCTTCTGTTTCAATGTTCAACAAGTGCTGGAATGGGTTCACTCCTAAAAAAGAATGATCACACATTGGGGGTACCCTTCGACTGGTCTTAGACCTGCATTTTCAGACCTCAGTTGCAGCCAGGCATCACTTTCTTGCATGTGTGTAATTAGCCTGCATCTTATGGCCTCAACTGTGATGCATTTTTGGTGAAAAGTGTTGCTGCTGTTGCTCTTCATGAAATTTCCAACTTTATTTCACAAAGGCGAGAGGCTGTAACTGCAGTTTCTAGGATAATCAAAGATTAGGCATTAGTGACAGATTTCCCTTATCATCTTTAGCAATTCACAAAGGTTATGTAATATATGATATAGAAAGACTCCCCCCCCCCCACCTGCAGTCTACAAATCTATGTGATGACTATTCACTGTCTGCTCCTTCTGGGATAAAAAGTTGGTGGGAGTACATGCTTCCTACTGACTTGCATCGCTGAATGAAATAAAAAGTGCTTTCAAAAAGGAAATACATTCTTATTGTCTAAAATATTCACCTGTGAAAGGCTCTTTGGAAACTACAGGGGGATCTTGAGAAGATTAGCAACTGAAAAAAAAAGGCTGCAGCAACATGGTTTTCATTTACTCTTGTGAATGAAAAAAGTGAGACACAAAAGCTGTTCTTTTCTTTCTAAACCATATTTTAATTTAATAAAACATGGCTTTATGCTTCTGTTTGACAGCAAACATAAGAAAAATAACACGAAGTTTTTTTCATAGTCACAAATGTAAATATGCTTTCTTGTGACTGGCAGGCTTCAATTAAAAATAGCTTTAATTTTACTTAAAGAACCAGTACCTCGAATATGAAAATTAGGAGACTTATGTCCCTTACAAGAAAAGGAACACTTGTTCCTTGTGAATGTTTTTTTTTTAAAAAAAAAATATGGTGGAAAGAAGGAAAAATGCCGCTACTGAAACCACTGCTAATAGACAGTTCATCCATTTTCTAAAGCTTTTAAATAACCTAATGGTGGTGGGGGGGGGGCTCTAAGTGGGAAGTTGATTTTTTCTTGCTGGCTCACTTGCGTGAAGAAGGCACAACTTGAGCAGTGATAAAGTCAGTAAACAAAAATTTTACTGAAATAATTCAATAACACAGATACGGGAGTTTGTTTTTAAGTGTAAAGCTAAAGTCATACACAAGAAAGATGGACAGACCCTTTCCCCAAAACTAATATGGATACAATAAATATGGAGTTGTACATACTCAAATCTGTACACACAAACTTCGCCCCACAGCCATAAAAATTTACATTTAACAGTGCAACATATAATTTAATCATTTATTTCATCCGACGTAAGATTTTTATTTATTTTGTTTTACTTACGAAACACAAGTAACTACTTGGTTTTAATATACATATAATATATATATAATTTTGACAATCTGTACAGTATTCTAAACATAAAACTCCAAAAAAAGGCACAATTTTCTATACAACATGTACAAAAATGGCCGGAGCTGACAAGAAACAACAATTATTGGTCAAAAATTCATGATTGCACAAAGATTAGTAATGAGTTTGTGTCAGAAAAAAAATGTGCTTTAAGTAAAAGGGAGGTTTGCAAGAAAACCTGTGTTACTTTAAAAAAAAAACGAAAAACAAACACACACACGCACACACACACACACAACCCAACGTAAAACCAAAAAACCCTAGGTTTCTATTATAAGTCTGTCCTCATCGTCGCTGCTGCCGTCACTAAACTCCACAGTATTTTGCCTCTCGGGCAACCCTTTCCGCCTATGCGCTTGTCTATCTAGAGAGACAGTCCGATGTCTGGGGCAATTGGGTAAAACGTCAGAATTCACCTTCATAGGAGGCTCTGAAGCAGAAGCCTGTTCGACCTGAACAGAATTGATATTGCACTTTGGTTTCGTATGACTCTGTGAGTCAGGCTTTTCAGTGTCCAGTTTACCCGGGCTATCGTGCCGTTGGTACCCGCTTGAAGGATCAGCCTCCAAATGACTTTCAATGCTGTACTGCTGGTCGGCGGGTCCCACCTGAGATGATGTAGCACTGGTGACTGGAGCAGCAGCAGCATCGCCAGCGACACTCGCAGGACCCTGATGTGGAGGAGTTTCGGAGGCCTTGCTACTAGAAGCTGGTGTTTCTGGAATGCCCTGCCCATCTGCAGTCACAGGGCTGACCGAAGGGATTAAAGTCGGCAATGCTATGTTTAATATTTGCAGACCTGGAATGTGCGTCTGAGGGCTTGAGTTGCTCTGAGGGGAAGGGTTTGCAGTCAACACTTGTAGGCCTACGGCATTCAGCGTTAATCCCGAAGGGTGTATTTGCGGAGTGATGTTGGTGTTCGTCAGGCCTAAGATGTTCACCGTCTCCATGCTCAACGACGGAAGAGGCTGCAGGGTTGGTGCGCTCAGGCTCTGGATTCCCGGTACATTGATCTGGCCTATTGGGATGCAAGGAACAACACTGTTCACTTCAGCAACGCTGAGATGATTTGCAGTGCCGGACATTGCACATGCTGGGTCGCCAAGTGCACTTGTAGTTCTGTGGATCACGCTAACGGCGGGAATAGTGAGCTGTACCGGCCCAGCCTGAATGGGGAGGAAAGTCGAGTATGTGGCCAAGCCAGCAGGTACCACATGGATTCCCCCCACTGGAATCATCCCGTAAGGGGTCTTGGTTTGTTGCTGCGAGTGCAAAGGGAGGTGGCTAAACAGGTGAGTCTGAGGAGGTGCTGATTTCATGATCTGTTGCTGATGCTCCTCGGGCTTTTGCGGTTGCATCTCTGGGAAAGGCGAGGCCATTGAAGGAACAACCGTGGAGGTTTGTGTACTCCGGTCAACGGGTGGAGAAGGAAGTCTTGTAGAAGTTGTGCTCTAGTGTAACAAAAAGAATAATATTTTTAAAGCCATCAATAAGAAGATACAGCCAGTTCAACATTGTCTAGCTTTATTTCTTAAAATGTGAAAGCAGCCAACCACAGGAGAGTTGGGCATCCACTAAAAAACACTCCTCCCTAAGTGCTGCGGGTTGATTATTTTTGACAGATTCTGCTGGGTGTCCTGTGTTTTAGTTCCATTTGTGGCTCTTCTGCTTTGAACATTTGGGGCATTCTTTGCCCTTGGCAGCCCAGATTGCTTCCTCTGTTGGCTAAAGTAGAGCCACCTTTGTTTCAAGTTAAATATAGGAAGGCCCAAACCATTCTCTCCCTTCCTCCATCCCAACACAGCTCAAAAACCTCTTCTCTAAAAGAGATAAGTTTGCTAATATTCTACTATTGTTAAAAAAAATTACAAGTCACTCAGAATGTGCTATTTCAGTGCATTTGATTTCCAAAGAGTCACATAGGTCATGCGGCTACTGAGCAGCTTTAAAAGTACTTCTATATGGTATAGTTTTGCACGCTCGTGATTCTTTGCATTGCTAGCTATGACAAAATTCAGACCCTTTCCCCTTCTATTGCTGGCAATGGGGAAGCTCTGTTTCCAAGCATGGGTAAAGCCCGGCTGAATAGTAGTTTCTGAGTATTTATACATATATATAGATATTTATGTAAAATACACATGGCTATATAGTTCTACAACAAAGTTACATGCAGTCACAGCAGTGTATTTATTGGGAGACTAAATCCCATTAAATTCACTGTGCCAACGGTCCATGGCTAATGCAAAGAATAAATTGAATCGTGCAGCCCATTTTCACTGAAATCCTTCTAGGCCAATGTACTTAACAGACAAGAACACGGGTAGCATTATTTGCCTCCCAGCAATGAACTTGGAAGTGTGTGTGTTAATCTGCTCTACATGAAGAATGTGTGTTACTCTACCAATGGCTACTAGCCATGATGGCTATGTTCTGCCTCCACTGTTGGAGGTGGTATGTCTCTGAATACCAGTTTCTGAGGATCAGCTGTAAGGAGAGCCCTGTTGTGCTCATGTCCTGCTTGTGAGCATCCCATATGGGCATCTGGTTGGGTCTTGTGCAGGGTTTGAGTTAATTCTATACTTTGTGCAATTGGTGTACAGATTACACCTAACACAAGTGAACTGAATTATCTGCTCACCTTGGAAGTTACTGTCGTAACAGTAGGAGCAACAGCAGAACTTCCCAATGCTTCTTCTGGGTAGTCCACGTACATCTGATGGCATGGAGACTTGGGAACTGTCTCAGAGGAGACAGCAGGATCTGTGCTTGTTGCTCTGTCTTGCACATTTCCTTCGTTTGCTTCTCCGGGAACAGCTGTAACCAGTGGCCCTGAGCTCCTGCAGTCCGACTGCACTGTACTAAGTACTGTCATCTTTGTGAGAAGTGCTTTGGGCAGCCCATCCATAGAGTCTGTGTGAACCCCAGCAAAGCAATCTGCTATTCTGATTTCTTCATCAGCGCTTGAGATCTCCTGAGAAACATTTCTAGATGGATGATGTTGTGGGCTGGCTGAAACGGAGGGAGTGGCAGATATAACTGATTCAGCTTGGCTGTCTTCGTCGTCATCTTCGTTATCATTGTCGTCGTCATCTGGCCCTTCTGAATCCTCTGCATCAAATCCGGACCGATCATAACCCAGCCGCTGCTTTTCACCTATGAGAGGGCAAAATTAAATGCACACATTTAGAGCCTAGTAATGTTTGAAAATTATAACAAGAGGATGTAGTTTTTTTCATTTCCCAAATTAACTGCATGTTAGTGCTCTTACACCATTAGTCACCCCATTGAGTAGAAGCTCATCTGCTATTAGACCCCTTAAAAAAATAATTAAAAGTGCCCAGCACAAAACCCCTGAACCTAATTGTCTATAATCTGACAGGCTTTGCCAACCTTGGAGAAGCTTCTTTGACTGCAAATTTCATTCATGTCTGCCAAAAGGAAAACAGTCATCTTTTTTCAAATTATTATTTCCTAGTAACAAATTGGAGGGGGGCAGAGAGGAGAGGGCAAAGCCTTGTTTCCCCAGGGACAGACTCTGAGGCCAGGCTGGATCAAACAAACCCACAGTGCCTTGGACTGAGATGGGCTGTTTCCCAAAGTACTGAGCAGGCGTCCAAACTCTGTGGTCTGGGCACACCCCTAACAGGTTTGCACTCGTGCATTTGTGAATATAATTTCTGCACATCATGTTTTAGCTCCCTTATATGAATGAGCTGGAACAAGCCCAAGAAAAGCCCCCTTTCTTGGTCTTCCTCCTCCTGGGTGGTTGGAAAAAAGGCTTCTATGGTGATCAGCTTCACTTTCCACAAGCCATGGCCTATCATAATGTATGAATGAGAGATTGTGGTTTACAACAAAAGTCTGGTTGGTTCATATCCCAGCTTCATATCCCATGTTTTTCTATCTTTCTATCTTTTTTTTTGCTGAACTATCTGAAATGTAAATAACTTCTTACAATCTATTGCTGTTAACAGAAAAGTTACTAGGGAAAGCAGACTGAGAACTTTGATCACACAGCAGAAATGCTTTCACACCCGAAGGCCAGGAACTTATAGATTTCAAGTAGGAAAAGAATTAAGCGCAGGTTTCAATGTTTACTTTTCTCCCCTACAACTTTTAAAATTTAAACCTCACTTTACCAAGAAAGAAAGAAACCTCAAACACCTTAATTCAAGCTGTAAGTTTTTATAGTTCCCAGGTACTCAAGCTCATTCTATACAGGAACCACTCACAAATCTATTCTAGTGACTTTTAAGAGACCATATAATATGGATATGTAAATGATGGGAGTGTTGTACGTTATCTTAAAGGTGATTTTCTACAGGTGTTGCAAATTACAACCCAGAACAAGAAGTTTCATTTAAATTGCTTGTCCTCCACAGTGTAACATGTGACTGCATTCAACTGACAATCAACACATTAAGTTCAGCAACATTCTACATGGTTGCTTGGAGAAAACAAGAAGGAATGATAAAATATTTCAATTTGAATTAGCTAGGAGGGAAGTTGAATTACAACAGCTGGGGGGAAAGACACATGGATCCTGCACAATTGAGAAACGGCTACTTATTGCTCACAAACCTAATTCTAAATCATCTGAAATGAAGAAATGACCTTTACATATATTGCTGCTTGTATCTGCCATGACAATTCTGAAAATAAGAATAATCCTTTAAATGCGGCACTGTTGGGCAGCAGTAAGTTGTGAAGCTCTCTTCTTGCTGCAGGTGTTTCCACTGATGTCTATAATAAGCTGCTAATAATGGTGTTCGAAGACTTTGAAGCCTTTTCTTCCCTTCCCACTGCCAAAGCAACCCTTACAGCAGAGCTAAAAGCATTCTGCTTAAAATTATCAGCAAAACATTAACGGCTTCTGTTAAGCATTAGCAAAGACTGACAAACACACTTGTGTTCAAGATATGGTACGTATACAAATGGATAAAGCAAATGGTGTAGTACAGTACTCTTGTCTCTTACATTTTTCAACTATTTTGATAAAGGTCGCAAAGCTTTATTCTGTATTAAGACTCTTTGCAAACCTCAGTAAATTGTGGCATGCTATTTTTTTAATTTAAAAACCCCATGGAAGTGGAATCAAAACTTTTAAAACACTGTTACCCTCATTTTATATAGCCATTAAAACATAAAATTACCTACAGAATATCAAAATAAAGGTGTGCAGCTACCAAGAACGATTTCATTCTGTATTGGTAAAAAACACGTCTACTGCAAAACACTTGACTGAACAGCAAAGAGCCGTGAACAAGACAAAAGAAGGATCAGGCAATGGAAAAGTAAAAAATGGCAGTCCTATGTTTAGTCCTGATATACCCACCCAAATACAACTGGCTAGTCAAGGAACATCACAAAGCATATTCTCTCCACAACCCCCCGCTCCTTCATTAGTTGGATCTATATTATTTAGACCCAACATAGTGCCCTCCATAAGTTGCTGGTCCCAATCAGCATGGTCAAGATCATGAGCTTATGGATAAGGATAAGGGTTTTATTTATGTTTAGTATAAAGTACACATTTTTAAATAAGGGGCAATGATGACAAACTTCCAGAAGAATAAGTCAAAGAAACTTATTAGGCAGCAGCAGACACATTAGCACCAGCAACAACGGCATCAATTTTGGACACTTTCCTTTGAGGAGATAGAACTGGACATGGTGTAACGCCCAATTTAGCTGATTGTAAATAAGTTGGTATGCCTTCATATCCTCTAGTATAAAAAACATCTACTGTCATGGAAAGATCTTCTCATCCATTGTTTTAGGTTTTCAAAGCAGGCCTTTTGGAATCTCAGAATGGATACTTTGGCAGCCATGTCTATTCTAGAGGCTGGTTTTGGTAATACAGGAGTCTTTTCTTTCATACACATAATTGACTATACCTAACCACTTAAGATTACACTTACTTTTAAAGCCTACTGACCAAATTATTTATTTTGATATTATTATCTTTATTGCATCACAGACTTATACTGACATCTGCTGGGGAAGCCCAGATTGGAAAAACCTAAAAGCCCCTGATTATTAATAGGCTTTGATGTTCACCTTGAAATGATAATAAATAAAGGGCTTGATAACTGCAGAAGCTCTTTTTCATAAAAAGGAGTTGTTTGAATGATTCCCTACTGACTGCTCAGTGCAGGTCTGCATTAAACAACCCAAGCCCTTAGTCTCCTCCACCGCTGTCTGAGCACTTGGCAGATACAGATCTCCCTACATAACTGTCTTGGTGGGGAATTGCAGCATACCCCATATCCATAGCATAGGCTATTACTAAAGCTACAAATAAACAGGATTATCTATAGTGGTACCTCTGGTTACAAACTTTATTTGTTCTGGAGGTCCATTCTTAACCTGAAACCGTTCTTAACCTGAGGTACCACTTTAGCTAATGGGGCTTCCTGCTGCCGTCGTGCCACCATTTCTGTTCTCATCCTGGGGCAAAGTTCTTAACCCAAGGTACTACTTCCGGGTTAGCAGAGTCTGTAACCCAAGGTGTTTGTAACCCGAGGTACCCCTGTACTGCCAGTTCTCTGCTGCTGCACAAGATTATGTTATAAAGAACAAATAATAAGGATCATATTCTGTTGATTTAGAGTCCATCTTTATACATACATTTTTTTAAAAAAAAACCTGGTCAGAGGGTTTTGTTTAACTGCCAAAGTCCTTTTGTTAATTTATTGCTGCTACCTCTAGATGCCAGTAGCTCCTCCTCCAGTCCTGTACACCCACTGGCAACTATTATAACTTGAACCCCCTTCTCATAATGTCACTGATTGCCTTCCCAAATGCATTTACATGCAAAATACAGCTGCCTTCATATCCTGCCAGCCATATGTTCCCATCATTCAGTTCTCCTCCACTGGCCACATCCTTCCTTCTTGGCCAAAATGCAAGAAAATGGCTGATTCCATACTCCTGTGCTGACAATTTTAGGGGGCGGCGGCAATGTTGAGGTATGATGTAGCAGCCGCTCTTTGAAGGTCAGACCATTTCCCCTAGCTTCCTATCCCTGCAATAAATCTATAAAGATCTTGTGGACCACAATAGGGACACTAAAAGGGCCTGCTAAGTCTCCTGGGCCTTATGTTTGACAGCTCTGCCCTAAACATTAGGAAATCAGTTTCCCTGATAAGCGCCTTTAAGCCGCGATCCTTAACATACTTACATTGAAGAATGTCAAGTTCTACCAAACAGGACATTCCCCCTCAAAAATGTACATAGGATTGGGGCGTTAATCACCTAATTTAGAGGAACACATAATGAAAACTTGGGCCAGCACTGTGAAAACTGATATCCCTAAGCTGAAGTATGTCACACTGAATGGTTCACCTGGTCTGACAGCATAGTTCAGAAGCCAGCATTCCAAACATAGTAGCCCTGTATTTTGGGCGTAAAGGGCATTCTTTGGATTAGGAGATGAAAGATGCAAGAGTGATTTGGAACATAAAAGGTGAAACTAAGTGGTATTCGCCAATACCCAAATGGTGGCAAATCCAAAAACAAAGAACACCGCCACAATCCACCCAGCCCAGTTGCCATAAACCCCCAATTCATATAGCGCTGAGAAGCCTCATGGAAAATAAATGGAATTGTTAGAAGTGTTGTTAACAGAGCTTCACATAAATGCTCTCCACAAGCTATATTTGGCCCCTTCTGCAAACTGTCTCTGGCAAACTCACATTCAAATTCTGTGCAACCTACCAAGTTTAGAATTAAAGCTATTACACTACACTGCCTTTGGCAGTGAAAATCAGACAACAGAAATCCGAGTGTGTTGGAGACAAGTTGATACGGTTGTTTTAATTTCTATTATGGTTTTAACTGCAGTCTGTTCCAGTCAACCCAATATTTTGCTACTGGGTTAGAACTCGAGAAAGGAGATACTCAAGAGTTTTATGTATCAGTGTATTTTAATAAAGCAAAATTATTAATATTTTCATCCACTATGATGATGAAGTATTGCAGGAAGTCTAAAAGCTTCCAGGATACTTTAAACTATAATTGGCTCAATAAAAATACTGGCAGCAATTCAGAGAATTGCATGTGCAGCAGAATCAGATGGTTGGCTGCAAACAAAGAACTTTGAGAGCAAAAAGCCATTCCATAGCTTACAGTGGGAAAGCTCTAACTATGATCAAGATCCTCATCTTGTCAAATTGTGACCACTGCAAGCCCTCCAATATCTAACACAGCAAACTTGAGAAGGAAGCTAGTATTTTTTGCCTTTAAGGTAGAGGTCTCCTTGCGGAGTCATGAAAGTGCCTAGTGGGATACTTTTCAGAATGCACTGCTTCTATGGTTTCTCCACTTGTTTTAAACTACAGGTATCGTAGTGACACTGTAGCCGAGGAGGAACAGCTGCTTGCACCTGACACCTTGGGATACAACAGTATACATGCACAGGTATTTCCCCCCAAATCTCACAGGAAGTCCCCAAACCATTAAAAAAGATATGGAGAGTTAAACAGCAGTCTCATAGTTCTGTAGCACGACTGTCTACTGCGTCAAGTGGCGCACAATATCGTTTGACATTACCCTCTCTTCTTTCCTCTCTGAGTTCTCCATTTCACACACACACTCCTCCCTCCCAGTTACCTGCTATTGTTGCTGCCTTATTTGTGCTGAACCTCGTAACTGAAGGGCCTATAAATTAATTGTCAAATTACAAAGCATGACTGCTGCCCTATTACTTCTATCAATAAAACAAAGTTCAATTTGCACTGTAAAAAGGTAAAAATTGCTGAGTGCACTAAGAAGTTATGCCAATCGAGAGAACACCTCGCCTACATCTTTAAGAACCGAATTCACATCGATTCATAGTACTCTGCTATTGGCTGCCAAGAAAGACCAAGTACATTAATTTTTCACCCCTTCTACCTCTTTCAAATCACATACACCACTCCACAATAAACCATTTAACACAAATCAGAAAAATACTTTAAAGGCGGGGATATCCCCCCAGAACAGAAGCAAAGCTATCATATATCATACTGACAAAAGCACACGCCAAACTAACTATACACTGTACCCATGGTTTGTTCTCGGTTTATTGTCCAGGAGACCTAAACCACAAGCCTGGATTCAGATGACACTCTAAAGGCATGGCTTATCTCAGCACGGTGCAACAGCAAGACAACTAAGGAGGAACAGAGTGGTCAAAGTCCCCACCCTGGAGGCCTAAACATTTACAAATTGTGCTAAGCCATACCTTGGTTGAAAGTTGGGTTAGAATGCAAACCTAATTTTAAAGTCCTTATTTTATTTATTAAATTTCAAAAAGGTCAACAAAATAATGCAGGCCTGAGCATCTTTTATTACAACCATGTAATAATTTTGATGTTCATACCCCATCGTTATGACAATATAATTTATTTGAATGAATTAGAATGCTTTTTTCACAGATAGGAACTGTGCCGTTTATATAACCACCCAAACAAAAATGTGATGCGACATGTATCCTCTTACATACTCTATTCTTCTCCAGCATTCTGGGGATTGTGCCAGTTCTCCAATTAAAATTCAGTGCACAGTAAATCCTATAGAAATCATTGCAGATGAAGAGTGTCTGGTCTACATGAAGTGGAAGAGTAGACCATACAACTCAAGACTTGAGGTGGACAATGCAATTTTTGAATGCTCCCCTAAGAAAGAAAGAAAATCTACTACCTTGGAGATTGAGACTTATCCTTTTTATGCTAGTTCTTTACTAGTAGGGAAGTTTAAAAAAACAACAACAAACCCACAAAGGATAATTCAAAATCAGTATCCCCTCCCTCCTCTCCATCTCCTAAAAGCAAACAAATCTGCAGCCAGAAACAGCTAAGCCCATTCAATTCTGTTAACTGAGAATTCCACCACCTTATTTGGGGCTTGTGAATAAATAAGATAATTATCTGCAAATCTGGCTAATGTATTCCTCTAGAGTTTTACATGGATGTAATCAGACTACTGGCACTAAAAGGCTGAAGCCCAGTATAATGAGCCAATTGATACACATATTCCATAGTGCATAGTCCCTCTAATATGTTGTGGGGACACGATCCATTTGTATCTGCTCCAATAACTGAACAGTAAGTGAAATGCATAGGATCTGTTCAGATGTTAATTCTACTCCCTTCCCTTTGAATCTCTGTACATGGCGACATTATTAAGTGTAGAATATATTGGCTGAATTGAGAGATAATGAACATGAGTTCTGTTGTGATTCAAATGAGATCGGGCTTCAGAGGAATCTCATACACATATATATATGTAGGATCTCCTGGTACCGACACTACAGTATATGTGCATAGGGACTGAGAGGGCAGTGGGATCCCAAATATCTTCTAGAACCTTATCATACAGGGAAAGTTAGTAGGTGAGTGATAACTGATAAGGCCTGTTCTGTGAAAGCAATCTAATAAAAGGTTTGAACAGAGGAAGGGAAATATTTAGAAAAGAAAAGCAAATACATGAAAAGTTCTAAATATAAAAAATTGATTTTTTTTACCGTATTCTTCTACATCTTGATCATCTATTGATCCTACTGAGACTCCCAGATCCATGCATTTTTTGCTATGTGCCTTGGACTTCATATGTTTTGTCAAGTTTCCTTAAGAAAAAACAAACAATGCACATTTTTACCAAAACCACATGACCGTAACATTCAGCATGTCACTCTCTGCAGCCAATGATACTTGGGCCATTATTTATCTATTCTTTTATTTAAAAGGTTAACACAAAGCTTTTACAAAGCTTCCAGAGCAGTCACTATAAACATAGTTTATACACACAAAATATATAATAGCATGTTAAAAATCATAAAATGCATTTGAAAACTTGGGAGAATAAAAAATGGCCTTGGGTTGTATCCAGCTAAGTTATTGTACGGGCAGAACAATTTCCACTCATGTGGTGGAAATTCCCTTCTCTCTCCTCCTCCTGGGTGGCCCTGCAACCCCCAAATGTGTTCTGGGTCCCCCCCCCAACCCTCTGGAGCAGATGGGGGAGAGTGCGAGGAGGGGAAGTTCCATTGTGTGAATGGAAGACCTGCTTATGCAATGACTTCGTTGGTTTCAACCCTTTGGCTTTTAAATAAAGTTAATTTAGATTCAGCTCGGCTTTGAAAATGGAACTAAGTGCAGTGGTAGACAACATGTCTTAACACTGAAAGCTATATCAGAGAATGTTGCCTGGTCAAACTATTGTATTCATTCCTAAGAACGATGCATTAACTCTTCTTCTTTAAATGAGGATTTTCAAGATGTAATATAATTTAGGAAAACAAGTTCCAATTTGCATCAATAAATAGCTTCAACAGATGTTCTGCTATTTTCAACAAAAGACAACATTGTAAGAGTCCACAATGATCTAAGAGACAAATAGTGGTAAAATACTTGCTAGGCACGTTCTCTTCTGACATGCTGCTGTTGAATGAACATATACTAAAATGGCAGAAGATGGATGTGGTAAGAACTGATGTAATGGTGTGTCTTGTTTCTCCCATGGATACAAATAGAAGCTTTCAAAGATTTAATATATTTGATATATTGTTTGGTGACTTAACAATGAATGAAAGTATTGTTCAGAAAGTCAGAAAATGACTTTTGCCCAACGGCTGCAACGTCCATTTTGTTAAGTACATACATAAACATAGTAAGTTTGAGCTTGGACAGAATTTAACCAGGAAGCTGGTAAAGGAAGGCAGCGAAGGCTACATACAAACCATTTTTGTGGCACTTCTCTTTTGGAATAGTTTCATTAGATTCTACTGAGAATGGCAGTGTAATAATTCTAAGAACAAATCTTACAGTGATATGGAATGCATATTAATCTACAATCGTATGAAATGTACAGTTTATATTATATTTATGTTACATATATGCCAATCTTTATTATTAATATTGACATGAGCAAAACGTCATTATGTTGAAGCCCTGATATCTATTTCATCAAAATTAAATCATTTTAATTTATTTTTTAATATTTAGGCTTATAGTTGAGCATATGCACACAAGCATGCCATTAACACCAGTGCCTGCTAAATCTGCTCACGACAATCCGTGAGTAGAGGCAGAATGATTTAATACTGAGTTCCTAGTATGCAGAAGAGTTGTACAATATTCATGACCTTTTATTTATAAACGTCTTAGTAAGGTCAGTTCAATGAAAACTAAGAAACAAGGTAAACAGTGGCTTTTCCAAGCCTGAAATAATGAGTATGTGACAAATCTAGAATCTAAACCTATTTGCAAAAAAAAAGATATCTCAAAACCAGTTCTGAAGGTATGTCTGCTTAGCAGCTGTACATGCTGCCAATTAAAACACAACATGTCCTTGAAAAAGACAAACTTTTTCTCTTCTGGGACACATCCTTGACCCAACAACTGGTCGTGCAAACTTCACAGTCTTCATTGGCCTCATAACTATCTGGGTACTTGGGCAAGGCATCAGTCAGGAAGGAAAAGGGAAGTCAGTCAAATTTACCCCAGTATGAAACTCAAAGGCGGAAAATGTTAAAATGCCTTCCTGCGGGATGTACTGTATGCATCTACTACCTTCCCTGCAAAAGGGCTTTTGACTGCTCATTCCCCACCCCGTCCTACCTCCCACCTTGCCCAATCTGATCTAATGAGGAGTTCTGGAGAACTTGAAAGCTTGCATTTGGAAGTGTTACATTTTATCTGGCCTAAAAAAGATATTGCCCTTACTCTAGGTTTTGGAATATTTCTTATAAGCCAACCTGGCTCTCCTTTTATTTTTGCAATTTGTTTAAGTTCCAACAGCTTTATTTCATACTTCCAACAGGCTTATTGGAAAAGCAATTGTTAGCAGGTTGAAAAAGAAAATCTGAGTCATGACAAGCTCACTTACCTTTAGTTTTGAAGGAAAAATTGCAATAGTTGCAGTGATAGGGACGGACGTCTGTGTGCGTGCGAATATGTTTCTTCAACATACTGGGCTTTTTACAGCGTATTCCACATTCTTCACATATATATTTTCCTCTTCCTCTCCCACGAACATAGACATATTCTTCATTTGACTTGTATCTAATTTAATCAAAACATACCAAACTATTGCAAACGACAGTGCATGACAGGTCGCACACCCTAATTCCCGGACACAGGAACTACCCACCCACAGCACTTCTGTCTTAACAGGATTCAGCCCTTCACAGCCTACAGACCAGGGATCAGCAAACTTTTCCAGCAGGGGGCCGGTCCACTGTCCCTCAGACCTTGTGGGGGGGGGGCGCTGGACTATTTTTTGGGGGGGGGGGAATGAATGAATTCCTATGCTCCACAAATAACCCAGAGATGCATTTTAAGTAAAAGCACACATTCTACTCATGTAAAAACACGCTGATTCCCAGACTATCCGTGAGCAGGATTTAGGTGATTGGGCCGGATCCAGCCTCCGGGTCTTAGTTTGCCTACCCATGCTACAGACAGTCCAACACCTTAACAACTTCTTCTGATTCCAATAGAATGGAAAGAGAGAGCCACATATCAATGTTTTGATGTCACCATCTTCCAAATCCCTGGATGGCAGCTCCTAGAGGTTTTATATAGATGTTAACTAGCATAGGTAGCTGAACGGACCCATGTGAAATCACACATTCTAAAAGCCGAGCAACAATATCCTAGTACTAGTTTCTGGTAGAGATCCTGGTAAGAGCAGAAACCACACTTATAGTTTGCAGGTCCCGTTTTCTAATCACAATGCGTTCCCAGGAAATTGTTGATTAGGTGAGCATTCACATTAGGTGAGCTGACAATCTCCATTATTTCCAATGGAAACATTTCTAATCCATGATCTCTCTCCCCTCCCCCACCATGGTTTCATCCTAAAATGGCTGCAGCCAACCAGCAAAAAAGAGGGGGAAACTTATTTGTCCGATCTCTCCTACTCCCTGATGTGTCTGTTCTCTCTCCCACATCCTTCTCTCTGTGGTTTCTGCTTGAAAATAGTTGCCATTGACCAGTGAAGCACAAACAAGTAAGGAAGGGGGCAAACTCTGGTTGTTTGGATATCTGAATCAGCCATGCATGTAGCGATGTTTGGGCACAATTCTTTATGTTCAGTTAATGGAATGTGCAGATATTGAGTGTTCTGATGGCGGGAGCTGCATGTTCCTCCAACCACCACCTCCAAGTCGGTGCAGAAGAACACCACTGTCAGCACCATCAAAAGCCACTGAGAGGTCAAGGAGAACCAACAGGACGACACACTCTCTGTCTCTGTCTCGAACGAGCTTATAAATCAAGGCAACCAAGGCTCAGACTACAGATGGCAACTTACTCTGTTTTGTTCTAAATCACCTATGGCCTACCAAGCAAGTAGTCATGATCTGGTTTCACCTGGTAAATATTTGTAGGAAATTAGTTGTTCATAACTAAAGCTCTTGATGTTTTGGTTTTCATTTGGGATATTTGACTCCAAGCTCACTAAAAATTCAGTTTGAAGAATTAAGTGTTAAAACACCAGGAGAGAAAAATAGCTATGTGGATGGGAGATTTGCTGAACCAAGGCCAGGGATGGGAGGCAGGGGATACTGTGGAGCAAGTAATTTTGAACATACCAAACCATTTTGAGTAGAATCTGGATCATGATCTAATCAGGCTCACATTAACACCTTTTTCTACTGAGCTACCAGGAGATAATGACTTCCATACAAAATATTAATAAAATACTGCATTACTTTTAGGGGGGAATACTTACCCTCCATCAAATATTTTCACTCTTCTTGGCTCACTTTTGGCTAAGGAATTATCATTATCTTGATCAGTGCTTATTTCAGAGTTTTCTTTATTGCTGAATTCCCTTGCTGCCTTTTGTTTAACTAATGCCCGCTGAAAAAAATGTAAATTGTTACATTTCTTATTATAAGCAGATTAAGGTATCTACTAAACTAGTATTGCTAGTGAGTATCTGGCAAAATAGGAGTTGAAGATTACCATTTTCAGGCACAGCTGTTTATGTGTTGACAATACAACTAAGTTTTATTTTTGTGACAATTGCTACACCCAATTCAATATGCTCATTAGAGGGAGAACAGGAAGAGAAAGTAATTACAAAAATGTTTATATGGTTATATACTTGAAAGAACATGTGTTTATGTTTTTGCCCAGAAGTAGCCGTCTGTACATGATTTAGGAGTTACGGGGGGGGGGGGAGAGATCCCCCAATGCAGTTTTTCAAGCTTATATCTACTGCCAGAGAAAATTAGCATACCAGTCATATAAGAAAGTAAATTATGTTTAATATACTGCATTTAGGCTATACAAATAAAAAAACAAAAACAGTTTGATCTGCAGTTTTCAGTCTGTTTTACAGTTCTAGAGTTTTCAGTCTAGCATCTATCTTGGAACCACTCCCAAGGACACACCCCCTGAACATGCTCAGCTCCAACCCTCCTCAAGAAACACATTTGAATTGGGGCTACTAGGTAGCAACCACATAAAGCTATCTTACACTCCTTCCCCTTTTGTTTATGTCAACATATACTGTAATCTATATATTGGCAGTAAGAATACAGAAGGCAGTGGGAAAAACAGAACAAAAAAATAATAATTTCCTAAATACGAGACATTGGTCTAAACCCACAAATTCCCTTGTTTTTATAAATGCAACCTCTCCCTGGGCTTGGGGATTCTGTCTGAATGGCATAGTGTAACTGGGAGTGTTTCTGGCTCATCCAGATGTTCTATCTCTGAGTGTGTCTCACAGACACACCTGAAACAGTTGTACGATCTGATGCAGAGGCTGTGGACTGGCATAATCAATGTGAAGTCTTGCCCAAGGTCATTATTATCATTCCCTTGGGTGTAAGGGTGCTTTTGAAGGAGTTTGATGGAAAGATTGACAAGCACCACACCACTGCACTCCTGCCTCAATCTGCTGGTCTATTCCTGGCCACTACACATAAACTACATGCTACTCTCTTCAAACAATGCCAGGATGGACTTCATACAACAAATTCAGCACAGCAGAAATTGTGTAGCACTGGTAGTACAACTATCTGCGAGCCCAATAATATTCATCCATCCAGGATAGCCAGTGACTCCCTATGCTGATAGTTAGGGTGTTAATATGTGCTCCCCCCCCCCCCGCAATCCATCCATTAATTATCTTCACCCTCTAAATAACAGAGAATCTTGGTCAGTCACCCGTTTAATCTTTGCGGGATCGATCAGGCATGTGGATAGTAGTTCAATAAGAAAAACAGTTTCAGCAGGCTGAGGTACTGGCTTTGATCTATCTGGCAGTGGAAATCTGCTAAGGGGATCAGCATTACCCAGGGCTTGACCTGGCTTATAGTAGTCCTATGCAGACAACGTCAAGCCCATCTTGGGATTCTAGCAGACAGCACTGGCTTGTTCTCTCCCTGCAGACCCTGAAGAGGTTTATGATCAGATTGTATGACAAAACACCTGCGATCTAGATACGAATGGGATTTCTTTTCAGCAGAAAACACTGCTAACTCTTTACATTCTAGTTGTGAATAGTTTTCTCCTCCTGCTAAGGCCAGTGACCTTGATGCAAACTAATGGCGTGTTCTGATCCAGTAGGCATTTGGTGGGCTAAAAGTGTTTCTTGAGAAGAATTGGAACCTGTTTAAGTCCTCCATGCTCCTTATTCCTTATAATGCCCATAAAGGACCTCCTTTGTCTTGTGATGCTTTGCCATATGAAGTTCTTGATGGTTATTATAATGGATAAGGATCTTGGATGACTTAAATAGATTCCATTTTTGCCTTGTGGCCACTAGGTGGCAACCACATAGTATTCTCCTTGATTGACGCCTCCCCCCCCCATCATTTCTCTTTGTACTGGACAAACTCTACACTGACAAGCATTTATCATCTGAAAACTAATCCTTATAATCCCTCCGTGACTGTAAAATGGCCAATTATTTGTCATTCAACAAACCTGTTGAAATTAATAGACAAGTAACTTAAATCCATTTATTTCAATGGGTCTAGTCTGAATATCAGTAACACTGGCTATCTCCCCATGGACTTAGCTCTGCATCCAGCATCACAAAATTGTTTATGAGACATCTAGTGACAATGTAGACAAGAAATCCTGGTTTGTTGGATTCAGAAGAATAGGTCATCATGGATTTCCATCTTCTGAACAGATAGCAGAAAGATCACAGGAAGCATAAACCTCAAGTCAATGTAGAGCACAAACTTTTGATGCCTTGTAGTGAATTAGACATTAAGTGCTAACCATACTGTACATGTTGTACATTTCAATGGTATGACTTATACTGATGGGGATAGCTGTGAACATCAACTAGGAACATGCTCTTTTTGCTACTGCGTAGCTGATGTCACATATGATATCAGGTTTGGGGGAAATGGTCTTGTGCATTAAATTAGGATCCCCATGGGCCTGAGGTTCTCCACTGTTGGACTATACCAACCAATACAGGAAATTTCATGCAGCAATATATAAACTTTAACAACACTACTGAGACTTACACATGGTTTCAGAAAATGAAACATCACAAAAAATGAACTGTTCATGTAAAGCACCAGTAATGTTCATTTTTACACCACCTTGTTAAGATTCAAGTAATCAGGGCAAATATTTTTAGGGGTTACATGACCAGGCTGCAAGTGTGTTATGTTGACTTTTTTGGTCAACTATTCCACATCTCAAATAAATTTGTCTTGAGCATCAATAGCTGATAACTTTTCAGGCCAAAACAGAGGTGGTTATATTCCTTTTCTCATCTCTTAAATACTGTGAATGGGACAAAAATTAACTGAACAAATGAAGCCAGGTTTTGTTTTTGCTTAACAAGGATTGAAGCAGGTTAAGGACCTTGGTTAAGTGAGGAACTTAATTAATCTTCGCTTCAGCTAACATTGGCTCCAACATATCTAAAACTGCATGAGAAAAGGCTACTTCATTCAGGAGATGATATGTGTGAGCCACTCCTGATCTCTTACTCAAAGATTATGTCTGAACAAGCTCTGTATACAAAATTAAGATTTTGCCCACCCCAAAATTCTCTTCTGCATTCATGGTCCATAGCTATACTTTATAACTGGTTACAATGCTAATTCACCAACACAGGAGCCAGATATATGGAGAAACGTGACTCAAAGAAGTAGGAGGCCCAGGGTTCGCTCTGATTGTTTAGAAATACACAATCGCTTTGAGGTCCTCTCCCCTAGCATGGAAGACGAAGAGCAGACTCCATTTGAGGATCTCTCCCTCATTACAGTCGATCAGGTATATGAAGACGAGCAGCAAAGTCAGTCCTCAGGGAATGTGCAGGCGACCTTGGAGCGGACAGCTCACGGAAGAACCCCGACCAAACCTAAGAGGAGGCGTGTAGTGGTGATAGGGGATTCCCTACTGAGGGGAACAGAAGCAGTGATCTGTGGGCCTGACAAGATGTCTCGGGAAGTGTGCTGTCTCCCCCGGGGCTAAGATCCAAGATGTAACTGAACGACTGCAAGGAATCATAAAACCCACTGACAAATATCCCTTCCTCTTGGTTCATGTGGGAACCAATGACACTGCAAGCAATAGCCTCCAGAAGATCAAAAGAGACTACGAGGCTCTGGGCAGGAAATTGAAGCAATTAAATGCACAAATTGTGATCTCATCTGTCCTCCCAGTTGAACGACGTGGCCCAGGGAGAGAGGGAAAATAGTGGAAGTGAACAGCTGGCTTCGCAAATGGTGTAAACAGGAACGGTTTGGATTCTTAGATCACGGACTGCAGTTTCTTGAAGATGGACTTCTGGCAAGCGATGGGCTGCACCTCACAATGGTTGGGAGAAATGTTTTTGCCAAAAATCTCAGAAACCTCATCAGGAGGGCTTTAAACTGACTAATGTGGGGGAGGGAGACAGTGCTCCTGAAGGTAGGAGTCTATCAATTGATGAAGATGATCATCCAAATGTCATAGACCAAATGGAGCAAACAGCACACAGACCTAGTGGTGGGAGGAAAAATCCTTAAATAAGAGTCACGGGGGAATGAATAATGGACTTCAATGTCTGTACACTAATGCGCAAAGCATGGGAAATAAACAAGATGAGCTTGAGCTCTTGGTACAGCAAACTAAATATGACATAATAGGCATCACTGAAACCTGGTGGGATAAGTCCCACGATTGGAATGTAATAATGGGGGATACAATCTATTTCAGAGAAACAGACCAGACAAGAAAGGAGGAGGAGTGGCGTTATATGTCAGGGATGTGTATACCTGTGAAGAGATCCAAGATTTAGAACCTCAAAGCCAAAGTGAGAGCATTTGGGTCAAAATTAAGGGAGAGAAGAATAACAGTGACCTCATTGTGGGAGTTTACTATAGATCCCCAAGCCAAACGGAGGACATAAATGATGCCTTCCTGGAACAGATGGCCAAGCATGCAAAAGGAAGGGAGATAGTAGTAATGGGGGACTTCAATTACCCGGATATTTGTTGGATGTCAAACTCAGCCAAGAGCATAAGGTCAAACAGATTCCTCACTGGCCTTGCAGACAACTTCATTGTCCAGAAAGTGGAGAAGCAACAAGAGGAACAGCCATTTTAGATCTGGTCCTAACCAATGTTGATGACCTGGTTAGTGGGGTAGAAGTGGAAGGATCATTAGGCGCGAGTGATCATGCTCTTCTGAAGTTTACTATACAGCAGAAAGGAGCAGCCAAGCATACTAGGACTCAATTTCTTGACTTTAAGAAAGCTGACTTCATAAAACTTAGGGAAGTGCTGGGTGAGATCCCATGGACAGTAATACTAAAAGGAAAGGGAGTTCATGATGGCTGGGAGTTTGTTAAGAGGGAGATACTAAAAGCACAACGTCAGGCAATACCAATGAGACAGAAACATGGAAGGTGCCTAAAGAAGCCAGGGTGGCTATCTAAAGAACTTTTAACTGAGTTAAGATTAAAAAGGATGTGTACAAAAATGGAAAAGGGGGAAGCACCAAAGAGGAATTCAAACAAAAACCCAGCACGTGTAGACACAAACTCAGCAAAGCAAACGCACACCATGACCTCAGGCTTGCTAGAGAGGTTAAAAGCAACAACAAAGGCTTTTATGGGTATGTTCGTAGCAAAAGGAAGAACAAAGAAACAGTGGGGTCACTCAGAGGAGAAGATGGTGAAATGCAAACAGGGGACACAGAAAGAGCTGAACTCCTCAATGCCTTCTTTGCCTCAGTCTTCTCCGATAAAGAAAACAATGCCCGACCTGAAGAATTTGGAGCAAATGATTCAGCAAAGGAAACACAGCCCAGAATAACTAAGGAGATAGTACAAGAATACTTGGCTAGTTTAGATGTATTCAAGTCTCCAGGGCCAGATGAACTGCATCCAAGAGTATTAAAAGAACTGGCAGATGTGATCTCAGAACCACTGGCAGTCATCTTTGAGAATTCCTGGAGAACAGGCGAAGTCCCGGCAGACTGGAGGAGGGCAAATGTTGTCCCTATTTTCAAAAAGGGAAAAGAGAGGACCCAAATAATTACCGCCCAGTCAGTCTGACATCAATACCAGGGAATATTCTGGAGCAGATCATTAAGCAAACAGTCTGTGAGCACCTAGAAAGGAATGCTGTGATCATCAATAGTCAGCATGGATTTCAGAAAAATAAGTCATGTCAGACTAACCTGATCTCGATTTTTGACAGAATTACAAGCCTGGTAGATGAAGGGAACGCAGTGGATGTAGCCTACCTTGATTTCAGCAAGGCATTTGACAAGGTGCCTCATGATATTCTTGTAAAGAAGCTGGTAAAATGTGGTCTTGACTATGCTAACACTCAGTGGATGACTGACCGAACCCAAAGGGTGCTCATCAATGGTTCCTCTTCATCCTGGAGAAGAGTGACTAGTGGGGTGCCACAGGGTTCTGTCTTGGGCCCGGTCTTATTCAACATCTTTATCAACGACTTGGATGATGGACTCAAGGGCATCCTGATCAAATTTGCAGATGACACCAAATTGGGAGGGGTGGCTAACACCCCAGAGGACAGGATCACACTTCAAAACGACCTTGACAGATTAGAGAACTGGGCCAAAACAAACAAGATGAATTTTAACAGGAGAAATGTAAAAGTATTGCACTTGGGCAAAAAAATGAGAGGCACAAATACAAGATGGGGACACCTGGCTTGAGAGCAGTACATGTGAAAAGGATCTAGGAGTCTTGGTTGACCACAAACTTGACATGAGCCAACAGTGTGACGCGGCAGCTAAAAAGCCAATGCAATTCTGGGCTGCATCAATAGGAGTATAGCATCTAGATCAAGGGAAGTAATAGTGCCACTGTATTCTGCTCTGGTCAGACCTCACCTGGAGTACTGTGTCCAGTTCTGGGCACCACAGTTCAAGAAGGACATTGACAAACTGGAACGTGTCCAGAGGAGGGCAACCAAAATGGTCAAAGGCCTGGAAACGATGCCTTATGAGGAACGGCTAAGAGAGCTGGGCATGTTTAGCCTGGAGAAGAGGAGGTTAAGGGGTGATATGATAGCCATGTTCAAATATATAAAAGGATGTCACATAGAGGAGGGAGAAAGGTTGTTTTCTGCTGCTCCAGAGAAGCGGACATGGAGCAATGGATCCAAACTACAAGAAAGAAGATTCCACCTAAACATTAGGAAGAACTTCCTGACAGTAAGAGCTGTTCGACAGTGGAATTTGCTGCCAAGGAGTGTGGTGGAGTCTCCTTCTTTGGAGGTCTTTAAGCAGAGGCTTGACAACCATATGTCAGGAGTGCTCTGATGGTGTTTCCTGCTTGGCAGGGGGTTGGACTCGATGGCCCTTGTGGTCTCTTCCAACTCTATGATTCTATAAAAATTTCCCTGTTTGCATTCTGAAAAACCCTTAAATAGTTGCAATGACAACAGATGCACAGTCTTTAAATGTGCATAGTCAGAAGTAAGATCTGGAAAGCTTCGCTGCTGTTCATACGCATCAGACTACCACACTTTTTTTTCTGAGGTAGGGGAAATTTATGTTGGATGTGTACTTGAAAATCTCTCTTTAGAATCTTAAAGACATCTGTTTTAGTTAGACAAGTTTCTACCCTTTAGGGATGTTGAAAATATCTTACAAATATGAAGCTTTGAAAATGGAAGACAAAAGAATCTTACAATTATTTTTTCGCATCTCTTTATTTCGAAGCTCACATGTTAATATTAACTGATAGCTTCTAGTTTCAGCTGCTTGATATTAGCAGTACCAGTGAAACTTTGTCATCCCAGCTATCTGGAAAACATAGCTAGTGAGAAATTTGGCATGTTCCACCCAAACTTGTAAAAAATATGTTTATCTGATAGTGAAATACAACAAAGGCCCACATTCAAAGATACAGCATATGGCTCTGGCAGAAAAACTGCAGGTAGTTTCTGAAAGAAGGTTTTTCTCCATTTAGAGAAGCTTCAAAACAGCATTTTTTATAGATTTATTTGAAGGAGAGCTTAAATTCTCTTCTTCCATTTTCAGACTTGCACTAGGAAATGAACTAATGACACCCATTATCAATAACTGTGTTTTACTGCTAAGATTCACCAGCTCTTGTACTCTGGTGAACATCTAGCTTTGTGTATGCAGGGCCTGCCCTATTCTTTTCCAAAGTCAAGAAATGCTCCAAGTGTACAATGTGAATTTCCTATTGCATTTGTAGAGCATTTCTATCTAGGCTTCTGGACCTTGTGTGAGGTCTGGTCATTCCTTCAAAATCCCTAAATGGCACATCCTACTACAAGGAAATACATAGTTTTAGATGCTACTCCTCGTGTTGTAAGATCTGCAGGTGAAGTATTAGACTGGGTCAGAAAATAATAAACATAAGCGCAGAAGAGAGGCTTATTCAATGGAAGTTCCACAAGTGACAGATTACATGACGTAAATACAGTTATTGGAATATTAGATATTGGGATGAAGTAAATATAAAAGGATGGATGGGGATCATTGGATGCAGGAATTCCTTCTGTGAGTGCAAGTGAATGAATGCAGAAAGGGATTTCACTGTCCCACTAGTTTTCAAAACCTAAAAATCCAACTTTGGGGGTTTTTTTAGGATCAGGCAGGGATTTTCATTCATCTATTCTACCAGCTTCAAAATTAATGCCCACATTTCTCTCTAAAATAAATTCTATTCAATAATACTCCCCCCAAAATCTTCTCTCTTTATACAATTTTTCTTCAAGCCAACGCAGTACAGTACTATAATAAGATGTAACCTTCATTAAGCCCCAATAATAAAATATTTTAAAGAAAAGCAGCCCATGCATGCTTTTTGTTGCACAGACTCAAAGCAGAAAGTCAATCTTGTTTTAGCTATATGCACAAAACGCCTATTGCATTTTAGTGCAACTAAAACTTTCCTCTTCTCTGAGGTTCATGTAGCTAAACCTCTTGACCCCAATGAAGTGTTCATACAGAAAACTCCTCTGCAGTTCTGACATGACAGAACACTGCTATTCCTAAAGGATCTCAGTTATGTGTCACTGTGTGTAGGCCTTGCCCTGTGGGGAAATGAGCTGTGAAGAAGTATGAGACACCTTAACATTACATTCCATGAAATTCAATAGAGGAATTTTAAAGAATAATATTAGCTCTTTTGGGAATTTCAAGTGTCCAAACAATATCCAAAAGCTCTTTGCAGAAGCACCTGGCTTTCTGCACAATTTTTAAAATTAGGATATGGCTTTCATGAGATGTGATAAACCTCTAAAATTTTAGCTAGGTAAAGATAGCTCAACATTTATATAGTGATGCAATAAAGCAGTATTAACAATGCACCAACAGAGTTCAACGAGTTTTCCTCCCAAATGCAAATAAGTTACCCTCATTTTAAAGAGCTTATATAAATACTTTAGTATAAACACTTGAATTCCCCCCTCTTAAAATAAATGTTTTATGCATAGTACCTTAAGTAAGTTGTTCTTCCACTTGCTTGAGTAGACCAGTATGTCGGATCTGAAGTTGGTACTTATTGCTAGAGTATAAGATGGTTTTCCAGCTTTCTGTTTTGAATTCAGAAGGGAAAGAGCAAGTTTTGTCGGCAAACCAAGTGGATTGGGATTGTCAGGACTGACAGACCAAGAAGAATAAACTGAAGTCTTTTGGTCATTTTGCAACAGGTGCACAGGCTTCCTTTTTAACAAGTAACACCATGTAAAGTTTGTTGTAGTCTTTAGGCTTGGAAAAGATAATCGCTGTATATCATCCGCATTCACGACGGACAAAGCGGCTCCAGATTTTGTTTGGCTCAAAACACTGGACTGCTTATCATCATTCACTTCTGGGGACATCCTCTCTTGACTGTTATCTGGAACCTTTAGAAAGGAAGTCTGAATATTCAGTGAAGTAGATTCAGCTGACTTTCTGACTGCAAACCTTCCAGTTTCAGAGATCAATGGGTTATCATATTCTAAAGGCTCCTTTATGAGTGAAGAAGCCCCACACCGAGCAGATCCAGCTGAACCAGGCAGCAGAAGATCTGGCGAATTACCAGCTCCAGTGCTTTTATCATCTTGATCTAATGAGAAACCTTCAAGGGGCTCAACTGTGCAGATCTGCCGCACTAAGAGTGGCTTTTTTTGCTTGTTAGGTTCGCTAGCCTTTACGGTCAAAGGATGCAGTGACATAGCACCTGTAGTGCAAGCAGCTCCACTTTCATCTTTAACACGCTTCTGGTGTTTTTCCATGGCAATGTCTAAACTATTGGCTGGCGAGAGCATGCGCTTACTTGAGGCTGTGGCTTCCTGCTGAGGGAAAAGTCCACCAACTGGCACTTTCTGAATCATATTTGAGGACCCCAGGGAAGCTGAATTTTTGCTTTCCATCTCACAAATCAGATTTTCAAACACAGATGCTGGCTGCGAATTTGGCAAACACCTCAGATGATCTTTGTGGGATTTTGGCAGCTGAGTTTGATCTTTGACTGTTGGCACTGATGCAGTGTTTATTTGACAGAGAGACTGGTTTACCTGATCTCGTGTTACCAAAATTTGAGGAAGGGGTGCAACAGCAGCCAAACCATACGATGGAATATTACTGTGAATGCGCACAGGGATGAAGGGCGCAACATGATACATCCCACCACTGCAATTATCGGGAGCAGTTCGTTGCAAGGGTGGCGCCACATATTGCTTGGACACTTTGTCGTTCAGTTTAGTATGTATTTCTAATGAAGACCCAGTCTGCTCTGTGCCAGCTGCACCTGGAAGACCTAAAGGATATTGCTTTCCTACGTGCAATGCTTTAACTTGAAGCTGATATTTGGGAGCAAAACAGTCTTCTTGCATACTATGCTGACCAGCAACCATGCTCATGCTTTTCTGAGTTCCAAGTGCTGATCCCTTGAAAGCTGATTGGGAATACTGACTGAGTGAAGCTTGCTGACCAGGATGATGTAAACTAGAGCCTAAAGACCGTTCACTAGAAGGCGGGTTAAGAGAGTTGTTGCTCTTCACTGACTGTGACTCACGCAAAGGCTTGATGTAAGTCTGGGGGTGCTGAGAACTTGAAGACAATTCCTCGGGTTTCCCAGAGCCCTGCAACCTCTGCAAGGACACTGAAGAAATATCTGTTGCAGGACTTATTTGAAAAGAAGTACTTGACATGACATCAGGCTGATTCTTTTCTGGAGCAATATTTAAAGATATTTGTCTCACAAGGGGGCCCCTTCTCCTTTCTAACAAAGGTACATGTCCACTGCCAGAAGTCAGTTTAGAAGTAGATATCTCTAGAAGTGAGGCAGGCCTGGATGGAACTGCACTTCCACAGTCAAATGACTTGCTTCTGTAATCGGCAACTTCCATGGACGGCTGGGTGCAGTTAATTTGCTCAGAAGCAGCACGTCGCATTTCTCTGAAATGAGGACCAGGCACACTAAGCGTATTTGAACTTGTAGGAATTGTAAGAAATTCCAAGGATTTATTTGTAGGCTCTGCTTTGGAAGCACCCTCATTCTTAGATACATCATCTTTATCAAAAGAAGTTGAGAAACTAGATGCACGTGACAAGCTACTCTCCCGACTGAGACTTCTAGAAAGCGTAGATTCAAAGCTCGACTCAGCAGAAGAATGCTCCATTTCAGCCAAGCGAATTCTTTTCTTTTTGGGTGGAAGTTTTTCTGTGGGTAGCTTTGATAAGGTTTCACTACGCTGCGGCCAGTTAAATTTTTCTGTCTTGTCCTGATCACTGCATTGGCTTTCCTGATCTCTATCAGGCTCCTCTGTCACCAGTATTTCAGGAACCTGGATGTTATGCTGGCGAACAAGTCTTAGTGGTTGCATTGGTGCACTCTTTTCATTAGAAGTGACTTGACGTTCATGCAGCTGAACTCTTGAGGCTTCTGCTACTTGAGGACGGTGGGAGGCACTCAGGAGAGAATGCTTCTCCTCTTGAGCTATAATGGTACTCAAGGAATGGAGCTTCACAGCTTTGTTAGCATCCTGAAGGGAAACTGGTGATACCCTTTCAAATGAATCTGATTTTTCAAATGAACTAGGTCTGCTTAAGGAGTTTGTGTGCTGAATTACTGAAATCCCGGCCCCTTGTCTTTTCAGTTCTTTTTTTTCTGGTGCCACTGGAACAGCCTGCTTCTCCCCATGCAACATCATCTTTGGCCCCACAGTCTGCTCTGCGCCATGAGTCTCCAGCTCATCTTGTGCCAGTTTTTGTAGGGAAATACTATGTGAACCTAAAACAGCGGCAGTGTGTTTGGAGACACTGATGGTATTTCCGAGTTTGTTTTGACACTCTGACCCAGCTATGCTCTTTGACAAACTACTACTTGTATCATTTGTCTGCAGTTCATCATCATCATCTCCCACACTTTTCATTTTCCTCCTTTTTCTTATCTGAGATGTCTGCTCCCAGACACCGGTTGAAGTGGCAACTCGATAGTGAAGAATTTGGGGTTGTGTACTGTTCAAGACCGTCTTGTGCTCAGAATCTCGTATAGCTGCCTTGGTTTTTGGTCCATGTAACTCTGAACAATAGAACTTTTTGTGGTTTTCGAAGTTTTCCAGTTTTCTATATCTGTTTCTGCAAGTCTCACACTCAAACATTGTCCCTCGGCCTTGCTGTGACTTTTTTTTATCCATAGTTGACCCTTGTACAAATGATTTGCTTCTTGACATTAAAAATTCACTTGATGTGTTGCATCCATAACTTTCATCTACAGATCGTGTTTGTCCAAAAGTATGCCCTTCACTGACTGAAGAATCTTCGATTGCTGCTTGCCGAACAAGGGTGCGAGGGTGTCCGCCTTGGAGCTGTGGAGTAGCAGGTCCTGGCACAAAGACATCATCATACAAGGAGCCAATTTTATCATCAAAAGACTGACTTCCACGTAGGGGATGAGGGGGAGGTATTACATTTGTAGGTACAGCTGAATAACTGGTAGTTGGCATAGAATTACTTCTGGTTATAGGTAAACAGTCAAGAGTTGGTACAGACAGCAGAAAAACCTGCTTTGACTTCTCAGTAGGTGTAAAAGGAGACTTTGGTATATCAGAGCTTGAGCTAGTCCTTCTACTCATAGGCTTTAGGTCAAACTGAAATGAGTCTTTAAAAATGTAGGATTTTGGAGAATCAATACTACCTCTTCTTGAAAGGGATGTTCTCCGTGGCTTCACACTATCCAACTGTTTGTCATCCACTACAGCCTCATTATCAGATATTATCTTTGAAATGCGTTCTTCAAGCATTTTTGTGGCCAGAGGTGGTCTCATCTGGCCAGATGAAAGCAAGGTCTTGTCAGCACAAATGGTCTGCACAACAGATGCCACAGTAGTGCTCATTCGTGGCACACAACTTTTACTTGAGTCTTTTTCGGAAGAAGGCAATCCTTTCATAAATGGAGCTGGTGGACTCATGGTCTGATCTGCACTTTCTGAACGTGAAAAGTAGCCTGAATCAGTGCTACCTAAACTTCTGGGGCTCAAGAGACATTTTACTTGCTGATCCTGAGAACAATCTGTCGCCTGCTGTCTTTGTAGTTGCGCATGTATTGCTGTCCCTACAGGGGTCCCAAGCTGTTCCTCGGAAACGCTTGTTTCAGTTTTCTGATGTTGCTTAGCATCAGAGTCATTTACCAGCACATGTGTTAAATTTGGTTTCACATTTGTTACTTTCAAGTCCCCTTGTTGTTGTGTTTTAGAAAGTGTAGAGGTGGGATCTGCTACTTTGGGGCTATCTGATCTCAAAGGAGATACGTTAACAGGGCAAACGATCACCTTGGGTAAAGCTGTCCTTGGTTGCACAGATGAGTCCTGAAATGAGGAGTCATCCAGCATATATTCCGGATTTCTTAAAGAAATGGGACTACCTTTGTGCAATGAGTCAGAATTGGAAGGTATTTTCACTACATGCACAGGTTCAATTTCTAATGATCCTTGGTCTTCTTGTCTTTCATCAGCTGTGCCTTCATCATCACTGTCACCACTTTCTTCCACATCTGAATGGATGCTAAGTGCTTTGTCAGATTCATGGGAGAGAAACCCACTAGAATCTGGCTGGAGGACAAGTCCAAGTTTGATAGCATGAGCATGAGACTTCTTGTGCTTATACAGATTGCTTTTGGTCTTAAATGAAAATCCACAAGTCTCACAAGGATATGGTCGTTCTCCTGTGTGGGAGCGGATGTGCTTTAGGAGAACACTGGGCTTGGCACAAGCCCTGTTACAATACTCACAGACATATTTCCCTAGTTTTTTAGGCTTCTGGACTTTTAGAAGGTTACATATTTGTTCTGCACCATGGCTGACAACTGAAGCTATCTGGGCTGAGTTGTACAAGGGAGCTATAGATAACTGGGTGGTAGAGCTAGAGGGATGAACTGACAACGGAGATTTTGCTACTAGCTGGTTTTGAGAAAAAGCCTGAGTAACAGAGGATTGGGGGCTCATTATTGAAGAGGTTACTGCTATGCTATATATATTCTGGAGTTTGAGATTTTCCAGGTTCGGCTGTTGCACCAGAGAATTAGTGAAGCTCTGACATGGAGCAATTTGTTGGTTTTGTTGCCCAGCTTTAGCAAGAACTTGCTCTTGTGAGTGATCAACTGAGGGCATCTGTGCTTGTTCACTCTTCCCTGATGTTGCTACATGCACAGTCTGTGAAGTGCAAGGAAGAAATTGAGATCCAGCTACAAATTCTGGCTGCACCAAAGCAGCATGACTTTGGACACTCAGTGTATTGGATGTGAGACAAGAAGAGGCGCTTGCAGTTTTATTTGGTCTCAGTTTTTCTATTTGCATCCCACTGAAAGGGCACTCTTGTGCTAAGGTGTTCAGCTCAGGCTCCATAGCTTTCAGTAAGACATCGAATGCAGTATTTGTACATGAGGATGAATGACTACAATCAACAAAAGTAATACATTCATTATTGTCAGCCTTGGCTGCGCTTGAGCTAGTGGAACCCTTCTTCACCGGTAAGTTTAACTGGGATGAACTGTGGTCTTCTACTGGCCATTTATTCAAGTCCAAGGATTGAGGTAACAGAGACAATTTGGGGTGCACCGAAGTCTCAGATTTGGACGTTTTAATAGCTACCTCACTGCTAAGCACCCCCTCATTTTGTTTGTTTTGTTTCCCATTCTGCGTTGCCAAACTGTGCACTTCTTTTAGGAGCTCTGAAGTATCAGGAAGGATGTTAGACAATGAAGAAGGCTCTTCTACTTTTTCTTTAGGCTTTGCCCGAGCTGGAGTTCTCAAAGGCGATTTTGGTATTTTCGTCAGGTGATTCTCAGTTACAATCTTTTTACGTTTCACACCTTTAACTGTGTCCGTGCTCCCTCTTGTAACAGCCTTGGAGATTTCTGTCAAACACAAAGAAATAAAAGTCAAATAGTGATTCTGCAAATATTATCAGCATCATTTACATAGTACTTTCAACATATTAAATGTTACCCAATCTTTACCCACACCTTGTTACCTATTTAATGCCATTCCATTTAGCAATATAGGAACTGAGGCAGAAGATAGTAATTTGCTCGAGAGCACCTAAAGTTCGTGAGTCTGAGCCGAGTTTGAATTTAATACAGCATTTCACTGAACCACACTAGTTTTAAGTACATTCTTAATTTACAGAATTTGCTTCAGAGACCCCTCCCAAACTTATTTCAGTTCTTGTACATATTAATTATATTCCATTTTCATCATGTTTTCATTACCACTATACAAACCATTTGCTCAGTTAACTGCATTAAATATGAATGAAATTCATTAGGATGAATCTTGGTCCAACAATGTTCCCTCCTCATCTTGTCTCTGGGTGTGCTCAAGAGTAACTCCATTAAAACCAATGCTTTTCGCTCACGATTAACTTTATTGATTTCAGTGGGTCTATCTTGAGTGGATAACATAGATACTAGTTCACAGTTTGGACACTCTGGTCCTTGGTCCCCTCCAAAATCTATTATACAGGCCCTAGGGCTGGTGATATATTGATAAGGTTGTTCAAAAAACGGTTTGAAGTCCATATTGTGATATTGGTTTCATAATTTTTGACCTGTCAATATATTGTGAATCCTGAAGTGTGTGGGTGTGGGTGTGAAAAACCGTGAAACCAGCTAATGCCTTTACATAGCTCCATCCTTATTTTGGACATTGTTATATATCACAAAGTTCAGCTGGTGATATATCGTAATGTTGAAAACCGTTCACCTCTACACAGTTCCATCCTTATTTCAGGCATCATGATATATTGATATATCACAATGATTAACTGGTGAAATATTGTGATGTTGAAAACCAGTTATTGTCCAGCCTTAATGGGCCCACCTTCAGCACATGGGACTGTTTCTAAGCTGCTCTATTCAAATGGAATACTTCGTCAACAAGAAATACTACGGCAGAGATGGGGAACCAGTGGTTCTCCAGTGTTGCTGGACTCCCACCATCCTTGATGGCTGTGACTGCTGGGAGCTGGTGTTCAACTATATTTGGAAGGCCACATGTTCTCCATTTCTAAGAGAATACAAAACATAATTCTGCAACCAAGTCTTCATTTGAGTCAGGTGGGGAAGGCAAATATCTAAAAGGCATTCATACTTCTGGCCTCTAGACCTTTAAAAGATTCACTTGAAAACATTTGAATGGAAGAGTTTCTTTTGTTGAGACGTTGTTGTACTCAGCAAAAATCAATGCATTCATGTATTCTTTCTTCATATTTAAGACAGAATTGTCAGAATAGCTTTGAAAGATTAAGTGCTAAATTAAGCACACTCAGTGTGTTTTCTTCTCTATTGTCAAAACAATCCCAGCTCTGCTGGGTCTGGCACCCGTTACTGATTTACTGAGTAGATTTCAGCAGTGAGAGATTTAAAGCATATGCACTTACAAATGTTATGTTTTCTTCACAAATCATCAGCAGAAATTAACTTCTCCATTCAGAGAAGAATTTAAGAGCAATGATCTTGAATTAGAATCCTAAGTCAATGGTATGGAAATGACTAAGACACTGAATTTAGATGGGGGAAAGGCAGCTGGGATTGGATATCAAACAAGTTGCAGGAAGACATGGCCACAGTGAATACAACTGTGGACAACCCAATGCTTCTTCCTCAGGCACAATATGTTTCAGCCTAGAAAACATGTAAAGTTGAGCAATCAAAGGAATGAGGACAGACTGAAGTGGGGCAGCAATATACAGATTCCCCCAACAAGAAACAGAATAGGATGAATGAAACCTGACTGAGACAGAAGGAACAACCAGCTTGCTGTAGCCTAGTTACATTGGGGAAACTTGATACCTTTCAAGAATTTATTTTGCTTTTAAAATTAAGCTATGATCTGGGTTAGCAGAAATGGACAACAGTACATATTCATGCTTGGAGAAACCTAGTGATGTATAAAATAAAGGCTTTGATTACCTAGATACCCTTTAAAGTATTAGTTATCTTTATTGGGCCATCACTGTCAATGTGGCACTAAAATAAAGGTATTGCTGTATGTAGAAGTAGCTAAGGCTTATGTAAGTTGTGCCCTACTAAAAGTGCATAATAATATAAGTTATTCTAGGCGATGGATTTTTATTCAGTACTAACAAAATGCTGTAAGTTATATGTACAGTGGTGCCTCGCAAGACGAAATTAATCCGTTCCGCGAGAGTCTTCGTCTAGCGGTTTTTTCGTCTTGCGAAGCAAGCCCATTGACGGATTAGCGCTATTAGCGCTATTAGCGGTTTAGCGGCTATTAAAGGCTTAAAGGCTTAGGGGATTAGCTGCTAAAAGGCTATTAAAGGCTATTAAAGGCTTAGCAGATTAGATAAAGGGGGAAAAGCGAAAAAAATCTCTAGACTCGCAAGATATTTTCGTCTTGCGAAGCAAGCCCATAGGGGAATTCGTCCTGCGAAGCAACTTCAAAACGGAAAACCCTTTCGTCTAGCGGTTTTTCCGTCTTGCGAGGCATTCGTCTTGCGGGGCACCACTGTATTTGGAGGCAAGGCTTGGATGCTGCTGGCAAATCACATTGAACTTCCTTATGCAACCCGTGTCAATGAGAGCCAGGCAATCCAGTGTCAGATACAGAGAGCAGGTTTTGTGTTTAAACCTGGTAATAATTTGCAATGTGAAAGACCATAAACTAAGGGCTGATTTCACTTTTTGTGCTCTGGGACATATAACCAAGTATTCAATATATGCTGGCCCTTACAAGATGTTTGGAATCAGGGGAGAATGTGTGTCTTAAATTTAAAAGTCCCAAAGCTGTAGATTGAGCCCTTTCTGGCAGCTGCCTCAAAAGGGTTTATCTGGGTGTATGTGTGTTTTTAAAGAGACATGTATACAATTCAACACTAATAACCTTACGCAGAGACCTCAGGATGGAGGCCTTAGCTTCCTTCCCTTTCAGAGCTCCGCAAAAAATTCCATGACGATCATTTACCAGTAACAGGTTTTTAGGAAACTTGAATGAAAATGGTCAAAATTTAAATTCCAAATCAATGCCCAAGTTTTCAAGACTGGTGGATGCTGATGATGGAAATACAAAATAATCAGTAAGGAACATGGTAGTAACAATATCAACATATTCCAAGCAGCTAAAAGTATTCCAAGCAAGTTCAAAATGACGCACATATGGAGAGAACTTTAATGATTATGAAACTAAGTTCTTTCAGTCCATTTAGCAAGAATACTTTGAGGATAAGGTAATAAGATTGCACCATCAACAGCTGCTTAAAATTTAGGGAAGATAAAACTATCACAGTTAGTTATTAGTCATTATAGCTAAGTGAAATCCCCATCTTCTTAGACCTTCTGCTCCTGAACAATTTCTGGTGGACAAGAACAAGGAAGGCATCTGATTGGCTACTGTGGGGAACAGGAGGTTGGACTGGGCTAGTCAACATGGTGCCCTTTAGGTGTTGTTGGACTCACATTCCCATCAGCTGCAGCCAACATGTCCAGTGGTCAGGAATGGCTGGCCACTGTATCTGCAATGTGAGCTGATGATGGTCTTTCATTATTAGTATTATTTGCTTATCATTATTATTATTATGGGATTGCTGGAGAAAGGCTGCAGGAAGAGAAACAGTGGTGTGTTTTACCTTTCTGTGAGTCTTCTGTTTCATTAAGTTCTTTTTGTGCTTCTTCAATTTTGTCTAATGAAAACAAAAAGTAAATCAGAAGAGGAGGAAACATACTTTGATCACAAATGGTTTTAATTTCTTCCCCTCACTTTGTTGAATAAACACTTGTAAAAAACCCACCAAAAAACCCACCACCCTCTTTTTAACATTATTGAAGTTTGCCCATCCTCATATACAATGCGAACAGTGTTCGTTGGAGGTGTAAGGAAGGCAACCAAAATGATGGATGAACTGGAACAACTACCCAATGAGGAAAGTTTACAAGGCTTGGGGCTTTTTAGCTTATTATTTTTATCATTTATTTTTATTACATTTCTATCTTGATCTCCGCCCCCCCCCCCCGGGGCAAAGGAGTCTGGAGAGACAAAAGCATAGACAAAATGGTAAGTGGGGGGTATTGTGGAAAAAGCAGGTAAGTACATAAATGTGAAGGCCCATAAACAAACCAGGAAAATTGGTTTGCCATCTATCCACCCCCAATTTTTTGGATTCTTTTCCAGGCCTTCACATTTCTAGACAGGGGTATGCTTTTCCATATCTCAAAGTGCATAGTACTTCTTCACACAACACATAGTCAAACTATGGGATTTCCTCCCACAAGGTGTTGTGATGTGTACCAACTTGGATGGCTTTAAAAGGGAACTAAGACGAGCTCATGGTGGCTACTAGTCATGATGACTATATGTTACTTCCAGTGTCAGAAGCAGTATGCATCTGAATTCCAGCGGCTGTGAAACATGAGGAGGAGAGGGTTATCGTGCAAACAACCTGCCTATGGGCTTCCTGTGAGAAGAGAATGCTGGACTAGATAGGGCTTTGATCTTATCTAGCAGTGCTCTTATGTTCTTAGGGAAAACCATCCTACTCCGAAAGCTTGGGCCATGCAGCCCATTTAAAACTACATTAATATTAATGTCAATTAGTGCAGCCCATTAGTGGCTATGCTTCTGGCTACAAGTGTATGTCTGAAGAAATAGGGCTTAATAATGTATCCATGAAAATACTCAGGCTGTAATAAAAATCCAGAAGGCAGGAGTTTCACGTTAAGGAATAATCACAAAGACTGATGCTATTCAAATACATAATGTGGGTGGGATTATGCGGTGCTTTCAGAGGATGTAAAAGATCAGAATGTGACAAAGGAAAATAGGTGGTTACAAATATATGTAGGGTTCAAGCAGTTTGGGATTTCAATCACTGATACTTAAACTACTGGAGTAAAATCTTCAAAGTCTTAGTCCTGAAAATAAGAGGTGTCAGAAGTTAAGGTTCCTTACATCTGGATTCTACAGGAAAATGTTACCAGATGTCAAAATTCCAAGTAAGATATAAACAGTAGGGAAAAGGAGAAAAACTTTAAAAGTTCTCTTCTGCACATCTTTGAAAATCTAAATGAACATAAGGTTTAAATCAATGCCTCTTTTTCTGAACAAAACAGCGAGAAACTCCTCAAAGAAGTCCCTGTAAATTTACTTGGAAAAGATCAGTAAACGCTAGTATACTTATGATGCCTCAATCACATTTGTTCTGGTATTGCCTGGAGTGACCTCAATATATTAACATACTGATCTAAACCTTCACGCTGGCACAGCATCCCACTTCAGGTTATGGTATCAGCCGCATTGTAAGCACTTTCTGGCTTGATCCAGAACCTCATTTAATAAGAAAGTAATATTCTGACCCATCTGTGTTCACTGAATATTAACTGTCTCTTTCCTGGTTCTGATTATGGCAGAGAACAGATATGATGAAAAGTGGGTTAGAAATAATAGTATCATAGAACTGTAGAGTTGGGAGGGACTCCAAGGGTCATCTAGCCCAACCCCCTGCAATGCAGGAATCTCAACCAAAGCATCCATGAGTGATGGCCTTCCAACCTCTGCTTAAAAACCTCCAATGAAGGAGAGTCCACAACCTCCCAAGGGAGTCCATTCTACTGTAAATAATTAAATATACATACATAAATAAATGGCTACCATTATTTGTTGTGTATGTTTTCTAAGTGCTTCTGTCCCCAAAGGGCTCCCTTTCTCAGTGACTTTTCAGCACTCCTTGCGAAAATATTTAGTTTTAAAGTGCCCTCTTTCCTATTACAATAAAGTGACAGAAGCTTTCTTTTGATCCAAGCCATGGGGTATCTAAATAGTTCAGTGAACACTTCTGAGGAAACTTTATTATTCCTTATTATTTGATTTTCTAGTTGCCTTACAGTCCCTGTTCTAACTCATCCCCATGACAACCACAGAGACAGGTTGCTATCCTTTTCATATCACCTTACAGAGACCAAAGAAGACTTGTTCAAGGTCATCTACAAAATCCCTGTCTGAGCTGGGATTTGATTCAAGACCAGGCACTTTTGCTGTATATGTGAGTGTTATAATCTCATTTCCACAGTATGTTGACACATATAATTTTTATTATTTTAGATTGTGGTAGATTGCGGTAGTGGGGAAAAGACTGTTGAAGATTTGGATTTAACAATTAAAAAGTTTTATGAAGAGTAAAAACAGACACACAACCTGTAGAGAAGATTATAATTTGGGATAATCAAATCCAGCAAAAGGAAATCATACCTCAAATACTGATATCCACTGTGTTTCAGTATCACTGCAGGTGTGTAGGGCAGACACAATGACAGCATTACATATCTGTTCAAAACTCCTTATACATCACCAATGATTTCTGATGGCAGTCGAGAGCACAACCCATTCCAAAGTGGTCGTCACTTAAAAACAATTAGGGTATGGGGAAGCCATTGTATTGTGATACCCAAAGAGAGCTAATTTTATTGTTATTAAGGAAATTACCTGGCCGCTCAGAGGAAACTTATGCTAAATACCTTCTTGCTAATAAAGAACAAGGTATCATCAGGCCTGTTGCAAAATTCTGTTTTATAGCACCAAGGACAAGACAGGCTGTGGTGACAGTGATGGCCAGCGAATGAGTACTGATTTTAATCACTGGGATACAGATTTTAGCTGAAGGAGTGTTGTTTTTAATGTAAATAAGTTTATAGGGGAATTTTAATTACATCTGCTTCTTCATGCGGATGTGGCATAAGTTGTTGTTGCTGTTGCTGTTAACTTGCTGTCTGGTCTTTGATCGCAATAAAGATTGATTGATTGATTGATTGATTGATTGTTCGGGGTAGGGGACCTTTTTATTGTATTTTAGTGGTTATTGTATTTTAGTGTTTTGTTGGAAGCCGCCCAGAGTGGCTGGAGAAACCCAGCCAGATGGGCGGGGTATAAATAAATAAATTATTATTATTATTATTTCAGTCTGAGGGTCACTGTCCCTTCTGTGAAACCTTTTGGGGGCCACATGCTGGTGGGCAGGCATGAACAGCAAGCAGAACAACAAATGTAATTTTTATATATGTACAACAAGCTAGGTTCTACACACTCTCTCTCTCTCTCCTCCATTCAAATAATCAACAAGCATTATCAGAGCTCATTCTAGCCAGGTTATGGGTTACTTCACTTGGCTTGTGAAGGAAGGCCAATGCAGGGTGTGGCCTGGGAAAAGCTCTTTTACTGTTCTTTTGAATAATGTCCAACACTTTGGTACCCTTTACCTGTATGTGTTCTAGGATAAGTATATCAACAGTAGAGCAATAATTTCACTTCACAAGTCTTAATAATGATGCTGCTGTGCTGGTATAGCCTTTGTAAGTGTCATTTTATCTCGGGATCCTTTTGTCAACTTGCGCTGAGGTTTTTATGTTGTATGTCTTCTGTCTTTCTCGCAGACCGTCTGCTGCCTAGTTCGTGATTTGCCATATTATGCTTGTGAGTTCAATTTATCTCAGCTGAAAGCATTGAAAATCAACAGGGGGCACATCAGTACAGCTTTCCAGTTTGCTGACATCAGTTTCTGGGTGAACCTCTAAAATGTCAGCACTGTTGAAATTACTTCTGAGTAGCCATTTAGAGGATTGCACCTTCCTTTTTATCCATGTAAGCTCTAGACCTTACATACACCATGATGCTAGTGTTCAAAATTTGAGTTTGTAAGTTTTTTGAGAACGACCTTTGGCAACCTGGCACCTTCCACATCTTTTGGACTACAATCTCCAACACGGGTTGGTGAAGGCTGTCCTTGTGTTTCCAGCAGATAGAACAAATTACACTAGCAGTAAATAGGAACAGTAAATGAGCAAAACACATACAGTACTTCCAACTTCCAGTGCCCATATCGCCTATGCCAAATTGTAAGGATGACAATTAGCAACAAAAGGTAAGAGATGTATTGGGAACTGCACTTTCAAACTAGCAGACTAATGAGCAAAACAATTAGTCTCTAAATGCTAATTTGTACTGCTAGACAAACATTTGTTATAGTTAAGAACAGAAGCCAAAGAAAAATGTGTCCCTCCTATGTTCCGTATTTCTGCTTGTGACCTTGAATGAACTCTATACCAGAAAACATGTGGACTGCCTACATAAGAGCTAATTTGCTGCTGATAAGCATAATCATTCAGAGAGAATTTGAGAAAAGTGGACTCGAAAACTTGACTGAACTCTGAATCGGAAATGTGAAATGTTTTGGTAACATTTTTGTTGTTGAAACAATGACAGATGAAACTACAGTTTCTGGGAAAGCTAAACAGCAACATTTAACAAGTAACTAGTCTCATATATACAAGTTATTTAAAGCAACAAAAACAACCTAAGTAGACCATGGGACATAGGCCAGTGACGATGATACCAATGTAACTATGCTGTCAAAAGAACTGGTCTTATATGTGATCTTGGTAACCAGAACAGTAATTGCAACATAAGGGAAAACAGCTCAAAATATTACACTGGACGCTTGGTACCACTTACTGTACTCTGGAATAAATCTATAGTGGAGGAAACCATGCATAATCTGAGATTTTGAAAAGGACTAGACGCTCCAGACACTTTTTATTCCTTTATGACACACACACAGCAGAATCATCGTTTTCAAGACGACAACCCTCGTCACAAGCCTGGCAAATGCGGAACTAGACTTGATGATTTGATAAAACTGATAATCTTTACATGCACTTCATATGCAACTACACACTCTACGTGCCTATTTCTTAGTTTTGTTTCTCATCTTTTAATTTCTGTCTGCTGTTATAATAAAATGAAAAAGTTAACGAAAAAGAAAAAAGATAAATCACTGCTCATTCTCATTGGTTTAGAAATGGAAACTGCAGCATCTCCCTGAAAGACACTGTGTCTGTGTTAATTGTTTTTTAAAATCTGAGGACAAGCAGCCATTGGGCAAACGACATGGTAGCAAAGGTCACTAGTTGAATCATTAGATTAAGACATCCATTTACAGTACACAAGTAGCATTACATAATGGCTTTACTTCTCATTACTGAGAGCAACTCTTATTTGTTTCCCAGAATAGGATTTGTTACTATATTCAGTTCAGTAAGATATTAACTGTGGCAACAAATGTTTTTTATTGATAATTTACTTTAATATTATTTCAATAATATAAACTACTCACAAAACTTCAAGGGGGGGGGGGTCCACACATGATAATGTATCAATCTATCTCCTAAATGACAAGTGTTTGAGAATAATGATACCTGGATGATTCCCAGCCTATAATCATGATTCCACTTGAGCTCATAGGAGTTCTAACATTGATTACAGTAGCAATAAGAATGATTCTTTGGTGTTTAAGAATGCACAACCAGGATGTACATCTGTGCGGGTTCCTTCCTGTGCTTACATTTGCTAACTTATTTTTAATTATATAATAAATCCTATTTGTGAAACCACAGGAATGAATTTCTTGGTGACACTGTAGTCTCTCCAAAGCCAGGTAAGCTACCTGCAAAATGTGTAAACCAGCAAAGTAAAAACAAGCAATGTGACTTTTTATACGGAGCAGAAGGTATCAAAATGCACCTACAGAGATCAGGCAGGCATCTGCACAATTTATGATGGAAAAATTCCTACACGTGTACTGGCATATTAATGATTTTGTTAAGTATACAACCTCTGTTACTAAGATGGTCTCATGTCTCTGTGCTTTGAGACTCAAGAGTCTGGTTGAGCTTGTATTCAATTAGCAAGAAGGCTGTCATGATTTCTGGATTCAAAAGCCTTCTCTGTCCTATTGATAGCAGGTTCATCAGGCCCCACATGGATTGGTAAACTCATTATCTTCTAATTTTTCAGGGTTCTAAGTTCTGCCTTATGTCAAAGGTTCTTCTGAGAAGATGAATAGCAAAAACCTGTCTACCACCTAGGTCTTAAGTATCAACTTTTGGTACCTTAATTCTTGAAGATGTTGTCCTAAGGGAGAAAAGGATGTTGTTTTTAAGAACTGCATTAATAGCCTATCTGAAGGCTTAATTATGTTTTTGATGGTGGAGAAAATTAATTAGTACCTGTATAGTTTCATGGGAAACTGTGTTACAGTTGGCCACGATCACAGTATTATTACATGTTTTGCCCACCTTTCCTTCAGGAGCTCAAGGTGGCTTACATGATTCTCCCCCTCCCCATTTTATCCTCACAACCACTCTGTGAGACAGATTAAGCTGAGAGACAGACTGTGAATGGTCTCAAATGACAGCTGAGGGGGGGGGTGTTTGAATCCTGGACTCTAACCACCACACTAAACTAGATTTGAAATATTTCATACGTAATTTTACATAAAAAATAGTCCCAGTTGCTACTGGGTGGCCTTTCAGGTGGAGTTCATTTTCAAACACTAACATGCCATATAAATGTGATATTCATCCATACAGCTTCCCTTTTCCCTTTTCCCTATAGAGAAGACAACTTTGCTTTCTAATCTGAATATATATTATGCAACCTACTTGATAACAATCAAGTGCACAGCACAGACGTATCTTACAATCCTACTAACACACATTAAAGTTACCTTGAAAACTGGCCCTCAGTTCAATTTTATTAGCATCCAAGAACATACACCAAGCAGTCTCCAACCTTTCACATATGAAAACAGGGGGACTCCTGTATTCAAATGAATGGGGCTAGAGTCTATCAGCCCAGTTTAGGCCAATAGTAGGCTGAACACAAAAGCAGGCCAGAGAAAATCCAGGCTTAAACATGCCAAAATCATCAAGTGGGAACTAAAAGCACAGACAAGCAGGTGGTTCATTTTATTAACAAAAGTTGCAACCCGTGTAATTTGAATTTCATTTGTCTCAGTGGAAACATATGTTTGGGCACCATCAGAATTATAAATATACAGTATCTCACAAATGCTTTACAGAATAGCATGGTAGGCATAGTCAGTTCCTTTGTGATGCCTGCTTCCTGGGCTTTAGCTACCATGTGTGTTTATCAGTACAAAAAACAAAAATGATTTAAAAATCAACAGGCCCTTGGCTTGCTATAGCATCTCCAGGTGAGAAGGGTGGAAAACCACCCTGCCAAAATTAGGCAGAAAGGAGGACCGAGGACAATTGCATGTTGACGGTGCATCACAGAGAGTCCACCTAGAGCAAGTGGAAAGAGAAGGCCTAATTCTATGAATCTCACTTATGGAATTTCTTAGGGGGAAAGCATATTTCTGAGAGGAAAGTATCAGATTCACTATGATTAAAGTGGCTACCTGGCAAAGCTAAATAGTCCAAATCAAGAATCTGCCAGCTATTCCGTACATGAAATACAAAGGGCACTGACTATTTTGGAGCCTTTTCAGAGGAATGTTTTACTACTTCAGTGTTCTCCCCCCCCCCCCAGGGTAAAACCGTAAATATTTGTGTAAGCTTCCCAGAGCCCTTCAGAATAGCCCTATCAATTAGTCTAAACAAACAGTTGTGTGCACATAAAGCAAGCAAAGGTTTCCATTAATGACATTTACATCTATATCTTCCATCCCAAAATGTTCCAAAGACAGGACAGAGTGAAAGAAGATGGTGCATCAGGCCAATATCTGTAATTTTATTGTTGTTGTTAAGTTATTAACCACCTTAAGTACAGTTTTTGTAGAAAGGCAGAGTATAAGTTGTAACAAATTAAGTTATGAAGGAGGAGAATTACACTGAGTACATTTCCCTATCGTACTATAAACATACATAGAAATGTTATTACTGCATTTGGTCCACCCCAGATAGGTCACTTTGGTGTTGCAAACGCAGCAAAAACCACAGGGGTGAAGGCAGTTATGAGTTACCAGTCTCTGCAGCCACAGTAGGTGATATAATTCTTCAGTGGTTTGACTTCACCCTCAGTGGTATGGTCGTCTCTCAAGACAGACAGATGCCAACAAAAATTTGATGCTAATCTTGGTAATCCAGCAAGGTGTCAGCGGTCTGGTTTGCACATAAACCATTGGTTAATATTATGTATGAACCTCGCCCAGCAAATCAACTATGATTTATTAGCTATGGTTAAGGCTTGCTTGTTAATCAAGGTTTGCTGGTTGATACACTTCAGTTACAGTTAACCACAGCTTATCATTTTGAGAACGTCCTCCTTACCTATGGCTAAGGAGCTGTCACCACTCAAAAGCAACAAAAGCTGTGATGGAAGAGTGGGGAAAAAATGATTATTATTATTTATTGAATTTATATACCATCCTAAACCAGGAGGTCTCAGGGCGGTTTACAGAGCAAATTCAAACCACTCTCAAGGCTTGACTGCTCTTGCTGCCGTTTTTAATGTACAACCTGAGGTTTAACTCTGGTTAATATTAACTACGGTTAACATTTACCATGGTGTTGTTATGTGTGAACCAGGCCTGAATCTGCTAGTCACCCAACCCTCATTACTAACAGACCATCGGGAGGAGCTTTCTGGCTTAGCATTACAGTCATGTGGCTACCCCCTAGCCACAATGATAATGATATTTGCTTTAGTCAAATATGCAGGGGTTTCACATCACTGGCCACTACCTATATTTTCAGATGCTTGGTAATTGTAATCTAAACGGAGTATTTAGAATTGCACTTTTAGTGATTTGTCACAGGTTGAGGGGAAACAGATGGGATCAAACAGATGGTGCTTCAAGAATATCTTGAAACTCTCAGACCGTCAAGATGCATAGGTTCTCTATTTTCAGCAAGTGCTCCCCCATTCAAGGGAATACATAACCATAGTAACGAGCCTGCTGACTAGGTACCACCCAAAGCCTGTCTATGCAAGAGTCCACAGAAAAAACCTTATCCCTCTATTCTTCACAATTACTTAAAACCTTGCACAATGAGCCTTTCCTTTTCTCCCCATTCATTCTAACCGGCAAATACGAATTCAAACATATTTTTAAAAGGTCCAAATGTTTGCAAAAAGAACAGAAATTGTTAAGCACAAATTGTAAGGGGTGGGGTGGGGAGAACCCTATGGCAATCATCTATTTGTTAAGACTAATGCATTTGGTGCATTAGATTATGCCTTTTGCATATTGTGTTTTGTATTTGAATGTCTAGAGCACACAAAGCCAACATAGTGTCTTCTAGATATGCAACTGACCATGCTAGCTGGGCCAGAGGAGACTTTGGAGTCCAATAATATCTGGAGGGCAACACATTGTCTACCCCAGGCCTAGGGATTCTTCATGCTTGTTTTAATTCTGTTTCTCCAAACAGGATTTCCTACACCATTGTGCTAGTAAAAAAATCAGAAGATTAGCTTCCCCCCGCCACCAGTCATACATAACACACTAACAAAATATGTTCTCTGAAGCCTAAACAGGAGATGGTTCACGTTAACCAGAATATAACTTGGATCTAAATCCAAGTGTAGTGTAGTTATTATAAATTAAGACTTCTCCCATACCTATCGAAGTATTTGAAAAAGTTGTAAACTGCATGTATAACGTGCATGTTTTACTTAAGAGCTAGGATTTAAAGGCTATATTTGTGTACAATACAGGAATTAAAGATGGTATCCAAAACAGACCTGACTGCAGAAACAAAGAAACCTGTACCACCTTAGATTTACCACTAGGAGTCAGCTTTGCACAGGTCAGAATGAGCACCAGGCTCTAATGTACCTAATATATGAAAAATAGTGAATAAGCTAATAGTACTGAGCATTTAATTAGAATTTTTTTGTACACAATTCTTTTGTCTTCCTAGTGCTCTGGAGAGATTATCAGTCTACACCCGACTGAGCTCTCTTTGCCAAGAAAACTCTTAAAGTCCTCATCTGGTAGAATTCATATGCCAATTCAGAAGCAGGTCATGTCCACAACTTAGCTTAAATCTGCTTGAGACAGAATGCACAAAGTTTGCTTTGAGACTAAGTAACTTGCCCAGTCTGGTACAGGAATAGTACTGGGGCAAAACTGGTTGTTTCAGGTGCAGAAAATTCTCTTTGCAGAGAAGAATGGGGGTGCTTAACTCTCCTCCCCGTCAGGCATTTTCCCAGGTTCTACTTATTCCTGGCATTAGTGCTACAGATTGGTGCTGACCTCACAAACATAGGTACAGAACTTGGGGGAGGGGCAGCATTTGGGAGAAAAAAATGTGGCAGGGATTTTTTTTTAAAAATCCCAACTTTTCTCTGCAATGAGAAAAGACTTTCAAGCTAATGCAGCCTTCCTCAACCTAGGCCCTCCATATGTTTTTGGCCTACGACTCCCATGATCCCTAGCTAGCAGGACCAGTGGTCAGTGATGACGGGAATTGTAGTCTCAAAACATCTGGAGGGCCGAGGTTGAGGAAGCCTGAGCTAATGATTACATGCCCAAACATTGTAATGTGTAGTTTGATTTTGTTACGAATACTGCTGCAGTTCTAATTATTTATTTATTTATTCATCCATCCATCCATCCATCCATCCATACATACCCCGCCCATCTGGCTGGGTTTCCCCAGCCACTCTGGATGGCTCCCAACAGAATTAAAAGGCGATAAAATATCAAACATTAAAAACTTCCCAAACAGGGCTGCCTTCAGATGTCTTCTAAAAGACAGACAGTTGTTTATTTCTTTGAAATCTGATGGGAGGGCATTCCACAGGGCAGGCGCCACCATCGAGAAGGCCCTCTGCCTGGTTACCTGTAACCTCACTTCTTGCAGTGAGGGAACTGTCAGAAGACCCTCGGAGCTGGACCTCAGGCTGAATAATGGGGGTGGAAACGCTCCTTCAGGCTGTTTAGGGCTTTAAAGGTCAGCATCAACACTTTGAATTGTGCTCGTAAACGTACTGGGAGCCAAGTTCTTGATGGTTACATTTGACATGATGGCCAGCAAGCTGAACAAAACATTGGACCTATACTAAAACCCCAATATGCTACAAAGGAGAGGTTATTCCTAGGAAGAACACTCTTGTTCCTAAACCCATTTCCATAAGAGTCTCACTAAAGCAGTAAGTTACTTAGCAGCAGCTGTTACATGAGCACACCATGAATGTATGTGTACTAGCTCTAGCAGAATCATGGATGCAAGTACATTATCCCTCTACTGAAAGCATCTCTAGCTCTAACTACCACCATAAGCATTACCACAGCCTCCGCAGCTCCTCCATCCATGGCTTCAAGGTTTCTCCTTTCCAGGGGCTGATGAGCTCTGGCATCATGAACAGATATCAGAACTCCAAACGTGTTCACACATACACAAGCATATATTTATAATGGAACAATAAATATAAAAAACTTTGACACAGGTGGCTGAGCCACCAAGTTTCTGAAGCTGCTCTAACCCTGATCACAGTGAGCCTGAGGAAAAAGGGAAGGAATGTAAACTTTTTTTTAAAAAATGCCAGCAGTGTTATGCTTCTTTACACCCAAAAATAGAAATGTGGAATATCGTCTACTAAGTCTTATGAACACTTTGGGATAATGCATGTGACATCATCACTGATGTTGTCTGACATGCTTTAAAAAATGTCAAGCCTGCTAGAGTTGTTTCTTAGAATGGGTGATTTTATTTACACATGTACAGGCAAAAGTGGGGCTCAAAAGCATGAATGGCAAGTAGTATAGTCCAGGACAACGCAAGATAAACCTAAAATTGTCACAGGCTCTTTTTTGCTTTTTTTGTTGTTGTTGTTGTTGCTACTTTGCCATTTCTTTCTCAATACCAATGTTCTTTTCTATATGTACATACAAAATGGTAACACTTCCATGCATCTGATGGGAGTGCACAAAGTGTATGAAGAAGGGGATTCTAGTGCACAAAACCTTTTGCCACAATCTATTTGTGTTCAACACGCCACAAGCCTTTGTTGTTTTAATATGTCATGGAGAATGCCATGCTAGAAATCTTCTCCCTACGAAGCCCAGTGTGTGTAAGGGAGTCTTTTCAAATGGGAAATTGCTCAAGAATTCCAAAGTGGTAGTGAGTCTCCCAAGGACTGTACCATGCAATTTCTGTACTCAAAAGTACAGATTGTCTTTTACCATTGGCAGAAATAGGAAAGAGAAGGAATCGTGTTGGCACTGCATTTAATTCCAGGGGTGGAAAAGGTAATATTCTGTTGCAGTTGCCACTGAATTACCCGTGCTTCTAGAAGGCCAAGATGTAGTCACTCCCTAGGCACTCCCTTTGGCTGATTAGGTTCCCATGCCCTTTTAAATGTGTTTGTGGGAAGGGATAGGGGGGTTATTTGTGTGTGTGTGTGTTTGTTCTTGTTTTTATTATGTATTTTGTGTTTTTATGTTGGGAACCATCCTGAGATCTATGGATGAAGGGTGGCATATAAATTTAATAAACAAATAAATCATAAATAATAGGGTAACAATCACCAAATGGAATGTCTAGTTGCCATTTTGAGGCCAGCTGGCTCAAAAGTTGTATTTTTCAATACAACTGAAATATCCCTGATAAGATTCTAAATGATGTGTTGTTAGTGTGTGAAAACAGGAAAGAGTCAAGGATCCCCAGGCATGCACCTCCAGATGGTGGAAATGTCAGGTGCCATCCTGGCACCCGGGAATCTTCACTTGGTCACAAGTGGCCAATAGCCACGTGCAAAATGTGTCTGGTACCTGGCAATTTTGAACAGTGTCTCAAAGTGATTGAAAATGTAGTAATATAAATAAAATAGTTACAAATATAAAAACAGTTAAAACAATTGCATTTATAAATAGACTTTGAAACAACAACAGCACACGCTTAAAATCAATTCAAATCCCAGTTGGGATAAGGATTTTAAGAGGTTTGTTGAATGAAGAATACTTTTAGCATGTGCTGAAAAGGCAATAAAAATGCATGTGTAATATGCATTACGGGGGGGGGGGGGGGGCGTGTTTCCAAAGGATAGCTGCTGCCACACTAAGGGCCTGATTCCGACATCACACGGAATAGACCTCCTGAATAGGATGGTATTTGCAGAATGCCCTCTCTTGCACAAGGCAGCAATCAGTTGTGTGTGTAAGGGATGAGGTGATCTTTTAGGCAAGATGCTAGTGACAGGAGTATCATTCATCCACTAGTGAAAAGGCTCTCCTGAGAAAACATGCACTTTGACGTTTATATCCTACCTTTCTATTTAAAAAAATTAAACTCAAGGTACTTATCAAACATAGAACTAAAACTAAAAACATTCCTAACAAATGAAACAGGAATTATTGGATAATATAGGTTAGAGGTATATAGGTAATACCTCTATATAGGTAAATTGGATAATATAGGTAACCTTAGGGCTTACCCTGTGGTTGCAATGGAGGCAAAGAAATCCTCCTTCTCTGTCACCATAGTACCTGCACAATTTGCCAGCAGAAGCTATTAGTTGTCCTGTGGACTTTGATAATATGATTGACTAGGAGCTCTTCTTCAGGAAGACATCTGCAAAATGTGGGGGTTGCATCCTAATCTCCTGAAAAGGTTCTTTCCCCCTGTAACTGATGAAAATGTAGGTACAGAATGACCAAATTTAACATTCATGGTTACAAAAGGAGTTAAAAGTAATTGGTAGTCCAGTATATGAAATGTGACAATAGAGTGGAAAACAGCTGGCTATGAGAGTAGATTGAAGGTGCCCATAACTTCCAACTCTTGATGGGCATTTTTATGGTCTGGCCCAAACCTGAGTGGAAGACCTCAAGGAAATGCAATTTTCTATTTGATTTCCAGATTACCAAGTAGTAATCTTTCTAATGCAACTTATAAGTGTTACCATTGAAATTTAAGCTTTAGCTGAACAAAACAAATGGCAACAGAATAAAAATACGAAGGGCAACAAAGCCCAAACTGATTGCTAAGCTGAACAGAACAGGATGCCTGCCTCTATTTAACAGTTTATGATGAGTGGGTTGTTGTTGTTTTTACTGTCACTTCATTAGCAGTGTATCTATATAATCAGCAATGTTAATTTGCATAAGCAATATATATTTCATATTAGACTTTTTGTATATGTTCACAGCTAAAGCCAAACCATGGCCAAAGAAGATGCCAACTTTATCTGTAACAGTACATATTGGGCTTAAAAAACCCAGTTTATTACAACATATGTCTAAGTCTTTTCATTACTTTTACATCATACAATTTTTTTCACTCTTCTCCTCCAACTCATTCACTGGATTTCTAGCTTCTTTAAAATGGCCTAGAGAATGGCAGGATGACAATATTTGTATGGAACACTAACCAGGCACTTTTTGTTTCTAAACTATAGCAAATAAATTCTCTGTAATTATTTGTTTTTCATTAGGTCATCATGTAGTCTAGGTACAATTTGTTGTTGTTTTTTAATTAAGATGAAGTTCTAATACATTCTGCTAGAATGCCAGAATTCACAATTTACTATTTGCTACTCAATCTCAATTAGATCTGCAGAACTACCCCTTCAAATATATAACATGGACAAGGGCCTTCTACAAATCCATTAAGCTTCAGAGGAACTTTGGAACTAAATCAGGAGATGTGTCATGCATTGCTTCCTTTCCACAGGAAGTATTTACTGAAATCCTACACTGTCAAAGGTCACTGTCAAACAAACAATTCATTCTTTGCTTTCAGCTGCATAGGCCTGCTGCAGCCAAAAATAATTTTAAGGTCAAGTAACACAATCTTGATTTTGATCCATTTGCCAAATAACTCCCATAACCCTAGCTAATATTCAGTCAAAAATACTTAACAAGAGATGTATTCCAAGAAAAGCTAATATCAGAGAACCGTGTGTCCTTAACAAGCGTTGTAGTAGAGTATCCTGGCTTTGGAAAATGTTATATTTAAAACTTAATCTTCCAAAGGTAACAATATAAAACAGACAAACTGGAGCTGTAAAAAAGGAGCTAGTCAATAAAAATAAAGTGGTGCTATGTTTCATATAACTACAGCACAATATCCCCCATCACATCACTGAAGCAGAACAGTTGGATATTAACCTTTAAATAGCTGGAAAGAATTACACCACCAAGCACCAACCCCCACAGTATTTAAAATGGTAATATTCCTAATACTAGTTTTATACTTGAAGAAGTATCTGCAGAAGAGATAAATCTGATTGTTACTTAAGTAACTTGTTGAATGACAAGTAAAAGCATACATTCTGCTTTTAATACAATTATCTATTAATAATCTCAGTCTCTTTACTGTATCATTCCACCAGAACCAAACTGTTCCTTCTCTTCTCTTCCATACTACCTAGATCATGAAATATTGCATAACACTACTGCAATAAATCCAAGAGTTTGTGAGCCACCTTCTTGCTAAGATTCATGCACCTTTGTCAACATTTATTTCATCCTTTTAGAAGTATTGTCTATTAAGATCTTCAATATGTCTGGAGTGGCTGGGCAAAAAGTAAAGCAACTTTGAACATTTATTTATTGTTTATTTATTGTTAGATTCTTATTCATCTTCTTTCCAGCTATAAATACCACCTATTTTACCGAGAGAATTTCAGAAGTCTACACTTGTTACTCTCCCTCGCTATATATTACATATACACACTGCACAAATTCAAATAACACTTTTGACATGGAGCACTGGAAGGTTTCGTCAGCAAGCAGCATGATACTATTTCAAAAAATTTTAGTACAATGAAGTCCTACTAGTGACTGTTTATATATAGACAGTGGATTAATCTCCACTATGCATTTCACAAAATCACACCTGCGCTGTCTACAATATATCTCAATATTTGTAGTAAGGAAAGCAAAAGCTTTCTATATCCAGGATAAACTGTCTTTCAAAGCTAATATGCTTAACCTGCAGTTTCAATCACACTGGGAAAAGATCGGGCAATTAATTGTCACCAACAGCAACAACAAGGTTATAACTAATGTACAGTAAAATGTGCTCTCAAGATTATTGCCCACCACTCCATACCTTTTTTCATCCGATTGCCACCATTCCATACCATTTTTCATCTGATTGCTATAGGATTAATTTAGTGTTTTGCATTCACTTATATAGCAAATGAAAGTGGTATGAATTTGTCATATGCTTCACAGGTTATACCCAGGAATGCCCAAGCCACAAGATATGAAGAACTGATTTTGATTAACATCAAAACAATTGAAAAACATTCCTAACTAATTTTAGATACATAAGGCCATGGTTCTGTTGTTGTTTCTACTGTTACTATTTCAAGAGATAGCTACTGGAGAAAAAGGTTACAGGGAAATAATTCCTCCAGACTCATAATAATTTTGAAGGCAAGAATTTACTCACGACTGGTGAACTCAGAGCTTTAAAAAGATCTGATTAGCAACAGCTATTCTTGTTCTAATGCCCAGCCAGAGCCCAAGTATATGACTGAAGAATTCAAAAAATGACCAGAAAAACTTACCAAAGCAGACAAAGCCTTCCTCTGTTCCTTCTTCCATTCATGCTACAAATCCCTCAATGACTAGCTCTTGGACTGGCACAACATTTGCTGCACTGAGATAGTGTTTACTAACAGCCTCCACATAAATAGAGATTTATTTCGGGTTACGTGCACTTATATTACAGCATAAAACTTTCACTATAGGCAATTACCAAATGTAGCCTCTTACCAGACTGAAAACAATTAAACTATCATCGTAAAATCTGCAGATTTTAAAGTTTGACCATGTGACAACCAAATCTATAACAAGTACAAGATAGAGGCGACATAGGTGTGTTCTCCTTTTCCTTATACCCACCACAATATTGCAAACTTCTCCATTTTACCCAAGGAATGCAACATTGTTTAAGAGACACCCACCAACACAACAATTCATAATCCTCTCCCTTTTGAAACTAACTCATATGCAAGCCTTTATTCCTTTCCCCATATTCTATTACAATAGAGCATTTGAACAGTCACATTACCCAACAGCTGACAGGTCATTCCCCATTATCAGTGCCATAATACACCTGAATTGCCCTGCCACATCTCATGCTATATTCGGAGAGCAATTCTAAGACGTAATCTCTCACAGGCTTAGGGATCCTAGGAATCCTCCCCCGCTATCTCTCCATGGCAACAGTAGCTACAGTAGAGACGGTCCACCTCTTACGCAAGCGAAAGGAATATGAAACACTGCCAAGAGGCCACAAATGCCAGCAGTCAAAACATTACCCTCACCCCTCCCTATTTAATTGTTGCCTTAAAGAAACAGCAGTCTATTTCTTTTTGTTTTCTTAGGAAATGCACACACAAATCTGCATTTGAGCAGAAGGAAGAAAGCATACCAAAAGATACTTGCAAATTAGGGCTGTAAGCACTTTCAAAGTAAATAAACCACGTAAAGAGGAAGAACTCTCCTCCCAAAACGCTTCCAGAAATACACTTCCCATCCTGAAAGAAACACTTGGGTACCAGGCGCTTCAAATCAAATATATTGTACCCTTTATGTGTGATTATAATATTAATACAATCTACTATAGTGTGTTAAAAGATTTCAAAGCACAAAACCAGAAACTGCATTTATATTTTAACTTGACAGAACAACACCTACTGAATTATTATTTCACTCCAGATGTTGTTGGTCTCCAGCTCCCATCAGCCCCAGTGTGTCCACTGGTCAGGGAGTGGTAGAGAACATCTGGAGAGCAACAGATTTGGAAAGGTTGAACTTGCAGACATCAGATGTTCTCACAAGAATTTGCCTCAAATAGAATGTGGAGTGAGAGGGAAGTCCCAATTCACATTGTAATTTACCTACAAAAGATAGTCTGTTCATTCTCACCTGATGAAAATAAACTGCTCTCATCTGGCCACTCATTATCTGACCATACTTTTCCCTATTAGTCATGAGTATTTCGTTTATTTACCACTTTCATTTTTGTGAGGGTGGAGTTGAAGCAAGGCAGTGAAGCAGAAAGGAACAAAACTGGAAAAAGAGAAGACAAAGTTGTCCAGTGTACAAGATCCTATATTCCCATACTTAAGTTGAAATTCTGGGAGTAAGCCCTATTGACATACTTCTGAATAGACATCAATAGGGCTGTGGGTGCTAACCCAACAAACTGCCATGGTACTGACCCACAATAAAGGCCCTGAGGGACGCGGGTGGCGCTGTGGTCTCAACCACTGAGCCTAGGGCTTGCCGATCGGAAGGTTGGTGGTTCGAATCCCTGCGATGGGGTGAGCTCCTGTTGCTTGGTCCCAGCTCCTGCCAACCTAGCAGTTAGAAATCACATCAAAGTGCAAGTAGATAAATAGGTACCGCTCCAGCGGGAAGGTAAACAGTGTTTCCATGCGCTGCTCTGGTTTCGCCAGAAGCGGCTTAGTCATGTTGGCCACATGACCCGGAAGCTATACGCCAGTAAAGCAAGATGAGCACCACAACCCCCATGTCGTCTGCGACTTGCCCTAACGGTCAGGGGTCCCTTTACCTTTAAGAAAGACCTTATATGGCAGAAGTGGGGAAGTGCCGCCTCATCAGCACTAACTGGGCCCACCATGTCTCACAAGACAGTTTTTGACAGGCCACAGGTACACAAATAGAAACTAAAATTTGAAGAAAACCCATGAAGGTGTTATGCATGTGGAATTGCTTGAATGTGATTTAAATTCATGTGGCCACATGATGCAAGGAGCCTTAAAAATGAAATATTTTTATGGCTTCGGTGCCAGTACTTTCAATATGCTGATGACATATGCCGGTGCCAGTACTTTCAATATGCTGATGACACTCAGCAATCTCTCTGTGTGTCATCTGATTAACAAATTACATGAAGCTTAATCTAAGATCCTATTCACATTTCCAAGGGCTGATCTATATTATAGTTTACTGCAGAACAGGATGAACATTCCTGGTTCCTCAATAATTGAATTAGTTTCGACTGCAATGGTATGCACTTCCTTGGAGTAAAACCCACTGAATATTTCTAAGTAAACTTGCATAGTCATGAGGTGGCAGTATACCTGAGAAGACATGGCCTGGCTAAACAACTGATTTGGAGAAGAATGTACAATAATTGGAAGCATGTACACCATAGGTTCAGGTGAGGTCAGACTCAAAAGTCAGCTCTTTGTTCAGAAGTATTTAGCTCCTAAATGCAGTTTCCAGCAGCTGGAAAGATATTAGGATGTCGTGGAAGAAAAGTTTGCATACACCAAACCACAGGCAGACACAACATGAATTAAGCAGGTCATCTATGGCAAGCTGCATTCTACCACAAGTAAGTACATAAATATATATAAAAGAAAAACGCTTGGCTTTCAATCTGCATCCATCTCCCAAACTACATGGATACACAAGCATGCCAAATTTTAACAGAAACCTAGAACACCACAGCAAGTTACGTTTTCCTCCATAAGTGAAAGTACAGTTTTGACACTTTCAAGACAATCCTCAACACACACACATATGTCAACACACACAGAATTTCCTAGAATCCTAGAACTGTAGCATTGGAAGGGACCCTGAGGATCATCTAGTCCTACCCCCTGCAATGCAGGAATATGTAGCTGTGCCAAATGGGGATTAAATCTGCAACCTTGGCATTATCAGCGCCATGCTCTAACCAACCGAGCTTGTATGTTTAACCTAAGCATTAGGGTTTTCTTCTTCAGTTAAGAAAAATAGTTATGACTGCTGTTACTCTTCAAGTTCACATTATTTCACTTCAATACGCCATTTCTTCTGAATTCACCTCTTTCATATTCTGCAGTAAATGCTTAAGCCTCAGTTCTGGGACAATTAAGTTCTTTGATCACTGCCCTCAGTTTAAACACTAAACAGAGGCTTTAAACAAACACCCATCTTTATACACGACTCTCACAGAGATAAGGTTAACACCATTTTAATATCACAAAGGAAGTTAAAGGAATAATTTCCTAACCTGTGCTCCATTTACCCACCTAAACACTTGTTCCTTTTAACTCTGCCAGCTGTTATAATAACACTGTGCTGCATTTCCCCAGTTAGTGGAAAAATATAAAGAAAGCAGACGGGTATTGCAGTGTGGTTCCTGACCAGGAATTGCAACCCTGTGCTATGCTGGATACCAGATTCTCACTCCCTATCTGGCTCTCCTGCTTCAACTGTGCAGCACTTCTACATTTACTCAACCAAGGAGTTGCAAGCCACTACTATGATAGCTTTGGCAATGGGTCTTTCCTTAAAATCTGAACTTGGAGGGATTAAAAAGTCAAAAAGGCTGAAGTGAAAGAATACAACCCCCATAGTACTTCAAACAACACATAATCAAAAGGGCAAGCAGGTACAGTTTACCATAGTATCTGTCAGGTCTGACATAGTATACAGATAACCACAGTATCATCTATTATTATTGCTTTGTTGAAGTCTATCTTAATGAATATTATTGTAAGGTGGAGAAATCCCATTTAGAATATTTTTTCATTGTATTGACAACTTCATGTATTGACACTGACAAGTTTTATCATCACTAAAGTTTATCACCTTATTATCGAAGATTTCAAAGCTCTCACCCACTTCTGAACGTAAACTGAAAAGAGTTATGTGCTTCTATTCAGATGAACGGTCAAATCCATTAACACACTATTTACATTATCATTTATCCCAAACAGAAAGGAAGGTCATTCAACAGGGCCTAATCCTAACAGGCCAGGAACAGATGGTGCCCTCAGAACAGGAAGGCAAAAAAATCCAAACTTCTGTTGCTTCATATTCAGAGCAAAGTTTACTCATGCTGATAGAGTCTGCATACCCTTAACTATATGGGTTGGTAGCCTGCTAAAAAATAAAAAGAAATCAATGTTGGTGTTTTTACTCTACTCCCTTTATTACAAATATTAATGTGTTACTGATAAAACCTGCTTTGTTTTATTCTGCTTCTGTTGACAATTCTTGCATTTATTTGTAATAATGTTCTACTTGCACGCTTTAAAATATTTAATATATAAAGCTTTTATAAAGTTATTTTGAGGCCATGAAACATTGTCTACTCCACACAAAGAACTAAAAAGGTTTTGTGATGCAGAATCAGCAAAGAAGGCATCTTTTACTGTACCAACATTTGTTTGTTTGAAAAAAAATCAGCATAGATACACAGAATTAAATGAACAATTTTAAAGTATGAAAATATACACATTCAGTCTTGCAACTTTTTTGTGCTAGGAAGAATGTTCATTCTGCCTGATGAAGAGTTCTACCCAAAGATCTTTAAATAGTTGGTTGGCCCAAAGCACTATCATTCATACAAATCATGAAGTAAATTAGGTAGAAGGAAGCAAAAAGCAGACCAGGAGGACTGCACATTCAATAAAAGCATATTTATTAAATTAGATTACATATGTTGCCAATGCAAGTCCAAGATTCATAGCAGTTGTAGGAGGTGATGCTTTCATGAATACATAATAGGTTCTAGTCAGTGTATTGCGTTTTTGGATCACAATTCTATGCATTGCTTAATTGAAAGTAAATCCCACAGAAGTTCAATGATGCTGAATCCCAATTTTAATTATAAAGTTCAATGAGATTTACTCCCAGGTAAATGAGACTAAACACTACTGCAATCAGTGGAATTTACTTTGAGTACACACGCATAGGATAGCACTATCGAAGATAAAATATTGGTATGTCTATGAATTTTAGCATCCCAACAACTCTACATTTTAAAGTAAGTTTTGCCTTGGGCATATACACCTACTTAGCCAAGTCACTCCATACCAAGAGGAACTGTATAATTTTGCTAAATTTCCTTCTCAATTGTTTCCAGCAGCCTTGAAACCATATACTTTTGGTCTTTACATAACTTCTGAGAAGGAAAACAAATTTATCTTTCCTCGCTATAGCATATGATGATTCATTACAATATTACTTTGTCAAAACAGCTGTTTGGTGAAAATGCCTTCCGGTGAATTTTTGCGTTATCTGCCAATATCTTAACCATACTGGAGGTGCTCTTGTAATCTCTTGCCCAAAAGATGGTGTTAAATTTTCTGCCAATGGAGAGCTAGTATGTGGAAACATCAATTTGTCACAAACAAATTGTGGATAAAGAAGAGGAAGCTGTTACAATAGAGATGAATGAGCCAGTCCAGCGGACTTTGACTTTAGGGTTCTTGAACTTCTTCACCATAGCCACACAGCACACAGCTGTGTCCTAAAATAACCCTTAGTTTTCTGCAGATGTCCCAACAGTTGCTGAATATAAGATAGTCATGGGACATTAGAAATATTATTTGGCTCCCAAGATTGAAGCTCAAGAAGATTCTTAAGAATTTGATGGAAAGAAGCAAGGTTTATGAAAGATGAGCCTAGGCTGGAAGCCTGTGCCCCATTCAATCTTGGTGCATGGAATTATCACATATGCAGTTGGGCCCAATTTTTGATAGTCCCATGTAAATACTGTTTCTGCCTGTTATGCAAATCCTTTCTAAAACAGTCTCTCCCTGCCCCCCACAACCCGTATCTTTTAGACCTTGCTTTTATAACTAAACTTTTACCCCAGAACAGCTGTACAACATTTAAGGAGTCAAGTCAATTGCTTGACAGTGAGGCTGCTGTTGACTTCTAAAAATAATAGTCATAGAATCATAGAACTGCAGAATTGGAAGGGACCCTGAGGATCATCTAGTCCAATCCCCTGCAATGCAGGAATATGCAACTGTCCCATACGGGGATCAAACCTGCAACCTTGGCATTAACAGCACCATGTTCTAACCAACTGAGCTACCCAGGCTAGGAGATATTGCATTTTAGCTATTTCCTTGAAACAGAAGCCCTCAAAAAACAAAAACTTGTTAATAAAGATATTCAGTTTGTTATTTTTTTTTAAAAACTAACCACAACCTGGTACAAAAGACAAAGTCATACCCAGAAACATCCTTTCAATCTAATATAGACACACTTAGCACTACCAGGAGCAGTTGAAGCTTTAAGATACTGTTCGCTGCTATGAAAGATTTCATGCCTGCAGTACCTAACATTCTATGATTCACAATGACATTAACATTAGGGCTCCCTCAGACTTTCCTTTGAATTAGATGCTGTCAGCATCAGGCATTCCAGAAATCAATGGCTGTAACCACATTTGCAACAAGGAGCTCAACTTCAGTGCGCATATATATATATATATATATATATACATATATATAATTACTGAGTACTGTTTTCCCTTTCCCCTCCTACTCTTTACGAAAATAAAAAAGATGGTGCTCCTACTAGTATTTATGTGCAATATTTTAATGCCATTTCTACAGGTAAATCTGTCAAGGCAGTTTAAAAACTAAAAACATAAAACCACTTTATGCAGTGGCAGGATAGCACTGCAGTTGGTGTCCAAGGCAATCCCTTCCCTCCAACATAATGATAGGCTTTTCTAAAGGTCAAAAGTAAATAAAAACCTGTCTGGTCAGTTAAGATCTCTACTATACCAACAGTACATAGCAGTGGGGTGCATGAGGGGTCTTTTGAGGGGGGTGAACCTTATCCCCCCCCCCCCCGCATCCTAGCTCCCACTGGAGTATCACTCACCCTCTTTAAAAATCAGATCCCACCCTCTACCCACTTCTCTGCCTTACATATAAAAAGGGCAGACTGGTAAACAACCAACCATGTCCACCCCAGAGTCAAATGGAATTTCAGACCCAGCTATAAGACATTTAAATTATTCAGACACAAAATACTTAAGTGTTTGAAAATTCTGGTCCACCGGCTATTAAACATCCCCAAACAGAAATACAGTATACAGAAAGAAAGAATTTGGATTCTTACATTTGTTTTCCATAGTATGGATCCAAGAACAATAATCAGAAGCTGCATGCTTAACACACTAAGCAAGTCTCTTTAAAGAATATATTACATATTTTAAATATTTCATTCTGCATTGGCCATCTTTCCTTCAATCAATACACAGAACTTCCCAAATATTTTAATCGCACCAAGCCTAGCCAATTCTTGGAACATTTGATTTGCTAGCAGCATATTTTCTTCTAAGTATAACTTTCTACTTGAAAAAAGAACTGTTCCATGCAATAAATCTTAAAATTGACACAGAACTGAACACAACAGCACTGAGCGCAACATTTTCCACAAGCTATACAAATACTTGCTTCTCAAGGCATAGGGCTGGAGACTGTTTCGCAAATTTGGTGACAAAACAAGTTATTGCTTTGCAATGCCCACAGTACTAAGAAATACATTGTAGGTGTGATTGTCTACAATTTTGCCTCTGAAAAGAGGCAAGTTACTGCTTCTAGCGTTCCTCAGTCTTTAAGTTAGTTTATATTTCCAGTGTAGTCCACATAGTTGAACAAGTTCCCCATTACTCTTCTGCATCTGGGCTGCCAGAGTTTCAGGTGCTACAAGAGAACACAGTCATGCTACTAAAAACAGCTTTCGGTTTTCACCAACCAGCAGATGTATATGTCTGTGTGACATTATATTTTAATTGGCTGGAAGAAATGCTGCCATAAGTACTGCTCCACTACTTCATCTGGGTGACTAGTAAACACTAGTCTAATTGTGTGCTTTTGTCCTTTCGTCCAAATTTCTTGAAAACGAAAGCAGTGATGGGAAGAGGTCTATTAAATTAAGATTCCAGTAAAGCTCAAGGTACTCCTCCCACTAACTACAGAAATTAGTATGAGTAGCTTCTACCAAATACCCTCAGGCTAAAAGAACAGGAGAAATCAGTGAAACAAGCCTTGCTTTATAAAACAAGAAATACAAATGTAAGACACTCTCAAATTGCACCAAGGTGATAAATATCTAAGCAAGTGCTTTTCATAAATACCCAAGAGAAAGAGTTATCTGGTGTTTCACAGAAGCAACAGATAATGGAAATAAAGACTCTGCAAAGTGCTATGCCAAGCTCCTACAATGATGTAAAATGCAGGCTGATCCTTAAAAGCAGATACAAAACACAAGGAAGATTGGCAAAGGGCTAAAGCTCAGAGATAGAGCACATACATTATTTTCAAAAGATGTCAGGCTTGATTCCTGGCATTTCCAGGTAGGGCTGGGGAAGACCTCTATGAAACCCTGGAGAACAGCTGCTAGTAAGAAACAGTGAGCTAAAAGGACCATTGGTTAGACTTGCTCTAAGGCAGCTTCTATGTTCCTATGATAAGGTTACCAGATTTTTTTCAATGAATCCGGGGACACTTTTCAACTTCAGTAGGAATGATAGGATTTTGTCAGGGGACTGATTTGTAAATCCGGGGACTGTCCCCGGGAAACGGGGACATCTGGTAACCTTATGCTATGAAGCATATTCCAACAGTTTTGCAGATGACTGGTTTGACAGTTTGCAAGTTACAACCTATAAGGGTAGATCACAAAGGTTGATCAGTGACTTCAATGCTATTAAGAGCTGTCTTCCAGAAAGCACATACTAAGTTGAAAAAGTTCACACTCTCAATTTGCATGCATCATAACCACATTGGATATTGCATTCATTTTTGTTTGTTTCAAAACATCTGAGTGATGCCGATTTTTCCTCTGCCCTACTTGATTTAGGAATTGTGCTACGGCCTGACTTGCACTGTTTTGCCAACAACCTTTTACTTAAGGTGTTGCAAGAGTTACCTACATTTAGATACAAGTCATAATGACACAAACCTTTTGGGTGAATTTATACAGAACTAAATTTGATGATATGTGGCAAAGATACAATATGGAAGCAGCCATTTGCATGGAATGCTTCAAGTCCGACTGTACACAGTAATGTGATGAAATCACAGTCCATATCAATAATAATAATAATTACAATAATAATAATAATTTTATTATTTATACCCCACCGATTTGGCTGGGATAAACCAGGAGATGACAAGCTGGAGTCTTGCCAGACACCTACAATGTGGCAATGGATTCAGATGAACGGACACCGAAAAAAATCTTATGGTGGCTTCACTATCACTACTGCTTGTCTCTCATTTCTTGACCACCAGTAATCCTGGCCCTAGCCTACAGCTTCCCAGAATGTTGGTGCTTAGTTGCCTCAGGAATCAGCTTTGTTCATATTTCTAGCGTTGAGTTTGGTAAAAATACTGCAGCGGTGTGAAGAAAGAAATAGTCTGCTAAGACTGCTGATCGAAAGGATAAAATAAAATAAAATTCAGTACCCATGGCTAACAAAGCCATTCTAAGTACAGGTTTCATGAGTGCCCAAGATGGAGCCAAAAAGAACAGTAGCATATCCTAGCTCATACTCTTACTGACTGAACTTGGGGAAGGATTTGGAAGGAAGAAAAATCTGAAAAGAAGCGACCTGCTTTGTCAACTTGTAAAATGCTTCAGTTTTCAGATCAAGCTACTACAACGTATAAGGGGGGAAAGTCTGCTCGGGCTCCCAAGAGAGACTTTGCACTTTCCAAATAAAATTAGGTAAAAACTCAGTATTATAGCTCCACATACAGAGTAAATTCAGTACAGTGGTACCTCGGGTTACAGACGTTTCAGGTTACAAACGTTTCAGGTTACAGACTCCGCTAACCCAGAAATAGTACCTCGGGTTAAGAACTTTGCTTCAGGATGAGAACAGAACTCGCGCGGTGGCAGCACAGCAGCAACAGGAGGCTCCTTTAGCTAAAGTGGTGTCTCAGCTTAAGAACAGTTTCAGGTTAAGAACGGACCTCCAAAACGAATTAAGTTCTTAACCCAAGGTACCACTGTATATAACAACAGAAATGAAAAATTTGTGCCATTGTGGAAGTATGCAGAAGCAACCTAATATATTTCTATACCCATTTCGGACATCTGCATGCTGCCCCATAATGTTAATTTATCTGAGTGACTTACAAAAAACAATAAATGGTGTGTGTGTAAGCGTGTGTGTGAGAGAGTGTGCTTTGCAAGAGCTCCAAGGACAGTTTTTAAGGTTCCAGGAAACTAAACAGTCCCAAAGGGTTCGGTTCAATAAAGGATCTGTGCAATCCATGAGCTTGCCTAACCAAGCTCTGACAAGTTTCCTGATCTAACAGAGCTAAAGCTTAAGCAGCGTCCTTTTCCATAACTCCCTCTCCCAGATCACCCAACCTTCCTACAATTGCATGGACTTGTAGCCAGACACACAAAGAGTCTATAAAGTACTCTGCCTAAATCATGGTTAAGTGAGGTTGAAAACTTGTCCAAGCTTGGTCAGAGCAGTTAAAAAAATCACAGTTTTTCTTGGCTCTTATGGGACTGTTCAAGGACTACAGAGTTCCCAGGTGTCTTTAGAAAATCAATTTTGGGGGGCTTTTGCTCACATGTTCAGAAACTGGACAGGTGTCATGGGGGGATGTTTTTCAACATCAAAACCTAAAATTAAAAACCAAATACAGTTTTGTCTTAGCTCTACTACACAGGATGCAGGCTGGACCTTTCAGTTGCCCAAGGCAGTGATGAAAAATCAGAAGAACTAGGTTAGGCATTAAAGATAGCATTTCTGTAATTCTCCCAAGGCAGCTATGAACAAAGCATGCAAATGAAGTCAGAATCTTTTCAAACACTTTCAAACTGCTCAGCCTTTAAGCAATTAAAGGAAACTATAGAGGCAAGCAACAGCTCTATAAAACCACAAATACACTCATCCTTGATGTGCTTTCTTTGCAGTTCTATTCAGAATCCCATGAGGTGCTGATCTGTCTAAAGTCACCTAGTTATGAAAAACTGCCCACATGAGAACATTTTCAGCTATGCTATCAAAAGAGAGAGACCATCAATTCACAACAAATACATTTTTAAAAAATGGACACAAAATAGATTTATCTAATAAAACCCTAGAGAATGCACTTCTGAAAGTAATTTCCCCTATAAAGTAATCTAAAAAAACAACCACTAACATGCTTTCCCTTATTTTCTGCCTTTTTTCCAGCATGGCAAAGGGTGGTATCATTGGTCATGCTTTCCTATATTCTGGTACTGTATCTGACCTCCACACTTGATTACCATGGGACTGCAGTTGAAGATTGCCTAGAATCTACAGATGCATTTTGTACTACCTGAGATTGGATTGGCTGTTGGGAACATATATTTAACTTATGCTTAAATAGCTCCACAAGCTCGTTTCAAAGCACTACTGTTTACCCTTAAAGTCCCCAGCGCCAGCCCCACAAGGTCGGGGGACAGAGGGAGGCGGAACGCCGCCATCCCGCTGTCTCCCGAAGTGGTTTGGAGGCTGACGGCGGGGAGACCCCACCGCCAGCCCCGCAAGCTCCGGGGACAGCTGGGAGACGCAGCGCGTCTTCCCGCTGTCCCCGGACCTGATCTGAAGGCGGGCGGCGGGGAGAAGAGCGCTTCTCCCCGCTGCCGGCCCCACAAGCGCCTGGGGGGGAAATAAAATTTTTTTTTTTTATTTCCCCCCAAAAAAACTTGATGCGTCCTATGGGCCGGTGCGTCCTATGGGGCGAAAAATACGGTAGGTACCTAAAGGACTGTCTGCTTCTACATCAAGCTGGAGAGGTCCTTCTCTGGGTGCCCTTGTGATCAGGGAGAAAGCCTCTTCGGCTGTGTCATCCCATTTGTGGAACTCTCCCTGGGGAACATCACTCAACACCTACTTTGATGTCTTTTCAGGGCCAGGTACAGATTTTTTTATTTATCTTCCCTGGGCTTTATCACCCAAGGAGTTTATCACTTGGTTCTTTTTACACTACACTTTTGTTTTGTTTTATTGCATTTCTATTATTACTTTGTAAACTACCCTGGACATTTTAAAAATAATAATGGTACAGAAGTCCAATAGGTAAACTTTTGAACCAGAAGACTAAATAGAGCCATACATACAGACATGTATGCAAACATGAATAGATTGTGGAGAGCTGCTGTGGAACAATGAAATAGGAAAGGATCAGTGTATATTATGGTCATGCTATTCACACAGCAGTTAAGGTAGTGAAGGAATGGTGGCCTGTCAGATGTTTTTGGACAACAACTCCAGTTATCCCTGACCACTAACTATGCTCACTGGGGCTGATGGGAATCCAACAACATCTGGAAGACTGCCACAGGATCCTCATCTATGGGGTAGGGAGCAATTCACCACTGTGAGCAACACTGCCTAAGAAACAGCCAATGAAGAGAATATAATATTATTATGGGAACCCTCACACCCATCCTACATTGCTAGCGTATGTAGCAGTTCATGAATGTACCTTCTAATAAAATGTTCATACCTACAACAATATAAAAACCCCAGAGTACTGTACTCTCCATAAAATTGCAGAAAGTACTCTCCAATAAATCCTCAATACATCTACCATATAATTCCCCTAGATCAGGGATAGCTAACCTGTGTCCCTCCAGGTGTTATTGGACTCCAACTTCCATCAGCCCCAGTCAACATCACCAACGGACAGGAATGATGGGAGTTGTAGTCCAACAACATCAGCAGAGCCAAAGGTTAGTCACCCAAGCCATAGATCATGGCTGGAGTATAAATATTTAAATTCTCCAGGTCTCTCCAGATTTTATCAACCTAGTCTTGTGGGATCTGGAAACCTACTGATGGAAGGAAGAACTGCTACAGCATTGCTTTGTAAGACCAGCATAGTGTTAAAGTGGTTGGCAGATTTTTATCTCCCTAAATAAGGCACAAAAAGGCACACGTGGACCCAAATCTCAGGTTAGGAGGCAAAGAGAAAAGAGAAATCTTGGGAAACCCATCAGCTGGTATGTAAGGGGTCACAACATTGGGAAAAATGCAAAGAGCAAAGTTAAATGAGATTTTCTCCTCCCTTCCCCTCATTCCTCTCTGTTTGCTTTGCTACAAAGTTGCTGTTGCATAAGCTTCTGCAGAAAAGGTCAGGGAAGTTCCACTACTTCAGCTACGAATCATATTCTACAAGGAAGAAAACTGTAATGACTGTGCTTATATGGCAGGCGAAGTTCACCATTTAGAAAGCAGTACTTAAATGAGTCTTGAGAGAGAGAAAACCCAACTAGCATCTCAAAACACGTCAAACAAGTAACATATTAAAGGAGAAAACCAAATTGGTCAACTCTTGAGATTCTGGCCCACAACATCTGGCACCACACTGGCTACTCCTGCCCTGAATTTTTGCATATTCCTTCTATCCCTTTGATTTTTAGTATTTGCTGTTTATCAGCATAGTTTTAAACGTGTTCTGGGAACCCACACTTCATTTATAATGGAACAGAATCAACTATTTGATTCAAGAGGAACTAGATGTTTAGAGACAAAATTTGGATAATTTCTCAAAAATGCCAAGAGTCTTTCATTTAGAAAAGGCCCTCCCCCACCTTGCCATCCTAAACTGTCTTTGTTACTATTGCCAATGCTGAGTTTCTAAAGCCTGAGGGAAGGAACACTGATTAGTTATAGTACTGGCTCAAGAGACACATTTGCAGCAGTGTTTACTAGAAACGCAGGATTCAAATTAACATGCAGGTACAAGTCCATGACTGTATCTAGCTGCCTGTTTCTTAAACTGTGAGGTGAGCCTCCCTAAGGACGTATGAGTAGTTGCTAAGCAAAGAAAGAGAATGAGGTAGAAAAAGGAAGAGAATGTGAGAAGCAGATTCCAGAAAATACATAGGGGTGGAGAATAACTGAAATAGATTCTCTGCTAAAAGAACATAATTAGGGGTATAAGGAACTGCATTGCACAGTTGTCTTTCCTCCCCATCAGAATATGCAACTGACTGCCATTGACTGTTCATGATCTCCAGCTCTCCCATCAACTACTGCCTGATTCTTTTCAATGGCAAATTATGGGAACTGAACTTGGGGCCCTCATCATGCTCCATGTCCTCTGCAAGTGGTCTAGTTGCCATGGGGGGGGGAGGAGGACGGCAACACTTTTATTATTTTGATAAGCATGAACTAATACACAATTCACATAAGTGACACATTGTTAATAACACATTTTTAACAGAAAATGTTAATACATGTTTAATTTGGTGCTTACAATAAAAATATTGCTACCATACTACAGTATTTAAAACACTCTACTCTTCATTGTTAAACACCTTAAAATATTGTCTATCCTTAACATATACTTAGAGGCTTCAAAACATACACATTTCAGTAATCCTTGAGTGTTAGCCAGGCGCAAAAAAATGGCACCCAAACTTTTTGAGGTGCTCGCAAATGGAGAAACTTTAGGAGCAAAATGCGCCTGGTGCCCTGCTAGTTTCTAACCCTGAATGGGGACTAGGATCCTTGCAAGGCAAGCTAGTTAAGAGGTTCAGCCCATGTTAAGACCTGCTGAGATGAATAATACATTTCTTTCCATGGGGAGTCCTTGTTTCAGGGTCCCCTTGATTGAGCGGTCATGTCTTGCTGAATGAAGATGTCTCCTGGCTATCTGAGTCTCTGTGCATTTGCTGGAGTAGCCCCAGTTGTCCCCACAACTAATCTTAAAACCCTTAGCAAGCCCCACAGTAGGCAAAAGATTCCTGCACTGCAGGGAGTTGGACTAGATGACCACTGTGGTCCCTTCCAATTCTATGATTCTATGGTTCAATGGTCCTGATTCTGACCTTTAAATGGAATACACATCAGAGATGTCAGCACTATTTAAATTAGCCCTGACTAGATTTCTATTTTTTGTACTGATGCCCACATTTAGCACCATGAAACTGCCAGTTATGTATACTGGCTATGTATACAAAAAAGGCTTAAGCAAACAAGGCAAAAGAAAAGAAAAAGAAAAAGCATCCTTCATCTCAATGAAGTAAAAGTCAAGAATTTGTTTTGTATCGTTTTGCTGTTTGGGTTAAATTCTTTACTTGTGTTGTATCTTATATTTTATTCTGTGAACCATCCTGAGATCTTTTGATGAAGGGCAGTATGATTGATAGATAGACAGATACATACATACATACATACAAACATACACACACACACACACACACACACACACACACACACTCACTATGTTTTCTCAAGAATTGAGAGATGGCCCTATGGAATCCCATGGCCAATCACAGCTTTCCCACAAGTTGGGGGGTCAAATCTGCAAAGAAAGATTTAAATAGCAACACATGACATTTCCCCTATGTGTGTATGCCAGGGTGTGGGAGAACATCAGCACAGGGACCTATACAAGCACTTTACACAAGCCTATTTTGCACTCTAGAACTTCGTTTGCACTCAGACACAATGACCCAATTAAAAAATGAATTGGCAGACACAGACAATCTAATATGAAATCTAACCCCTTCCTATGGAAATTATAGAATTCTCCATACAGTAATCTTTAGGCCCAGTGCTGCCCTTAAGCTATAGTGTACCTAGGAATATTGCATATATATTTTTTAAAGAACAAACTAGAGAGAAGCTCCATAATCAATTCTGGTTGTTGGAGGTGGGATGATTCTGACAGAGACTGCAACTGGGAAGGGTTAACCCTCCCCTCCCCAGTTAAAGGATAGCAACTATCTGGGGTGCAACACCTTTCCCACATAGCATTTAGGAATGAAAGCTTTATTGCTATGGGGGGGGGCACAGAGAGGCAGCAAGGAGGGGAGGCTGTGGGACCAGACTGGCAAGCCCCACAGGCTGCATTCAGGCCACTGAAAACCCATCCCTCCCTTAGAAGCTGCTTAAGCAGCAATGCAGCAAACATATGTTTGTTCTGCTGCTGCTAAAAATCATAGCAGCAGACTGTGAGACTGTTGACCAGAGTTGTTTACAGATAGTTAACCTTTCCTGGAATGACATACATTAGGATATTGCGGATCTACAGTCTGGAACAAAGATCATCCTAATGCAAAAGCATATTCTTTCCTCAACTGCAGACAGGCCTTTAAGTGGCACCTCTCCCTTGTGTTCTTTTCAAGGGCTTCCTCTTCATTCCTCTCCTTTCTGAGAAGGTACAAAACAAAAAGCAAGTGTTTGTAGGGTTTTAGATAGCACAGACTTCTTTTGCTCTACCACATTAACACTGGAACTGAAACACTGATTATTTCGGCTTTCCCATTTTGGAATGAGGGCTTTCATTTGCTCCCTACTTTTCTATCCTATATTCCCAATTCAAAACAGGACCACTGTGCTATAATTCTCCAAGCCACACAACACAGAGAGTGTCTACTAGTACAAAGTTTTCCTTGAATATTCGGGGTGATCTCAAAATATACATACTTATTGACTCTCTTCAAGAAAATGACTGTTAGAAAGGAACTTGAGGTGCTTTCTTCGAGCCTCAATGAGGCTTTTGGACTCTTGATTTTCCAAGTTTTCATTAAAAAAACCCCATAAACTATTATTGGTCAGGAAGTTACTTGGGAAATTTAAATTTATTCTCCGAATGTACTTTTTCCAATTCTCAGGGAAAGTGTTACTCATTATTTCTCCAGCTTCACTACCAACAAAGCCTTTACGATTCTCATGAGGCATGAACTGCAAAAAGAAACCACCTTGTTAAAATTTTGCAAATGCTTTTTAACTCTTTCCCCAGTGTTCTTGATTAATAAAACCACTGACTGTTTAATATTATACCTCGTTTCATAACAAAATTTCAGTGGAAAACAGAAGGTCTTTGAGACAAATTGTACGCAGCTTTGGGAGATATACAGCTTATGCAACAAATCCACAAAGAGTCATAGGGCTAGCCTGCATGACTTCAAGCTACCAATCTATTATCGGGGGCACAAGTCCTACAGTGACCACCACGCTTTGCAAAACTGACTCTATACATCATACAAGACACAGGCAGAGATTTTGGGAGATCAACAGCATTACAGGCACAACTGCTTTGACACAACACCTGTAGGGGGGAAAAGATCCTCTCATTTATATAAAATTTTGTTACAGAACCTAAAAGCCTTGAATATTTATTGTGGCATGAAATTTCATAGACTACAGCATCTCACTAGTTTACAAAAGCTTATGCAATTATTATTTTTTTAAAGAGTATTTAGGATGTCAAAATGCTAAGTTGTTTTTGTTGCAAAAGACGAATACAGAAACCCATCTGAAACTCATTTTACAAGTTATTTAGCATTGGAGTTCTGCTAATAAATATTCTCTACCCACTAACTACCGTATTTTTCGCTCTATAAGACGCACTTTTCCCCTCCTAAAAAGTAAGGGGAAACGTGTGTGCGTCTTATGGAGCGAATGCAGGCTGCACAGATTTCGCTGAAGCCAGGAGAGCAAGAGGGATTGATCCCTCTTGCTCTCCTGGCTTCAGGGATAGCCGCTGAAGCCAGGAGAGGCACTTCGCTGGAGAGGCGCTGCACAGCTTTCCCTCAGTGAAGCAGGAGAAATGGAAGGGGCTCCGCTTCTCCTGCCGCTTCGCTGACGGGGCACTGCACACAGAGGGAGAGCTGCGCAGCGCCCCTTCAGCGAAGCAGGAGGAGAAACGGAGCCCCTTCCGTTTCTCCTCCCGCTTTGCTGGAGAGGCACTGAGCAGAGAGGGAGATATTTTTTTTCTTGTTCCCCACCTCTAAAACTAGGTGCGTCTTATGGTCGGGTGCATCTTATAGAGCAAAAAATACCTATGAGACTAGCAGCCCCTCCTAAAAGCTGGACCACTGGCCCATTTAAATGTTTCACAGTCCCAGTTGGCCTTGGCATTGTCTTTTGGAGGAAAAGGGATATAGAAATTTAGAAGTTTAGATATAGAAATTTAAAAGAATGAAGATCTTCAAATCACATGAAGAGTTAACATTAAAGTATCCAGTCCAGGACAACTTGCATAAGAATGGATGTGAGGTAGTGGCTAGGAGCATGAATGATGACTAGAAATACTCATCTTGTGTCTCTGCTCAAACATGCATCCATCAGTGATCTCAGGGAAGCCACTACGCCTCTCAGCTGCAGCACTCCAGGATGACAACGCTGTTATACACGTCAGCAACGTGTTTAACACTCCAGTGGTGCCCATGAAGTGCTTGGAGCTCTTGGTAAAATGAATTATACAACCTGTATTTTTTAAAAAACCTGTTCCTGTTTTAGCCCTGCATCTCAGCTCTATCCTTCCCATTGAGGTGCTATCATTCATTCATAGTGGTGAAAGAGACACCCAGTTCTTCCCAGCCCTTATGTTGCCTCTTCACACACATTCTTCTGGGTCCTGAGATCTGGCCTGAAAAGGCTCTATGAAAACAGTACACACATGTCAATATCTGAAATAAAAATATTGATCCTAACAGGACTAAATATTTCCCTCCAGACTGAAGCACAGATTTTGCAATAGAGCCTAGACCTGATCCATTGCAAGCACAGATGGGGTTGCATCAAGATGTTCTACAGTATGTTCACTCCAAAACTAAAATATGTTTATACTGGAATCAGACTGCCAAAAAGAGCCTCCCTAGCTTTAATATTAAACAACAATATTTTAAAAAGCCCTTGTCTATATAGGCTGCCAGTATACATATATATATTTCCCCATGTCATGACATTTTTTCAGCTTTTGCAATATACATGTTCTCTTTTAGCTGAGTGTTAACGATGCTAAATAAACGTTAATTTATAGAGGCAAGACTGGCCAAGTAACATGACCAAAAAACCCTGGTATACTGTACTGATCAAATAACGGCCCACTGGCACACCTAATCCTTCGGACGATTTTTGCAACGCACTCCACAGTCCTTCCTTTGGTACACAGTGAAGAGTTCAGCGAGTCCAGGATCAGTATTTTTAGTCTAGGCAGCACCATGCCCACAAAAAGGGGCAGCCTTTTATTTTGTTCGGGGAATAGCACTACCCAGATTACAAGTGGGGCAGCAACCCCTCCTGCTGCTCTTGGTATGGACAGTGCTTCTACCAAACAAAATATGCACTGTAGAGACTTGCACATCATTTCCAGCCTGCCGGACACTAATCACAATGCCACAGATGCTTCTGGGCCACTGCAAATGCTTCCACTCAACCCCAAAGCAGGAAGCACACTGCTTCTCAAGAGATGGGAGTACAGTCCCATGCAAAATGACAACACTGCTCCCCTGTTCTCTGCCAAAAGGCGCTGAGGAGAACACCAGCACCACCAGCAGGCATCCTGAACAGATTGGCCTTTGTGCATCCAGCCTCCCAGGCCGTAGGTGTACTGTATTAAACTTATAATAACTATACCGGAGAGGTTTGTGCTACAGTGAAATTAAATTCTGAACGACTGCAATGAATTATTCACCAATAATGGGCATATTCACCAACAAATGCATATTATCAATGTTCTGGTGGAAACACAGAATTGTAGGATCAGGAAGGGATGCTGAGGGTCATCTAGTCCAACCCCTTGCAATGCAGGAATCGCAAACCTCAGATGGAGGAGAGTCCACCAGCTCCCGAGAGAGTCTGTTCCAACAGCTCTTACTATCTTAAAGTTCTTCCTGATGTTTAGTCAGAATCTCCTTTCTTGTAACTTGAAGCCCTTGGTTTAGGTCCTACCCTTCAGAACAAGAGAAAACAAGCTTGCTCCATCGCCCATGTGACAGGCCTTGAGATATTTGAAGATGCCAATCATATCTCATCTGTTTCTTCTTTCCCAGGTTAAACATACCCAACTCCCTCAACTGTTCCTGGTAAGGCTTGGTTTCCAGACCCTTGATAATCTTTGTTACCCTCTTCTGCACACATTCCAGCTTGTCAATATCCTTCTTAAATTGTGGTGCCCAGAACTGGACACAGTATTCCAGCTATGGTTTGACCAAGGCAGAATAGAGCAGGACTATGACTTCCCTTTATTGGGAACACTATACTTCTGTTGATGCAGCCTAGAACAGCATTCACCTTTTCGCTGCAGCATCACACTGCTGACTAAAGTGAAGCTTGTGGCCTACTAAGACCCCTAGATCCTTTTCACATGTACTTGTGGCAAGCCAGTTGTCCCCTATCTTATATTTGTGCACCAGGTTCTTCCTAAGTGTAGAACCTTACATTTGTGCCTACTGAAATTCATTTCATTACTTTGAGCCCAATTCTCTCTCTCTTTTAAAATAAGATTTTATTAAAGCTTTATCAGAATACAATAGGATAAAAAATCTAATCTAAAGGGCTTTTTTATTTATATACTTGATTTAGGGGGGCACCTGCCACCACCACCCCAACTACGCCCATGCATCCTTCTCTAAGTGCTCACAGACTGACTGGTAAATTATCTGTTCTAAGACCTTTCCTGGTATTGATGTCAAGTTCACCAGTTGGTAGTCACCTAGGTCTTCTTTTTTATCCTCTTTGAAGATGCCTCCAGTCTGCAGAGATCTCATTCGTTCTCTAAAAATTCTCAAAGATTGTAGACAGAGGCTCTGAGATTACTTCTGAAAGCTCCTTTGGTACCGTTGGGTGCAGCTCATCAGGCCCTGGAGGTCTGAATTTACTGAAAGTAGCTAGGTGTTCCCTTACCACCTCTCTTCTCCTATCTTTGGCTGCAGCTCCCTCCTTGCCTCGGTTATTCTGTTATCAGCAGGTTGGGCATTGCTTTCCTTTGGCCAAAGACAGAGTCAGTGTAGGTGTTGAGCAAAGATACCACCAAAGAAGGTAGAATTTTAACAGTTTCTCTTAGCTTCTTTCTCAGCAGCCCAAATAGTTACCATTAAATAAATAAATGCAAATCAGTACATACCTATCAAAATGCATACATACAAAAGGACATGACTGGGTTTTTTTAATGCAGATATTGTAACAACACATGCTAAAGTGAGGACTAACTGAAGATAGGATAACTTCCTAATTCCTGAATGACCAAAGCAGCAGGAATTCTCACTTTTACTCTATTTGGTTGGTTGTTAAGTTGCTTTGGGTTGCCCTGGGCAAAAAAAAAAAAAAAAAAGCAGCTGACAAATTTAATCAATCCATCAATCAATTAATAAAATATTTGCATTCTGTCAGATGCAAATAGCATGCAGTAAAAGAGGCAGTCTACTACCTACATGAGGGACACGGGTGGCGCTGTGGATTAAGCCACAGAGCCTAGGACTTGCTGATCAGAAGGTCGTGGTTTGAATCCCTGCGACGGGGTGAGCTCCCGTTGCTCGGTCCCTGCTCCTGCCAACCTAGCAGTTCGAAAGCACGGCAAAGTGCAAGTAGATAAATAGGTACTGCTCCGGCAGGAAGGTAAACGGCGTTTCTGTGCGCTGCTCTGGTTCGCCAGAAGCGGCTTAGTCATGCTGGCCACATGACCCGGAAGCTGTATGCCGGCTCCCTCTGCCAGTAAAGCGAGATGAGCGTCGCAACCCCAGAGTCGGTCACGACTGGACCTAATGGTCAGGGGTCCCTTTACCTTTACTTTTTACTACTTATATACAACGGCTCTTAGAAAAGATGACGGTGCACTGTACACTCAATTTCTAATGTGTTTAATCAGTCAGCACTTTTCATATTCCACTGCTATTTCACTCCATGTTTCCGTTTACATCCACATGTATATATGACTGCCAGCTTATGACTACACTTTATGCATCTGATGTCATGGACTCCAGTCCACATAAGCTTGTGCCATAATGAATTTGGTAGTCTTTAAGGTACTGCACTACTCTGTCGTTTTATATTTGACCTTACAGACCAATACACTTAGTCATTTGTTCAGTCTCGGGGATTAGCTGGTACGAGTGCTGTACTTCAGTCAGAACCTTTTAGGCCAGTTAGATTTCATTAACTCAGCAGTTATCTTTAGACCCAAGAAACAGCAAACAAAACAAAAAATACTGCAAGATCTGCAATCATCAATAAGAAGGCTAACAAATACTGGGTTTTGGCTTTAGCAAGAATATTTTGCACAATATCCTATGACGTACAAATGGAAAACCTGAGAAATTTGCTTTCCTTCAGCTCGGCCAGTATTTTCATAGAAAAAAAAAGTAAAACTGCGAATGAAGCGGAAAGTGAATTGATGGGGGAAATGACAGCAGAAAATGTTCACTTCTATTTCAAATAAGAATCATTATACAAAAATTTCTTATTAACACTCAAGTATATATTTACAGAACACTCTAAAAGCAATTTATTATTTTGAATAACTGGGTATTTATATAAATTGGTCTAAATGACTGCATACTATAAATGCTATAATGTTTTCATGATTTTAAGACAAAAGGCTTAGGCTATAATCAGGATTATATACAGCATAGAATCTGGAAGAATGTGCAAGAACCTTCTGTTGTAGCAGAATTTACCCTTTCTTAACCTAGCAGTTCGAAAGCACGTCAAAGTGCAAGTAGATAAATAGGTACCACTCCAGCGGGAAGGTAAACGGCCTTTCTGTGCGCTGCTGTGGTTTGCCAGAAGCGGCTTAGTCATGCTGGCCACATGACCCGGAAGTTGTATGCCGGCTCCCTCGACCAACGAAGCAAGATGAGCACCGCAACCCCAGAGTCAGTCACAACTGGACCTAATGGTCAGGGGTCCCTTTACCTTTACCCTTAACATTAGCAAGATATAGAATATTATTGTTTTAATTCTGTAAATTGGAATAGAGGCTAAGGGATAGTGATTTGCCTCCAGCTATGCAGACGAGCACCAAAAGCCAGAAACAATGGGCACCTCCAAATTTTACCTGGCAAACAACATTGCTTCAATAAATGCTGGTGTACATGGAAGCAAGCCTTTGGGATGTAATGGATTTGAAATTTAGCAAATGTAAAGTTAGAATCTAAACTGACACACTTCTGATGAAGACCTTATTGGTGAGTGTAAGATATTCCTATAGGATAAGCAGAAAGATCCCAAAAATATTATAAAATACTTGCATTCAGAAAGGATTTTTAGTATCAGGGAAACTTGTAAACAAGTTTTCTCTAGTACAGTGACTATTTTAGAAGTACTTCGTGCAGCCTTCCTGGTTTTTTTTATATTATTAGAACAAATGCAAGCTAAAAAACAAAATGTTTAAAAGGCAAAATTAAGAAAAAATAGTGTCCTACTGAAGATTAAAAAATCCAAGTTTATATGTAATCCACTTACATTCCATTTTGCTTATCTGACACACCTTCAATTACATGTTTTCTTGGTCTCCTCCGATTAATATAAAGCATTGCATCCTTGTTCACTTAACAACTTTAGCTCAGCAAAATATGAACTTAAGACCTTTTTTAAAGTGTCAAGTTTACACGTTTGCCACTTTAAAAAGCAATGAAATGCAAGTGCAAAACTCCACTGGGGTAGCATTAAGCGTCAACCTACTAAGTGCCTACGGCTAATATCCTAATCACATTTACTACAGAGTAAGCACCAGAACAACACAGTGGGACTTACTTCTAAGTAAATATAGATTGCATTGCACTGAGTTTATGGAATAATGTCTTAATTCGTCAGCTGGTATCATGAAGCATTTGAGACATAAATATAGTATGAGGAACCTAAATGTGACACATAAATATTAATGAAAGCAAAGGCTGTTAACAGAGATCCTAAAAAATCATGCAAATCTGCTTATCAGATCCAGTTATCTCAGTTGATCTTCCACAATACACTGTTCTCAGAGTGGCCAATATAATCAGGATTTGAAAAATCCTAGGTGCCTCAATAGGCAGGTAAACTGGTAATTTGGAAATATTCATTTGACTGTATGCAAGGCATGTAGCTAAAAATGGTACACTTGCTGCCTGTGAAACGGAAATATTTTTCCAGCTCCAAACACAACGTATGTTTTGCAATGTTCCACTGACGGAGCAGACAGTGCCCCACACCCCTGTTCTCTGGCTGACAGTGCTTTTAATCCAAAAGCTAGAAAAACTGGCCACAAAGACCCTTTCCTTTCCTTTTTTTAAAAAAAGATGGTGCAATATTCATGCCATGTGGCTACAAGTAGGTTCAAAAGCCAAAGAACCACTTCAGTCCCTATTAATATCCCATATGCCCATAATATTTAACTCACAATATATAAGTATATTTCTGAAGGGTTCCACCCTAGGGACTTGAGGCAACTTACAGCATATTAACAATACAATAAGGAGTGTGAAGTAAGATAATTAGTTGCCACGTAAAACCAGGTTAAAACTACTCCACTGTTGGTTAGGCTCCAATCTTCACATACCAGGCCAAATCAGAAGTTACATCACTTTTAGAATATGCTTGGATTCAAACTCTAGTAAATGCCCAATTACATTTAAAAGCAAAGTGATTGTAAACTGGGGTTGGAAACCCTTGAGAGTTTTATGTAAGCTGCTGGATCCTGTGAGAATTCAGTGAACCACATCTTCACTTAAAACACATGCCTTGCTGTCCCAAATGGTTAAAGATTTCAGCATGGACACCTTGCTGAAAATGTTGCCCAGGTGTTGACAGTATACGGTGCAGTGAAAAATCCTAATATCTGAGTTACAGTTACACGGAGCAGATGGCATGTCCCATCTTTATCTAAGCACAATGTCAAAAATAAGAGATTATACAGTGCATAAACATTACAGTGGCATTAGAGGCACAGAGATTCACAGGTGAAAATGTTTAGAATCAGAGTGCTAATCTCAGTGAACAAATTTGGGCCCAAGTTTATACCAAGAAGATTTGCTCAATTTAATGAATGACAGCCGTAGAGCAGCATGGCAGGAATAGCTTTTGAACATTAAAGTGACTGAGAAGGTACAGGGAATGCAACCAGTACAAAACCAAGCTTTGTAGATGATTTTCTTCCATCCTTCAACACGATTTTTCACTGCAGTTACTTAAATCAACTATCCAAAATTAATTTAAGATCACTGGCCCTAATCTGGAGAGCTGTGTGTGTGATGTACCTAAACACTTAACACATGTTCAAGGCTAATCAGCCAGACCAAGAGGAAAAAGGATCTAATTTAGTTCCCCCCATCCAAACAAGGAGCTGTGTCCACTGTCAAAGCTGACAGTACTGAAGATCTGCAACTGCATGCATGGCTACTAAATCCAGCAATGGGAACTGCACATGTAGCCAATCACTGCTGAATGCAAGGCCAGGAAATCTTATAAAAATCCAGGTGACTTTGGTGGCATGTGTCCTATCATCTTTGACTGTTCCTTCAGCACAGTTTAACTGAAAGCTGGATGGCTTCTGAAAACAGCAAAATCTATTTCAAATGCCACAGATGCTTCAAGAAAAACGTTAAGAAAGCTTATACTCAGTAAATGTCAGGCCACATACCTGTTTGGACTTTAGCAGAAACCTGTGACAATTTGGCACTTTAATAATTACACTTTTTTAAAAAAAGAAGTTACAGCTTATCACCAAGACCAGAGAAGTGATAAACTATCCCATTATCATCAGTGCAGTGCAGTTAAACAGAACCTACTTCATTAACATGCATGGAAAGTTTCTACCAGTCTCCACAAATTTCAGGCTACTTACAATGAACCAGCCAATAGAAACACAGAAGAACCAAACAGATAAGGGAAAGAGAGAGAATTGGTATTTCAGCTACCTATCATCCATGTGTGTAAAATGCTATGAAACTGAAGCTGGATCTAGGAAAGAGCCCATGTTGAAAGTTTTGAGTCTGTGTGTTTGAAAGAAATGGAATTTGGATGACACTGCTAAAATGTAATTTAAGTTATTTAAGCCCAATGATTTCAATGGGTACACTATGAATATGACTTAGATATCATTCAATGAACATTTCTTCCAAATTATTTTAAGTACAATGATCAGTACAGTAAATGCAAGCATTTCTACGCTGCACTTTAGCCAGCCTTCACCAGGCAATTCACATCAACACAAGAAAAGCAATCTAATTTGTTAGAGTCTATGATGATTTGATTTATTACAGTGGTGCCCCGCAAGACGAACGCCTCGCAAGACGGAAAACCCGCTAGACGAAAGGGTTTTCCGTTTTTGAGTTGCTTCGCAGGACGAATTTCCCTATGGGCTTGCTTCGCAAGACGAAAATGTCTTGCGAGTCTTGAGATTTTTTTCCCGCTTTCCCCCCCTTTTTCTAAGCCGCTAAGCCGCTAATAGCCTTTTAGCAGCTAAGCCGCTAAGCCTTTAATAGCCGCTAAACCACTAATAGCGCTAATCCGCTAATAGGGTTGCTTCGCAAGACGAAAAAACCGCTAGACGAGACACTCGCGGAACGGATTAATTTCGTCTTGTGAGGCACCACTGTATTATTATTTGTGTATTTTTATCTTACCAAAGCAGAACTCTTTTCTTACCTCTCAGATTTCTAGGATTTATTTGTTTTGTTCGAGGCATTCTCATCCAGTCATAGGCGGTTTTCCAGAAGTGGAGAATAGACCGAAAGCAGCTCCATAAACATGCCAATGGGGTCAGTCAATCCACATACTGGGGGGAAAGATGGTAAGATTAGGCAAGGTGATAAGCAGCAGATCTAGAACTATCATACTGATTTAATGAATTTACCATGGGCTGCTATTAATCACATTAGACTGGGTTAAACTTTTTACACACACAAAAGTCACTATTTCATACTCACAAGTTCAGACAGAATATTAGTGGTATGCAAAATCATGTAGAAATATATATCCCAATCAACTACCCCACCCCCCAGTAGCATACAAAGATTTAGAAAAACCACAAAATGACTAAAAATAGAACTATGGCATTATTCTAGCTTTACCACTTAACATGCTTTATTTATAAATACTAAGTCACCCGCTCAAGTCAGGACCATGGTTTAAAACCACACTTGCAACTTAGCAAATACATTAATCCTGACTTACTAAAATCAATTATTTAGAACAATCCCAAACTGAGTCAACTCTTTTGGTAAGAACTGAAATAGTTCTACTTGTTGCAATTCATAAATAATGTAGTATCTGGATAGGCTAGCCTATTTCCACTGTCATTGAGCTATGCCTTGGCCTTCGAAACTTAACAAATGCAACTATAATCATGCTAAAAATGTAGTAATTCCCTGCTCAATTGGACCAAAGGGTCATCAAATCTAGAATACTCCTTCCACCAGGCATCTGTTTGACAGCTTTTGGAAGCTCCAACAGGGCATGAAGGAAACGTATTTCTTACAGCATCTAAAATGTTGTCCAAATATTCACTATATAGACCTAATGAGGTATCCAACTCAATCATACAATTTTGTCTGGCTACTGTTTTCCAACATCTCACACACTACCCCAAGACAAGAAGTGCTGACAACCCAACCCAGATATTCATAGATTGCATACCCTATTGAGCTACAGCTTTTCCTTTAAAGTGCACATGCGATAGGTGACAACCTGAGTCTTTTTTCTCTGGCAGGGTCCCTGTGCCTTTAAGAGCTGCAATAAGAAGCAAGAAAAAGGAGAGATGGAGAAAGATAAATCTGAAGAACAGAATACCCTAGAGATAACAAGCTGACAAATGAAACGAAGTAGGATGAATTCACTATATATAAATTTTGAAAACAAATAATTTGTAATATTTATATACCACTAATGACAAAGTTCTGACCAGTTCACAAAATTTTAAAACATAAAATACAATAGGAAACAAAAATTTATCACAGAATAAAACTAGCAACAGAGAATGACATAAGTACAACAAATGTAAAAAAGCAGAAAAAGAATATTCATGACTGGAAAATGTTTTCATCTGGCACCTAAAAAGGTCATCATGTAAGCACTAGGCAGACCTCTCTGTGGGTGCAAACCCTGAAAAGGCACTCTTTTATAACTTAAGAGCTAAGCAAATATGTGCTTAGAAGCACATTCATTTCTCACTTAATACAAATACTCATTGTTTTGAAGGAATACTACTCTAACCCACACACCCTGTCACAGAAACACAAGAAGAGCCTGCTGGATCAGATGGTCCCTTCTAGTCCACATCCTGCTCTCACAGTGGCTGATGATACCTGTGGAAAGCATGCAAGCTGGACATGAGTGCAACAGCACTTTGCTCACCTGTAATTATAATACAGGTAAAAATACAACAGCAACATATGTTGTGTGTAAAAAAAAAAAAAGTCACAGGATCGCTGCTTTGTGGATTGCTAGGCTCACCCTACTAGTCTTTGGACAGCATGTTACAAAAAGTTAAGAGGGCTCTATTTATGGGTAATAAGTTGAAACAGGAAGATCTCTGAGGAAGACAGAATGTCCTTTTTGTTTTTGTTTTAAATGAATGAGGGCTATAAGCAGTCAACCTGAAAATAATCAAGCAGGATGGCCAATGTCTGCACCTAACAGGCACACGGTCACTAACATCATGCAACATTTATTCATGGAAAGGACTGCAAATATAACATGTATCCGACTCCTTTCTCTTGGATGCTATTCTTTTTAGCTGGATGAACCATTTTTATTAATGCTTAGAATAGTAAAATCTTTGCAAAATGTTTCGAAAACTGGGTTTTGGCCTCCAAATCTACATAATGAACAAACTGAGGGGGAACTCAGTGTCCCTTGTTCCCTGAAACAAATGTTGGGAGGGGCAGCTCCCCAATCATAGTAGTGCAGGGAAGAGAGAGTGGTTTTGCAGCTGGCTGCACAATTCCCAGTCTGAGCAGTATAGTAGAGATTATCCTTTTTCCTCCTCTTGTTGAAGGGGTGAAGAAAAAAGCCCTGGACATGTCAACTGTTCACCCTTTCAATGTTTTAATTGATCAGAATAGTTAAAAGGTGGACCAGTTATTCAATGTTATTTTCCTGGGGCTAGGCTGCACTAAGTTCCCCAAACTCCCTTGATGGGACACACACTCTTTCTCTCTCTGTCCCATTACTCTGTCGACTGAACAAGCCCCCAACCATGGAGACTCCCATTTTGTGTATGGGTAGATCTGTTCCACAGGGGTACTATGTGATGTCAAAAACCTAGAACAAATAGCAATGCCTACAAATTTCAGCTTCCTACTTAACACTCAGTACCACTGGTTAATCAAGCCCAGCTACTGGATCACTAGCAATTAATAATAAGAACTGGCATATGTTTGCCTAACAGTAATAATTCAGGGGTGTTTGAATACAACATACAAAAAGCACATTACATAATATTTACACTTTAAAAGTAGTACTTCCGTCGGCCACCAGCAGGATCCTCCTCCCACCTTCTCTTTTCAGACTCTGGGAAAGCATAGCAGGCGCAAGACAAACAATCCTTTTAAATACGAAGAGATCAGGGATCTCTTTTTCCGTATTCATTAGTTGGGGGAGGTCAAAGGGAAGGACGGGAGAGGAAACCCTGCTTTCTTTAACAAGACAGTGTTACGGAAAAGATGGAAATGAGAACGAGAGAGACGCAATGACGGCGGGTAGCCCTGCGAGCAGTACTGTTGCAAAGGGAAAAACATGAATGAATAAAGAAAGAGGGTGGAGCTTGGGAAAACCCCTCTGCAACGCTGCACTGAACAAAGCACATCACACATGCCAGGAGGTGGAGGAGAACGAGTGCAAACCGGGACCGACCCAAGGGAGGGGAGGGATCAAGAATGTCTTCTCACCACAACACAGCAAAGCCCAGGCGCGAAAGCCTACCTTGCAGGATTTGCAAGCGCCAGCGAATACAAACGCACGCAGCCGGGAAAAGGACAGGAGCAAACAGGAGCGTGCACGCAAATGCAAGCAAACACAAACCTCGCCAGCCGGAGCCGCCAAGGCAGGCAGGCTTCTTTCCGGGCCCATCGCTTGCGCCACCCATCCCCCGACTCTCCCCTGCCCCGCAGCGCTCCTTATTCAGGGAGACTTCGTGGTGGGCTGCGTCTGTCCCCGCCGTTGCAAGCAGAAAGGGCTCAGGAGGCGGCTCTCCAGTCTTACAGCGAGGATGTTTGCACAGCGTGCGTGCGCGCCCGGGTCCCTTCTCTTTCTCTCCCCCTACCCCGCCTTCCACCACCCTTCCTGGATCCCCCAGCAAACCTGCTCAGAAGGCAGCCGGAGCTGCTGCTGCTCTTGCTGATGGCGGCGGCGGCGCTGGCGCGAAGGAGCAGCGGCGGCGGCGGCAGCAACAGCAGCAGCTGGGAAGCTCGGCGACCCCTGCGCGGCGGCGGCGGCGGCGTCTGGGATCCTCCTCCACTTGACAACCTCCAACACAAACATGACCCGGCGCTAAACCCCCCTCCCCAGCATCCTCTTCTTCCTCCCCCCCCCCCCGTCTCTCAGACGTACACACACAGTCTTCACCACAACCTGATTCCGCACAGACACAAACACGGCAGCGCCCCCGCCCCCACACGCGCAGGAGGAGCACCGAGATCCCTCTCTCTGAACGCAACTCTGGCCCCAGCCAGCTCCTGAGCATGTCAAGATGGGCCGGCGAGACCCATCCACACCCTCTTCTGATCCGGCGTCAGGTGGCTGCACCGCGGGGCCAGCTCTGCCCTCTCTTTCCTCGGCAGCCCCGGGGCCCTCGCCAAAAGCGGAGCCGTCGAGGAGGGCATTCATTCTTCCCCCCTCCCCACGCCAAGTCCGACACCTTTCCCCCCACCCCCTGTGTGCCAAGCGCCACCGGCTCTCCTCGCACATTTTCACCAACCCCCAACCCACCCGAGCTTCTCCCTCCGCTTTCGAACCTCACAGTCGCCGCGTGCCTCCATTTCCCTCACCACATACACACGTTCAGTAGTGTAACGCGCGTGTCAACTCGGCTCCCGCTATCTACACAGATCACAATCCCTGCACCTCGCTCCCGCTGAGGAACGTTTCAGAAATAAGTCTCTCCACACACGAATACTTTTCCTTTCACTCCACGCAGCGTCGTGCCAGTGCACCCACTAGTGTTTTCCTCCCCTCAGAGACTCCGAATATCCCGCCATTTCGCAAATACTCTACGCGGCCAGGCTTCGGTAGAAAGCCTTCCCCCGCCTCGTTCCCAACCTTCCTCAGGGAACTTGTAATTCCTCTGTGGGGTGCCCTTCGCCCAGCCCCACAGCGCTGACCCCCCAAGGGGGGCTGCCCCCACCTCCCCTCTGACAGCGCAAAACCACCACACACCGTCGCCGCCCCCTCGCTTCCATCCTTCGTTTCCCCCAACCCCAAATTACTCAAACCCACCTTCCCAGCCCCCCAATAAACCTCTTCCCCTCCCCCCTCAGAGAAACCCTGAGATGTGAAAGGGGTGTGTGAGAGGGAGTAAGATACTGTTGTGCGGGGGGGGGGGGTCACACTTAGGCACCAGGTGAGAAGCAAGTCCCTGATAACAGGGGTCGGGGGGGGGGAGAGAAGGTAAAGAATGGGGGGGCATATGTGGGGCAGGCACCGTGTTGCGGGCGAAATTAGGGTCTGGGCACCCGAGTTTAAGAGATAAAGGCGGTTGTAGGGACGAACAAGCTGTAGTAGTTGGGGGGTGAGATGTGGGGCGCTGAAGGAAGGGGTCAATGGGCGGGGACGCGCCGGAAGGCGAGGGGGGCTGGGCAGGTCTCTCTGCTGCTGCTTCCCCCTTTTTTCTTTCTTCCTCCCCCCCCCCGCCCCGTCTCTCCGCGCCCCCCGCCACCCACGTTACAAGGAAGGGAGGGAGGCGAGCGCGCGAGCGCCGGCTGCACCTCCGCCCCCCCCCGTGGGGAGGGAGGGAGGGGTGAAGGGAGGGCGAGGAGATAATTGGAAAAGGGGGTTGCTTTACCTTCCCTCACTTTCTATTGCAGGAAGCGGGCCGGGTGACGTCAGCGGGTCTCCCGGGCCCCGCCCCCTTCGCCCTGTCTGCCTCGCCGAGGAGCGAAAGGGGAGGGGCTTGGCGGAGGGAGGGGGAGGGGTCGCCGAGGGGGTTTCCTTGTTTCCTCACTCGGGCGCTTCGAGAAAGGGTAGAACCGAAACTAAAAAGGAAGAAGAAAAGTTTATAACAGGAAGGAGGGGGGAGGGGGGAATTCCTTCTTAGCCCGTCCACTTCCGCAACGCAGAAAGGTTTCAGAAGCTTCTAGCGTTTTCACAGCCGCGCGCCCCGACGCTGAGGGAAGGTCTGGTTAGGAGGGTTGCCAAGCACCTTCTTGGGCTTGCAATGCCCTCTGATCAGGTGTCTTGCGGCACCTTCATATTGATCATTTGGATTAGTATCCCAATTCCCCCCCCCCGAAAGTTTTTATTAATTGGTTCTGGCCGCCCCCACTTCTTTTCAACAGGTATCCCCATAGTCTGCCAGTATTGTTTTAAACGAAGCAAGTGTTTGTACTGAAGATTTCTAAACGCTTAAGGCATTAAAAAAAAACCTTAACATGCAAACTAGTTAAAAGAACATAAAGAGTGTTTTGCTAGATCAGATTAAAGCCCACCATTCTCTTTAACAAGAAAGCCCCAGTCCATAACTGTGAACTACAACAGTGGGGAGGGGTGATTGTTTTACATGCATAAAATCTAGCATAGCCTTGAGTTAAAAGCATAGGATTCCATGCTAGATTTTTCAATGGCACAACATGGGGAAGAGCAAAAGATCGGAAATTGTGGAAACACTGAAACACCAGTGGTAGGTGCCAGCATTGGGTAGCTTCTGCTGTTAACATCAGTTATATCTAGTACACTAAAAATATTGTAACTCACCTTGAATGTTCAAGAAATGAGTGGGATACAAATCAAAATAAGTAATAAGCAAGTATGTCATTTGATGCATTATAAGGAAAGTGTTAGGATACATAGGGGTAGACAGCAGGCTAATCACACAACCCTGTGAGGCACTTATATTTGAGTTAATGCTCCCACCAGACAGCTGAACCAGGAAAGGATACATTTGTGAAGCTGAGATCAGATCAGGCCAGCAAAGATAGATGCCAAGTTTGTTACCTGTATGGCCTTGGTGGACAGAAATTCAGAATCAAGGTGAATTGTGTCAGACCACAAGACTAACTCCCATGACTCCTGACTGCTGGCCAATAGGAGTTGGAGGGCACCATGTTGGCTAGCCCTGAAAGTGAGAAACTGTGTCACGCAGTACCTAAATGTTTATGCAGGTGACCCCTTTATCTTAAAACATGGAGCAGTCCTGCCTAATGACAATTTTGACACCTGTGCCAAACTGCAGTGTCTACACTGCAAGATTGTCAGGTTCTGAAGTGAGCCGCACCTAGACTTTTCTGTTAGATCACTGTTTCCCAAACTTGGTTTTCCAGTTGTTTTGGGACTACAATTTCCATCATCCCTGACCACCAGTCTGCTAGCTAGGGATGGTGGGAGTTGTAGTCCAAAAACAGCTGGAGACCCTAGTTTGGGAAACCCTGTATTGGATCAAGGGCAGGCAATCTGTGGCCCTCCAGATGTGGCCTCCCATCAACGCTAGCCAGCAAGGCCAATGGTGACATCTGATGGGTACTTTAGTCCACCCATTTCCAGATGGCCACCGGTTCCCCATTTGTGTGTTCAACCATAGCACTCCGGAATATGAAAAATATTCTGCAAAAGAAAATACTTCCCTTCCAGTTCATGTTGCTATTGTTGAAAGGGGAGGGCGCTTCCACAGACTTTTAATATCCTGCTATTAGTGCCTTCCAATATTTATTCTGCGTCAGCCATATCTTAGAGACAGTAGAGTGGACCATATTCTGTTGCAGATGGTGCTAGCTTCAAATACCACAACAGAGCGAAGTCAGATAAGGCATAATTTCTGCAATTGCCACTGCTTCCCATTGCGACCACCACAACCAATCCCCTTCACACAGAGCACATGGCATGGCATTGACGTAACCAGAATTTATGTTTGGGGGTGCAGGCCTTCTGTTGGGGGGGGGCAGAACCCTGCTCTCTGTGACTCGATTGGTCAGTTAGTTAAGGATTTTTATTTACCTGCTTTAGGGGGTCAGCTGCTGCCCCCTCTGCCTACACCCATGTGGCATGGCACGTTTCCTCCAACCAAAGTCCAGCTGCTCTCCGTGGGTCTCCCTTCCCGGCCCCAGCTAAGCGGGCACAGGATCGTGCTTCGGAGACCCTGACAAGTGTTCCTAAAGTGCACCCACCTCAGTCAGGGAAATAAAGGCTGGAAGCAGTCAAGGCAAAACCTATCCGCGCCTCCCGTCCCGCACCTTTGCCTAGAGATCGGAAAGGGTGGGTGGGGAGGAGGACACAAAACCACCCAGACAAAACTCGACGGGCAAAGTTCTTCCCAAGTAAGCGGAGCCTCCCGCGCAGATGCCCGTCGCACGCCCCCCTGCCGAGGCCCGTCCCTCCAACGCAGCCACACGCGCACCCTCCCATGTATGCACATAGCTGGGGCTGTTGCTGCTGACGCGGAGATCCCGGAGGTTCCTCCTTGTTGCTGCTGGCGGGTCATGCAGGCTGCGTCCCTCCTCCTCCTCGCCGCCGCGCCTCCTCCCCCTCCTGCTTCCTCTTGCCCTCGCTGGGTTTTCCCGTTCGCTCCCAGCCACGCTGAATCCCCTCCTCCTTCCCGTGGCAACAGAGCGAGCAGGCGGCGGCGGCGGCCAGAAATACACACCCCACAATGCAAGAGGGCGCCTCGTGGGTGAGGGCGCGCAAAGCCCGGGGCCCCCACCACCACCCAATCCCCCTCTCGCTCCCCTCCAGCCTCGCCCAGCCCCGGGCCGCGAAACGCAGAAATAAACTCACCCCGGGAACAAAAAAAGAGAAAGGGAAAGTCCGCGCTGGGTCTCGCCGGGGAAGTTTTCACAGAAAACGAGCAAAGCCGAAGGCAGTCCCCTCCGCGCTTGGAAGTGGGCGTGAGAGGAAATACGAAGGGGAGGCGCCTAAGGCTCGCTTTTCTCTCCGGCTCGCTCCTACCCGCGCTTGCTCCCCTTCTTTGGCCCTGGCCGGGGTTTCTTGGCTGCGCTCCTTTGATTGGTTTGCACCCTCGGCTGTTTCTAGGGATGGAGCGAGTCGGGGGGCGTCTGGGGCGGTTTCTGCGGCTTCCTTCCAGGGCAGGAGACGAGGGGAGCAGCAGCGACGAGAAGTCCTTGCTAAGCAGAAAGCATTGTTATTTTTCCAAGAGAGGATTCCAGCAACGCGTTGCCCCGGGTTTGCAGCCGACTCGGTTGCATGATGCTAACGGTACTAGCACCGTTTTAAGAGTCATCAGATTATATATGTGTGTGTGTAGAAAAAGAGATAGTAAATTAATGCTGGTACATTTCCAAACAAATCTCAAAAATTACTCCTATACAAGGGTTTACATTTCCCCCCTTTTAACTTGCTTAAAATATTATTTTATCCTATCTTTCTGTAAAATGGCCACGGCAGCTAACAGCACCCAAAGCCAATAAACGGATAATTTATTTCAAACTTTCATTCTGCCCCACCTTCCCACACACAGATTTTGTATAGCATAATGTGATTTATTTGTGCCACCCCAATCTCTGACTGGGCCTAGATTCCAGGGGTTCCAGCTGCTTACCCAGAGTCCGTTTTTTTGGAAATGAGACACAGTGGAGACTGTGTTGTCTTTAGGATACATGGTTTATTTACATATGTATACAGCCTGAGTCTACAATGGAGGGGTTCAAAGCATTACACTCCAAGAGGGTCCTGTGTCTCCCATTGCTGCAACCTCCAATTCAAGCAGGCAGCTCACATTGTGCTCTGGTTCCCCTCTCCAGCTTGCTGTATTTAACAGACTGCCACTATTTTTCCTCCAGCCCCTGTCATCCTTGACTGTGATCCTAGGGACTACTACTCTCCTGCCAACTCTAAAACTCTACTTCAGAGGCCTTTGTCTTTCTAAATTATTCTAAGTTAAGGGAGGCCCTCTCCCCATTTGCTCTCTGGCACAGAGACCATTACCAGGCTGGCTACTGGCTTGTATTTTAACATGCTAAATCCAGCATCTTGCACCCAGGAATTAGAAGCGGGGTCCAGGCACCCCACATAACATTATACTGTTTTGGGCCAAATGAAATCTTGGTGAATCACTGCCAGTCACTGTAGACCAAGTATTTTTAACCTTTTCCAAGGACCCACTCTTGAACCTAACAAGCATTTCTGAATCTTTCCCCATGTATTTGCATGATGGTAGCACTCGTGTTGCAACCCACCTTGGATCAAGCCACCAGTTAAAGACCAGTCAGTTGTGGACAGTACTGAGCTAGATAGACAAATGGTCCGACTCAGTCTAAGGCAACTGCCTACAATAACTCGCAGTGATTCCCAGGATTTCAGAAGGTTCTCTCCCACCCCTCTCTAGAGAACTGTGGTTTTTTGCATGTAGAGTGCACGTTCTACAACTGAGCTTCCATGGCCATTCCTGACTAGTTTCTGAGTAGAAATGGTTAGGATTACACTGTAAATTAATTATATATATAGCTATTATAAATAAAATAAAAGATTATCTCTGGTTAATGCATGCATGCTGGTGTTATCTTTAAAACCCTCTACAATTAGGGTCAGTCATCTGAAGGATTCCTTCAGATGAGTCTGCTCCTACATTAAGAACAACTTTGAAATCCCTGCTTGTGGACCCATCAATACTATTGGTTAGGTTGGTTGATAGGCACAAGAGGCAAGGTCTTTTTTAGTGGTGATCTCCCACTCCACCCCGACTTTGGAATTCCCTCCCTGCTGAATTGTGCTGGCCTCTTCTATATATGCCTAAATGGACCAGCAAAACTCATCTCTTCCAGATTGCTTTTACTTAAAATATTTTAGGTGTTGATTTTTGAAAATGCTTCTGTTTAAAATGGTTTTATGCTAACTTACTGAACTGTTCCTGGTTATGCTTTTGTGTCTGCTCCAATCCTGGAAAAAAACCCATCTTAATTGTACTTTCTCTATATAGGAGTATAGGTTTACCTAGATGGGTAGAATAAAATCTGTCAGTTTCAGACATCCCATAATATCTCAACACTTATTCTCTGGTATTTTGGACTGACTGAATTTTCCTGATACTGTACAATTAAGCAGCCTGTTGCTATCAATAAATGGGCCCAATCACAACCGTAAAGGTCTGTTTTTGTCCCTGCATAGAGAGCCAAGGCAAGACCCAGCTCAGTGTTTGCATTAATCATACAGGGGCTGCTCTAGTCTTTTCCTCTTGAGCTAAGCCCTTTTCAGGTGCTCCACCTCATGTGATAACCTTTCGCTCGTCACATTACAGTTGGCATGCCTGCAGCCCTCTGCGTGCTCAATCCCAACTTCTGCAGGAGCGAGACCTTTCTACTTATGCAGGCCCCCCTTGCAATTCAGAACCCGTCTTCCAGGGTTCTGAATTGTACAGGGAGCCCCCACAAATAGAACAGGCTTCCTGCTGCAGAGGTTCAGCCCCAATGCATAGAAGGCAGTGAGAGCAGCCCCAGTGACAGGATGGTGGAGCGGCCAGGAAGTATGCTTCTATTCTCATTACGGTAATCAGGCAGGAGGCGGGTTGGGTGGGGGAGAATAGGCCTCAATCTAGTCATGCTCTTTTCTGTTTTGTTGGGGAACATTTTATACACTGATAATTGTAAATCTCCAAAGTAAAGAATGAGTTCTACAACATAATTCCGTTTATTCAAGAGGCTCAAGAGATTTCTCAAGGCCTTCACATGAATAAAGTAGATTAGGATTGCTCTAGACATACGATTTGAAAAATACTTCCATTCACATTTTTTGAAGTATTATGGCATTGAGGGTAAGCTTCATCGTGTTAGGCAGCTTTGAGACTGGAGGCGGGGAAAACATGAGGTTACAGCATTTGGAGGTTATCGTTTAGGGGGAAAGACAAGGGGACAGGATAGAGGTGCATATTATTACACATGATGTTGAGAAAGCAGAGCATTGTTGCTGGCATTTGTCGGTCTCGAGAGACAATGGAGTGTGCCTCTGGGGGTGAAGTCAAACTGCTGTGTTAGCAGCACCAAAATGACTTCCCCAGGACGCAAGCCTGGGCAGTGTGTATAGAGGTCCTGGGCTGCCCAGAAGACAAGCCCTCATTGAGGTGGTCCAAAGGAAAGCAGAGCAAGACATTTGGCACCAGCTGGGCTGCAGGAGTTGCTGGAATGAGGAACTCCACTTCAGATTTGTGTAGGTTTTATTCCTTAGTCTTTTCTTCTCCTGAAGATATCCTGCAGGGCAGCAGAGGTTTAGAGTCAGTGCAAGGAGCTGCTATAAGGTGCTGCATGAGTGCTCCATCCTTAAGCAGTACTGTATGAAAACACTCACCACCCATAATAATCATAATTTTATTGTTTACACCCCACTCATCTGGTTGGGTTCCCCCAGCCACTCTTGACCTAAGGATCTTTTAAAATGGAAGTGCAACATTAAAAAGTACACAAGCATTGGAATTTAGGTAGCTGTGTTGCACTTTACTATAACGTCAGAAGCAATATTGAAGACATTCCTATGAAACATAACCACCAGCCATACAGCATTCACAGCCTCAGTGGATGCACTGGATCTCTGAAAGATTGTTTTCCCCCCAGCAACAAATTTAGAGATGTGTGCAACAGGCAGGTTGATTTATAATTAATTTGGCATCTCAGATTAATCTTCTTGATGTCTGCTGGACATCCAGAAAATCAATCTAGGATTTTGAATTAATTATGAAATTAGGTCAGGCTCATTGAATCTCAGGGCTGATTCACATACAAATGTATCATCACTTGATTGCCCGTATCACAGGGAAGGTGGCATCAGCTGATACTCAAACTTCTGTCTGCAGTGTTAGCTTCACAGTGACAAGTGTATGTGGAAGTCACCTCTTGATGTTGCAGTTAGTAAGAGAAGTGTGTATGTGAACTATCTCAGAGATTACATTTGCGTGTGCCCAAGCCTGAAGGCATCTCATCACAAACTATCTTTACAACACAGACCAACCTACTCTTGACCCCAGTCCCACAGTTTATGGAACATCTGATGCCCTAAGAATGAAGTGGGCCCAAGCATTACATTAAAATATACATTTGTATTCCTTTAATATTAATGGCCTGTTTAAAAAACCCAAGACCTTACACAGCATCATTTTCCCCTGGCGAAATTCAGTCATGTGTGTGGAATTCACATTTCTTGTTTTCCAGTGTTTTATATTTTATCTCTCAGACCACTGATTTCTCAAGGTCTATAAACTAGAATTCCTCTGAACTTTAGCTTTTCTGTTCAAAAGCTCACATTTCTGTCTGTATTCATGCCCATATAGCATCTAACACAACTTACTGTACTTTTTAGCCATGGCATTTGTCTGGCTTTTGTTTGTTCAAGTTACTCAATCGACAGGTTCCTCAACAGGTTTTGTAGCATTTCAGTGCACTCAGAATGTATCCAGTCCAATCATCCACAGTCCATACCAAAAACATTAGTAATCTATAGTATTGAGATGATAATGTGTCAGATAGAGGAGAGTTGGGATGCCCAAAGATTGCTATGACAGGAGCAATTTAGATATATTTCCCCCATGAATTTTTTAGAAAAATCATTCTGTGGCATTGGCTTAAAACAGTGTTTTAATGCTATACTTTGCTTTCATCTCTTGACCAGACAAACTCATCAAGTGCCGGAAGATAAAATCATTGAGCAACTCACAGAAAAGCCCCAATCAATTCCATAAAAATCTTGTGACTTCAGTAACCCATCAAGATCAAAATCTGTTTGTGACAGCATTGATTTTTCTTCTGCATGTGAACAAGGACAATGATTTTAAAGCTGTAGCAGGGGCAGGGGGAAAATGGCTACACTCTTCTACCATATTTGTAATTTTCATTAGTCGGGCACTTAACATAGTTGTGATAATGGAAAACATAAGGCAATTTTTTAGTAAACGCTCCTTGTGAAATGCCAGACATGCAGAGAAAATGTATGTTTCCTGTTACAAAATTAAATGTTAGAAATGAAAAGGTTTGCAACCTATCTCTCTCAAAGTGAAATGCAGGCCTTAAATGGGTGTCTTGCTGTGGTCTGTCAGAAAGTGGTAATAAGCTATTTTGAAGGGTTGAGCCTGCATGTTTGTGCCATTTCCCACAGTTTGTGTTATAAAGCTGCTAGCTGGTCTTCAATTAAATAGAGAGGGGAAGTATTAAAGCACCGTACAAGTGTATGATTCCATTTCACACCATCTTTGCATCCCTTTCTCCGTAACTGTTAATTTATTGCAATGATTTAGTACCCTGACAGTTTTACTACACCTAACATTTGTTACTACACCAGTAATACACTAAGCATTGTAACGGACACAGATGAACCCCACCGTCCTTGCCCTTTAGGCTTCTGAATCTGATTCAACGCTCTGCTATGCACACCTTTTATTGCTTTGCATTGTATTTTTAATAATGGCTGATACTCACCTGCAAGCAGAACAGACTGCAAACAGATTGAGGCTTCCCTTTTCTTTCTTCCCTGCCTTTAATCTCCCATGTGATCTCCCAAAACCTGTTCTAGAGGGTTGGGGTGCCTTCTGGAGCAGAAGCAGAAGCCCCATTTCATGAGTGGACTTCCACTCACATCATGTTGGTTATCTCTCATTCTATTTTATACTTTTTGTTTGGGTGAACTGCCTAGACAACATGTTACTGGGCAGCCATACAAATATAGTATGTAAGTAATTTCCTACACACACACAAACACCTTTTTTTAAGTTAGATTGGCTCTCAAGTTCAGTTCTGTTAACAGACAAGCAGTGCCCCTCTTAAGTCAATAGGGGAAATGTGTAATAAACTTTCACCAGTGCCAAACCCACCTCCCCACCTTAGCTACTGAGTTGCAGAAAATTGTGCAGCCACAGCAAAGTGGGCAGTCAAAGAAGCAGGAAGCAATGCCCCACTTTCGATCTACAGTAAACACTCCCTGTAGACTGGCTAGAAATTCCTGAACTAGTTTGGCTACCAGAATACAAGAAGGCTTCCCATAGAAGCCAGGGCCGGCCCATGACATTTTGCTGCCTGAGGCAAAGGACTAGATGGTGATTCCTTGCCCGGTACCCTGCCCACATATACATTCTATGGGTAGCATCATCCAGCACACCTGTGTGAAGCATGTTCCTTAGGGGGCATGGTCAGAGATGTAGTTAGGGGGCAGGAGGGCACACTGGGTGTCACTCATTTACTGCGGGGCCTGCAGTGCACCCGAGCCACACGTCTCTCCTGGGAGTGACGCGGTGGCTCAGGCACCTGCAGGCTCCGTGCTGAGCGGGAGGCAGCAGGCGGACTCCATGGGCCCTGCCTTGGGTCGCCTTGCCCAGTGGGTGGCTTGCCCTGCCCCTGGGCACACACACCACCCCAGGCGCCCAAGTGGCTTGCTACACCCCTGGGCATGGTCGTAGCCACGGGGCAGGGGAGGCAGCTGTCCCCCTCCAAATCAATAAATAAAAATGCTTAACTAAAAGTAGAAATAATCAGAATATTTGAAATGCTCTCTGAGGTCACTTAAATGATGGTGTGGCACATTCTAGTGACACAACTGACAACCCAACTGAGCAATGGGCATGGCTTCCGTGAAATGACCAATCATGTCACAGGTAGCTTGGTTCTGGAAGTTTATCATAGTTTCTGGCATTTTCTCTTAAGAGTGTGCACTTACAGGGCTTGTCTAGAAATGACTGTAAGTTTCTCACAGCCTATTTATACTGCAAAAAACCCTGAGACCTCAGCCGATGATATAGTTCAGTTTATTCAAGTTTACAGTTTGGATCAGTGCAGAGCTCATAGCTAATGTTTGTTGTGAACCAGTGTTTTATTTCATTATAGTGTAGTTTCCTGGCTATCATTGGTGTTCTAACTCCAACCATCAGCCTACCTAGGACACACCAATTGTTTTGAAATGGATATAAAAAAGTTGTTCACTGCCTCTCCCAACATAAATCCTGGCTGCACCTATGTTAGGGGGTGCAAGACAGGTTGTGTGGCTCATACAGTTCTATCCTACAAGAGAGGGGGAATGGCTGGGGGACATGGGAGAATCAGGCAGGTGGCTGCTGCCCCTGCCCCACATTACCTGCCGCACGAGGCAGTTGCCTCCCTCTGCCAAATGACATGGTTTACCCTGATAGAAACTGCTAGAATCAATAAAGGGCATGATGTGTTTGTCCACAGACAGCTTTCCAGGTCATGTGGCCAGCATGACTAAACCGCTTCTGGAGCAACAGAACACTGTGGGTTAAAGCATGTTGAGAAATTGAACTCAGCATATAAGATCAATTTACAGAAAAAGTGTTCATAACTTACCAGTCCTATGTTTCATTTAGAAGCTGTGAGTGGGAAGTGGAAAAGGAACTACATTTGCCACCCATCCCTTAATTTAAAATAAAATCAAATCAAAGGACAGAACAGATTGCATAACAGCAGCAAGCATACCAGACGAGGCAGTAAAATAACCTGAAAATTCCTAGCGGAAATAAAGCAGGTAGAAAATTTAGGAAGTCAAAACTTAAAACCAAAAAATGAGCTAAATTCTCCCCTCGGCTTTACCTTTATGTGTCTCTGAACTAATCACAGTAGTGAGCATTAGGAAGCTCATTCAACCCACCCAATCAGTATCAGAAATATCAAGGAAGAGGAATCTGTGGGCAGGAAGAAAGCAGCATTCTGAGATCAGCTTTGTGTGAGAAACAATAGGGTCAAGTAGACGAAACTCTATTTTCTACAAGTGTTTATGTTATGTCACCCTTGTCTTATATATCTGTATGCTTGATTAGAAAGTTCATGTATTTGTAGGGGACTGGTTTGGCTTTTGGAGAAATTCCTGGTGCCCATGATGTTTAAATTGTCTCATGAGCAGACCAATAAAATTTCTGACATTTTCAACTCTGCTGGTAATGACTATTTTGAATCAGCCAGTAGTCTTTTTATAGAATAAAGACAGGCTAAACAATTTTCCTGCAACAACTCCTGTTGGTACCTAATGCTGAGCAGGAGGAACAAGTTACACTGCCATATCTTCAGCTGAGCCGGAGTTGAGCTGAGCCAAGTCAACTCAGATGGAAATCTGCTGTATTAAGCCACTCATCCCAGTGGATCTTGCCTTGGGATTGCTCCCTGAGCCTCTGAGAAGGCTCCTCTCTGGATACTCATCTTCTGCCACTTGGAAAACACTGAAAATATAGTGAAAAGATGACATGACTACATGCTGGCTTAATAGCTGTCAGTATGTCAAATTACCTTTGATGCCCCTTCTAGGTGTGCTCAGGACAGGAGCACCTGTTACCCAGCCCTCTTTACATTTCCGATCAATGGGATCCTGTGGGGCAGCTTAACCTGTTGGGACAGAAGTGGCTGTTCCACAGTCATTAATACAACTTTCCACGTGATTGTAACATTTTGTAGAGTTATATTTTGTTTGGGTTTTTTTAGACAGAGAGGAAAGACCTTAACCAACCATTCTGTGACCTTATTATGTCACATGTATAGAACTGGCATTGCAATGCACGTCCCCTCCCCAGCCTCCAAAATGAATCAATGGTTTTAGAAAATCAAAATCATGAATGCTGATAGGCATTCTTCTTTTCCCAATACAGCTAAGTGTTATTGGGTAACAGTAACTTCTACCATGGTTGGAAATTTCCACAAGTGTATGGAAAAGCAGTAGGTCACACAGCAGAGTAAGATGATGTGCAGAGGTTCGGACAGAGGTTGAATATTATGCAACCACAATTTTCCTTATTGTACACCCATAACTGCCAGTTTCATACCATAACTGTAGTAATAACTGTGGTGGAACATAACTGTGGAGGAAAACTCTGTCACAAGAGACCAGGGCCCTGCGGAACTTGACATCTTTCCGCAGGGCCTGCAAGACAGAGCTGTTCCACCAGGCCTTTGGCCAGGGCACAGCCTGACTCCCTCGGCAATCTTCGCGGAGCTCTGGCCCAATAGTTGCCAGTGGCTTGAATTAATTAATTTTATAATGAATGATTTTAGAGTGTTGTTTGTGCTGTACTTTTGTACTGTTTTATTGTTGTTAGCCGCCCTGAGCCCGGCTTCGGCTGGGGAGGGCGGGATATAAATAAAATTTATTATTATTAATGATGTTAGACCACAAGCAATTGCTTTAACTGTGCAATTATGCTCATAACCACGTGAAAATGTTTTACGTTAATAAACTGTTAATTAAAAGCAGCAGAGGGAACTGCAGGATACAACTTACATGAACTCACGAAAATATGTAACCTTTGACAGCTATGTTTCTAGGGCTGCAGCGAATTTTTGCCTAAGACATTTTTCGGGTTGAAAGGGAAGCTTATAGCGGACAGAAAATCTTGTGCACCATGCCCTTTGCTTGCTTGTAGTTTCTCCTAATAGAATACATTTTTAATGTTATGTTTACTAATATATTCAGTTTTAGGCACACTTTCCCCAATATTCTTTTGTGAAACATTGCTTGGCTGGAGAACTACATTGCAGAATTCAGATAAGTGTGAATCCAGAGGGTATGGCTGGATTTCAGGTCTCATATTATTTTGGAAAGTGCAGATTTGATAGATTTGGCTTTAAATGGGAATTGAATTGACTTTCTTCTCCATCCCCAGTCATGACAAACTGAAGTCTGTTGATTTCAGTGCGCCTCCTTTGAGTACGACTTTGTCAGATATTGTATTAAAATATTTTCCCATTAACAAGCATGGTGTGTAAATAGTTAAGTGATTTAACAACATGACCGACAAGTAAAGTCTAGAGTTCCATTATGTCATCCGTAGAATATTAATTTCCAGTTTACTCAATTTACATTGGCTATACGGTATATTTGGTTGGAGCTATTACATTTTGTCACTTTAATCATACTGGTTTGCCTCTGGTTTCCAAAAAGACATCATTTCTGGAGTATGAAACAATGCAGATCTCAAGCGTAATTTGGATTGGTTTGGAAACCTGGCTGAAAATTAAAATTAAAAAGTGCACATTGTTTTCCACAGATCATCAAGGATGTTCAAAATTTATCAAAGCCGTTTAGCTACAAATGTGCTTTCCTATAAAATTCTATACCATTGCAAACAGTGTCATCCTAATTGAACGGTGGCAGCCCAAGCTGGAACACAGATGTTAATGGGAGATGGTGGCCAAAAGCAAGAGAAGATAATGTTATCTGTCTCTCTCCCTGGTAACTTGTGATGTACTGAGAGTTTTCCTGCCCCTGTGTTGCTTCATGGTCTGCTGTTTGTGAGAAAGGGAAACTGGGAGTGTGTTGATGTTGGGTGTTTTACTGCATATTGTTGTGGGTGGTGGAAGGGGAGATGAGAAGATGTGGGGCTGATACTTCCTGGTTTCACCTTCAGAATGGCTGTACTCATGCAACTTACAAATGCACACCAGTGAAGGGTGTACAGTAGCAATTCATTAAAACACACAGCTACAAGAATGATGCCAATGTGAAAAACATTAATTAAGTTTAGAAATACATAGAGTGGATGCAAGTGTTCACTAAACTCCTGGGGAAGTAGATAATTTACATCCACAACCTCAGCCGCATAATAAATCCCCCAATTCAAATCTCTTTAGACTGTGACTCTCAATAGATTTCTAAAAATGTACACTTACGGAGTAAACAGAATGCCTAATGGCTTCCAGCAGCACATCAGATTTGTTACACTTATGGGAGGTCTGGCTATCAAATATTCATGCCTGCAGCTCTTATGCAACACTAGGAACTTTTTCACTTGTGAAATAAATAAAAAAGTTCACCAGATGTAGGAGATAAAGGGATTGTTTTATCTGACATGGATGACCAAGTTTTCTTATGGATTATTAATGTTGGGAAAACTCTGAAGGCATGAGCTAGCAAACATTGCTCTTACAGAAGTCCCCATAATGAGGATGTGAAGACTCCTTGGCAGGTACATAAAGGTAAAGGGACCCCTGACCATTAGGTCCAGTCGCGGACGGCTCTGGGGTTGCAGCGCTCATCTCACTTTCCTGGCTGAGGGAGCCAGCGTACAGCTTCTGGGTCATGTGGCCAGCATGACTAAGCTGCTTCTGGCGAACCAGAGCAGCGCACGACAACGCTGTTTACCTTCCAGCTGGAGCGGTACCTATTTATCTACTTGCACTTCGTGCTTTCTAACTGCTAGGTTGGCAGGAGTTGGGACCGGGCAATGGGAGCTCACCTCGTCGCAGGGATTCGAACCGCTGACCTTCTGATCGGAAAGCCCTAGGCTCTGTGGTTTAACCCACAGCGCCACCCACATCTTTTTGGCAGGTACACCCACAGCTATATTCCTAATGCAAACAAACAAAAGTAACAAATAATACCTTTCTAGCTTCATGTAAAATGAAAGACATCAGTAAGTCAGCCATGCTGTATTTGGCAGCCCTTTTGCTCATGCTGCTAAGAAGAGCCCAATCGCAAGGTCCTGCCCTGATGATAGCTCTACTAAGTAGTGATCCTGGGTAGGGAAACTTCCATTCATGGTCTGACTTCAGGCACAGCTGCCTACGGTCCCTGCCTGCCCCGAACCTCTCACACCTTCCTTCCAAATTGAAATTTTGCATTCCTCCTGCTCAGTGCTATTTTTCTAGAAGAAGGAGTGCCGGAACTCACCATGATCACCTCTTTTGTTCTCTTATAATGGCAATGGTGCCCACCTGAAAGGTGCCGGAACTGAGTTCTGGTGAGCTCTGGCTGAAAAAAGAAAAGCCCTGCTCCCACTCCATTTGCCAGTTTGGTAAAGGATTACTGGACCTGAGTCTGCAGCTATTTAACTCTGTTGTCCAAAAGAACAAGTCCATCTTCCATAGTGAGTGAAATATACTCGGAGTCGAGAGTGGATTTCATGCTCTTTATTCAGGTCATAGTGGTGAGGAGGAATGGAAGTTCCCCCAGAATGTCTGTTTTATATACATTATTTACACAATGGGCCCCACGTGATTGGCTAATTCCAGGATTCTCCTGTAGGCCAATCAGGTTGCGGATTCACTTCCACCTGGAGCTGGATTGGGTGGCTCCTGTGGACCAATCAGACTGCTGCATTCTGAATCCTATTCTAGGACCAATCAGACTGCTGCATTCTGAATCCTATTGTTCTAGGACCAATCAGACTGCTGCATTTTGGATCCTATTCAACTCAGCACATAACAATGAGGTTCATAACAACCACCTTATTTCTGGCAAGAAAACGCCTGCAAAGAAAAGCAGGTGGAAATTAAGCAGCAAAATATATCCATCATCTTATTTTCCTACCATTAAATGAAACTTGAGCCTTCCCATAAAAAGAAGTGGCAACTTTCCTAAACCAGCCTCCTGCTGAAGCCATTGCATGAGAGCCATAATGGGGAAGAGGATCGTGCAACAATTTCCACAAAAGAGTTAACACTGCAGATCGGTAATCCTTCCATAATCTGAAATATTGGCTCTGTGCCAAACCCTGTGCTTTCCTATACCTCTGAGGAAATTATGGCCTTTCAGTTTGTGGAAAAATAGAAAAGCTTTCTTCCCCTCTTTCTTTTCTTTAATAAGTAAAATATCAAGCATTTTGCACAAAGCAAACTAATCACCTAGAAGAGAAGGCAAAGTATGCAAATGAACCTTTCTGCATGGCTGGGCAGGTCTATTCAAGGTACAGTTGGGGACAAGAAGTTGATTTTGCCATAATGTATAACTATCTCATCCTCTCACTTTTCCCACCAATAATTCAACATAAATGATACGGTATCAAAAGCACAAAAATGCATTAATCTGTGCATTAACAAAATAAATCCAGGAAATAGATAAAAAGTAGTACTTTTAAAGGAAATCAGCCCTGAGTGCTCACTGGAAGGACAGATTGTGAAGCTGAGGCTACAATACTTTGGCCACCTCATGAGAAGAGAAGACTCCCTGGAAAAGACCCTGATGCTGGGAAAGATGGAGAGCACAAGGAGAAGGGGACGACAGAGGACAAGATGATTGGACAGTGTTCTCGGAGCTACTAACATGAGTTTGACCAAACTGCGGGAGGCAGTGGAAGACAGGAGTGCCTGGCGTGCTCTGGTCCATGGGGTCACAAAGAGTCGGACACAACTAAACGACTTAACAACAACAAAGTGCTTTTTAAAAACCAGGCAGGATAATATATATACTAGCATTGTCAGGATTTTAAGCCTGAGTTGTAAACATTTGGTTTTACCAATCTGAAATAAAGCTTCAGAACTCCAAAGATGTATATGCATATATGTAAAACACACACACACACACACACACACACACACACACATCTCTGCAGATTTGAAGTTTTAATTCAGTTTGGTCAAATCAAATGTTCACAATCAGAGCTTTTTTCCATCCAGAACTCACTGGAACTCAGTTCCGGCACCTCTCAGGTGGGTGCCAATGCCATTCTAAGAGAACAAGGGAGGTGTTCATGGTCAGTTCTGGCACCCTTTCCCCCTGAAAAATAGCACTGTTCACAACTCTGGTTACTAGAAATCCTGGCATTGCCTAAAAATGAAGATCTTAAGAAGTAAGGAGACCCTTCATTTTTTGTCTAAAGGGTCATGGGTAGGGGAAACCTATGACCCTACAGATGCTGTTGGCCCTCCCATTATCCCCAGCCAGCGTGCAATGGCCAGGGATTATGGAGTTGTAATCCGACATCTGTATAGATGGGTTCCTTACCCTGATGCTGCTGAACTACAGCTCCCATCAGCCTCGGCAAACAGGGCCAATGATCTGGGATGATGGAAGTTGTAGTTTGGCAACATCTGGAGGGCCAAAGGTTCCCTACACCTGCTTTAGGTTAATTGAGGCCCTGCAGCATGAAATAAATTAATAAATTTAGATACAAAAAAATTGGAGGAATCCCAAAATGGCTGCATGTTAGGAATGGATTAGTTGACTATGACAAATAGCACACATTAAGCAAAAATGTAAGGTTTGCAAGAAGTGAGTGTGTAAAGAAGAACCTGTTAAAGACTGGAGAATTTTTATTCTTGAAAGCAATATCATTTTGATGCTCTAATTGTTTACTCTTTTAAAAAAATATTAGGCATATTTATAGCCAATCCTTCATCAGAGTAGATTTCAGGGCAGAGTATAATCATAGAATCATAGAGTTGGAAGAGACCACAAGGGCCATCGAGTCCAACCCCCTGCCAAGCAGGAAACACCATCAGAGCACTCCTGACATATGGTTGTCAAGCCTCTGCTTAAAGACCTCCAAAGAAGGAGACTCCACCACACTCCTTGGCAGCAAATTCCACTGTCGAACAGCTCTTACTGTCAGGAAGTTCTTCCTAATGTTTAGGTGGAATCTTCTTTCTTGTAGTTTGGATCCATTGCTCCGTGTCCGCTTCTCTGGAGCAGCAGAAAACAACCTTTCTCCCTCCTCTATGTGACATCCTTTTATATATTTGAACATGGCTATCATATCACCCCTTAACCTCCTCTTCTCCAGGCTAAACATGCCCAGCTCCCTTAGCCGTTCCTCATAAGGCATCGTTTCCAGGCCTTTGACCATTTTGGTTGCCCTCCTCTGGACACGTTCCAGTTTGTCAGTGTCCTTCTTGAACTGTGGTGCCCAGACCTGGACACAGTACTCCAGGTGAGGTCTGACCAGAGCAGAATACAGTGGCACTATTACTTCCCTTGATCTAGATGCTATACTCCTATTGATGCAGCCCAGAATTGCCGGGGCGTGGTTAGCTGCCGCGTCACACTGTTGGCTCATGTCAAGTTTGTGGTCAACCAAGACTCCTAGATCCTTTTCACATGTACTGCTCTAGCCAGGTATCACCCATCTTGTATTTGTGCCTCTCATTTTTTTGCCCAAGTGCAATACTTTACATTTCTCCCTGTTAAAATTCATCTTGTTGGTTTTGGCCCAGTTCTCTAATCTGTCAAGGTCATTTTGAAGTGTGATCCTGTCCTCTGGGGTGTTAGCCACCCCTCCCAGTTTGGTGTCATCTGCAAATTTGATCAGGATGCCCTTGAGTCCATCATCCAAACATCCATCATAATGCAGAATATAAAAACTACAAATTACATATTATTAGTTCAAAGCAGATTTTTTTTAAAAAAGAGACCAACAACTCTTTGCAATATATTTAGTTTATGAATACATGCTATTTTCCTGTTACCATTTACATTTTTGAAAAGAAAGATTCCTTGGTTGCTAAGTAAAGGCAAACTCTAAGTGGATTCCACCTTTTCCTATATGAATACAAATATGAATATTCATATATAGGCAGTCTGGTGGGACACAACCAAAAGGATAGTATCAGACTCCTCCAATCAATGTAACTCACATCAAGTGTGTGGTGTGTATCTGACAAAGAATGTTCTAACCTACATTCATTCATGCATGATTTTTTGCCTTCCTTAAAGTTGGCACATTTGGTGGAAATGCCAATGAAACAGGCCCCACTCACACCAAATATGTAATGAACTGTAGAGATAATAAATGCTGTATATAGTTAAACCAAAGACCATAGTATTCTGGCACAAGGCACATGCAATTTGAATGGGTTGTTAATTTCAGCACTGCATACTTTGGTATCGCTTTGACCATTGTTCAGATCAGCGCAGTTGTGCCTGGTTCTGAAGAAAAAGCAATGGCGAGAATCAAATCACATGCTTTCCTGCGCAACAACTGAAGAGAAATAGTTTCGTCATGATGACTCAGCAGGCTTTCCCGTCCAACATGTTTATTCAGCATTCTTTGATTGCTCCTTTCAGTATATTAAACGACAGAACAGGCATGTATAAACTATTTATTTTGCAAGGAAGGTGGCCTGATTCATATCTCAGTTGTGGCAAAGTACTTGGATTTATGCAGAGCAAACCTATTCTTGAGTTACTGTGGCTGAGGAGGCACAGGTCTTGCCTCCAGTGTAGCACTATGTAAGCTTCTTGTCAGCACAAGGATATCTGCTTGCACAACAGGACTTTCCTCCTCTCTCCTTCCCCAGCGCCACCCCTAAATCCGTTCTGGGGTTCCCCCAACCCTCTAAAGGAGGCACATGCAAACTCCGGCCCTCCAGATGTTTGGGACTACAATTCCCATCATCCCTGACTACTGGTCCTGTTAGCTAGGGATGATGGGAATTGTAGTCCCAAACATCTGGAGGGCCAGAGTTTGCCTATGCCTGCTCTAAAGCACATCTGGGAAGGTTGCAGAGGGAAGAGATGGAGGGAAACGCCTGTTGCACAAG